GCCGTGAGTGATGCATGCGGAGGGGCGGACAACCTGGTGCTTGACAACATCGTCCACTATGCAGACCCGCTTATGCGTACAACCATGTTGTCCAGGTTGGATATGCATCGTACCGACCCCTTACGTCAGGCTGAAGAACTGGCTCAATTTGCGCAGTCGACGGAGATCGACACTCATGCAAAGAATCTTGGGCGCTATGTGGTAAACGCTGTCGAAACAAAGGAAGGAACCGAAGGACAGGGTCAAGGCTTAGGTAAAATCAACCTTCGGTGAAGGTGACCAGCGCACGTGTTACAAGTGCGGGGAAGTCGGACACATCAGGTCGATGTGCCCGCAACTGAAGAAGAAGATACCAAGGGCAAGCTTTACCTTTGCAATTGGCAATGGTGGACATATTCAAGACAACAATTGGATCCTTGACAGTGGGTCCAGCAGACATTTGGTAAACGATCTAAGTCTGCTGGTTAATCCGAAAGACTGTCAGAGTGAATGTTTGACGGCAGCCACTGATGGAGGCGTGCTGAGAATCACCATGCAAGGAAGTGTCGACATTGAAGTTGTCGCACTGGGAGTTGTGAACACCATCCGGCTCGCTCCTCGATGTTCAGTATGCTGCAAACCTCGAGCGAAATATCATATCATATGGTAATCTCGAGGCTAAAGGATGTATACTCGAATATCGAGGAGGGAGGCGTGTGTTGACCTCCGGGTTCGGAGGTGCACCGGTAATGGATGTTGAATGCAACAACAATGTGTTGGTTGTCACGGTGATGAGACCCGGTAACACCGTTTCAAGCACATCACGGGAAGCGATGATGGCTGTACTTAATTCACCTGAATATGAATCCGATTCGGATGTTCAGAGTGGTACCTTGATTCACTTCTATCGCCGGTTGGGCCATCTCTGTTTCGATACTATCATCAAGATGGCCAGAGACCCGGGGTCGGCTATTAAGCTGACTGACCTGACACGCATAAATTGCCTGGCGTGTGCTAAAGGAAAACAAGTCAAGAAAGCACAGTCGAAAAAGGACACGGGCATGAATGAACTCACCTATCGACGTGATAGGTGGAGTGATATGCTCTGATCTCAAGGGACCGATAACCCCACGAGACCGACTGGGAAATCGTTACCTAGTCACTTTTATTGACCACCGATCAAATTATTGCCGTGTGTTTCTGGCCAAGTCTAAAGGTATTGCTGCACTCAAGTTCAAGCAGTTCCTTGTGAGTTTCGAACGAGAATTTAATTGCAAGATTTACGTGCTACGCACGGACGGAGGTGGCGAATACAAGACATTGGATGTGTTTTGCAAAGGGACTGGCGTATCACGTCAAGTGAGCGAAGCCAGAAACCAAGCCAGTAATGGTAAGGCTGAACGGATGCATCGTACTATTATGAATATGGTTAGAAGCATGGTGTTCGCCTCGAACCTACCCCTTTCTTTCTGGGGTGATGCTGCTGAGTACGCGACTTACATACTCAACCGGAGTCGAACCAAGTCGAATCCGGGTGGTGTATCCCCAATGGAATTTTTGACGAAGAAAGTGCCTATGCTGAATGACATCGTGGTGTTCGGTTCTGCATGCACGGTTCATGTCCATACGAAAAACAAGTCACTTGGAGAGCGTGGGAAGGCAGCCATAATAATTGGAAAAAGTGGCGAGACGAAGGGTTACAAAGTGTACATCCCCAAGACAAGGTGGTTGTGGTAACACAACATGTGCAAAACATTGAACAAAATGAACAAGTCAAGTCCCACTTGAAGAGAGTCGACCATCAGGAGGAGTCACCCAATGATGATCAACCGGATGTTCAAGTGCAATCAAGCGTCAAAAAACGGGTCACGAAAGGACTCAAGGGTCGAAAATCCGGATGGACGAGAGAGCGACATGGTACAAGGTCAACCAGCAAGAAACAGGTTGAAGAGCCTTCGAATAAAGGTTCTGCTGAACAACAAGATGTGGTAAATGTTATCATAATGCAAGACCCCAAGCACTATGGAGAAGCGGTCAAGAGCAAGCAACATCAAGAGTGGAAGATCGCCATGACCGAAGAAATGGACGCGTTAAAGGCGAACGATGTCTGGACGATCGTTGCACCACCCAAGGATGCGCACGTTCTCCACAACAAGAGGGTGTACAAGACCAAAACGGATGCGAACGGGGACATAGAGCGGTACAAGGCTCGTATGGTTGTCTGTGGAAACGAACAAGTCTTTGGAGTATACTACAACCTCACCTTTGCAGCGGTGATGGACTTGAGCACGGTGAAGATGATCTTGATGCTATCAAGACGTTAAAAGGTACCAGCTCGACATGGTGATGTGCCGAATGCATGCGTCAAGGCAGAAAAGGAGGAGCATTTGGACATATACACGAAGGTGCCAAAAGGTATGACCATAGATGAAGAAAAGATCAAGGGTCTGGGAAAAAAGTCGACGAACGACTTAGCACTGCTTTTGAAGAAGTCACTATATGGACTCAAGCAGGCTGGAAGACTCTAGAGCAAACTACTAATTCCAAGTTGCAACAGAGCGGGTTCCGACAATGTACGACAGACATGTGTTTGTATTTCAAGTACGTAGGCGATACATGCACAGTGGTCGGAGTCTACGTCGATGATTTGCTCGTCACACGAACTGATCCAAGCGCAGTGGAAAACTTCTTCAAGGACATGGCGGGTTTGTCAATCAAGGATCTGGGCGCGGTAAACAAGTTTTAGGACTTCGCATCAAGCTGGACGAGTCCAAGGGGTACATTCTGGACCAACAAGTGACGATCGAGTTGCTGTTGAAGGAGTTCGGACTAGACTCGGCGAACGGAGTGAGGACTCCGATAGGCGACGAATGCAATCTCGAGGATGAGCCTTTGGTTGTGCAAGAAGCAGTCTGGTGTGTCGCTGAGCACCATGGAGGCAGAATTCATCGCGGCGTCTCAAGCCGGACGCGAGCTACTAGGGATGAAGGGTCTATTTGACGAATTGAAGTTGAACGTGATCAAGCCGATGCCAATGTGGATAGACAATCAAGCGGCTATCAAGCAGATAGAGTCAGAGAAGAGCACGTCAAGCGCCAAGCACGTGGACATCAGGTTCAAGTTTATCTGCAACTACGCGAAAGATGGGATCGTGGCTCCAAGATTTGTCTAGTCCCAAGACATGATGGCCGATATCTTGACGAAGTCATTGCCGGCGCCAAGAATGGAAGAGCTACGTGCAATGTTCGGGTTAAAGACCACTCAGGCTGACACCAAGGAGGAGTGTTAGAAATGCCTGTTTAGAAACGTCTTGTCAGTCATTGTTATGTTACAGGTTCAACAGGTATAACATGTGACGGTGGCACCTGATTGGTTAAAGTCACACATATCTTAACATGTGGTGAGACGAGGCTACGACGGTGACAGATAGTGAGACGAGGCTACGATGGTGACAGATGGTGAGACGAGGCTACGACAGTGACAAGTGTCGTGACAGGCGTTACGGTAAGATCGGGCCAGGTGATGGGACGAGGTGGCGACATGACCGTTGAGCGACATGACGACGACGTAGAAGACGGACGCAAACATGTTATGGTCAAGTTGCAGTGCATGTTGTATTATAGTGTTAGCGAACGAAGATAACATTCTAATACATTCACTTTTGCTTCTAACTACCTCTGCACAAGTGCAACTTTCATCTACTTACAACATGTTATATTGCAGTGTTAGCGAACGAAGATAACATTTTAATATATTCACTTCTACTTTTACCTCTTCGCACACAAGTGCAACAAAGTTCCAAATCGCAACTTTCCTACAATTATGGTATATATAATATTATATATATGGGGGAATTAAGTTATAGGAGATGATTTAGCTATAGGTCAATTTTGACTTTTGCAATTATATGCGCTGTTTCCTTTTAGATAGCAACATTCAAAAGAAAATTCAGATGAAAAGAGAGATTAAATTTAGAAAAAGAGAAAATCTGATTTAAAAAAAGAAGATTTCTGTTTTCAAGATATTTAGAAATGCAGATAGTCGTCGCCTTGTCTCACCATCTGTCAAGTCGTTTGTGGACTCGATCAATCAGGTGTCACTGTCACATGGTATAGCAGTTGAACCTGCAACACACCAATGACTGACAAGACGTTTCTAACATACATTTTTAATATAAATGTTATAAACTAGTAACAATATCTTGGTTTCGAACAAGAATTTTAAAGCTTGAAAGGCTAATACTCTATTAGAATTGAATTATCACAGCCAGGTAATCAATTTTTGTATGGAAAATCATCAATTATATGATGTTGTAGTTAATGCTCATGCTTTTATTATGTTTTAAATTAGTTATGCCTGCATTAATTGGTAGTTTTGGTAATTGGTTTGTTCCTTTAATGATTGGAGCTCCTGATTTGGCTTTTCCACGTATGAAAAATATAAGTTTTTGGTTATTACTTCCAGCTTTATTTTTATTACTTTCAACCAGTTAATAGGGCATCTCCAACTTTAAAGAGATGCAGGGACAATATTATAGGAAAAGGTAGTTTTGTCAAATATGTTAAATTATAATAATATTTTTATTGGCACTTCTTATTTGTCCCAATATTTTGTAACGGGCTCATCCCGTTACAGGCTCGGCTGTTCGCTAGCAATGGTGCTAAATGCAGAGAGGAAGTTCGTAGTGCAGTGTAAAAAGGATTATGTTATTTATGTGTTAGCTCCTGCGTTTCCTGTCCTGTCTCTCTTTCGCTCATGTCCACCCAAGCTAATGTCTCCAGCCGAAGCATACCGAAGCTAAGAGGTTAGCCGCAACTTGAAATGCCCTACCACGCCTCCTCATGCTTATTTGTAGTCAGCATAAGGCTACATAACCAGCACTTAAAAACAAATATCTAACATCGGCCCTGCCATGTGAGCTCGAATTATGATAACGAAGCAGATTGAATATGACATCGTCAAAAACATGACATGGATATATGAAGTTGTAGCCGCGATTCTAATGATGATACAAAATAAGTATGGAATACGGTAAAAGTATTGATAGTACCGGTATTCGAATCATGCCGTTTACCGGTAACACCTTTCGCAAAAATGATTTTAGTAATTGTACGAAAGTGTCGAATATTTACATTTCGGTGGATGGTTGTGTGAAGCTGTACCCATCAGCACCGAGCGATACACATCCAGCAATGTTGTTGGAGATGGTGGAATCGCGCGTGTTGGACCTGGCAGTGGCCATTGCGTGCTGGTCCGTACTGTGGATACTTATTCTAAAAGTCGTTCCCCCAGGCGCCCAGCGGCGCAACCACATCATCACGCTGAATGCGGCGCACGGTGCCGTGTCCACAATCGCGTCTATGACAACGCTCTATTATGGACTGGTCACCACCACCTCGGTGGCGATCTCGCTCTCGTACTTTCTCGTGGACCTCGTGGCCATGGTATGCTCAGACGGATTGACGAATCTTTTATCGCTCCGACTCTCACGCGTCATGGACTACGCGCACCACATATTCGGGCTGTACTGGGGCGTAGTGCTTTTCGTCAACGAGGCCACCGTGTGCGACGCTTCGTTTGGCAATCCTTACGTCTGGCTGCAAACAAATGAGATAAGCACTGGCTTCTTCAACTGGTACAGACTCACGGACAGCACCATAGCTGGTATATTGTTTATCAAGTTCTTTTTTTTGTCACGCGTGGCGTTCAACACAGTTTACATCCTTCCAGTGGTGATTCGTCGCTGCCAACCGCTGTACGTCTTGGGCTGCTCACCATTCTTCGTGCTGCAGTATGTTTGGTTTTACATGATTGCGCGCAAGCTACTTTCTAGTTTATCAAGTAAAAACAAGAAAACAGTAGGTGATGGCCATCCACAGCTGATAGAAAAGATAAAGAAGGCCTGATTGCCACTACGACAACGCTCGTTCTGTTCTCTATGATACTGCCATTGTAAGCAAATGTTAAGTTAAGCTCAAGAATTGCTAATATGGAGCAGACACATTACAGGGGCACGGCGCGGAGAGACGTGCTCTCGCCAGATACAGCTTCATCATCGCTGCAATTTTGGGTTCAAGGCGTCCAACGTCTCATTGCGCAGGTAAAGATAAAACCTAACACTCAGAATTCTTGTCTGCCGGCTCGTGACTTGCTGCTAACATTTCTTACTGCAAATTGTCGGGTCAACCTAACGGGGAGTTAGCGCAATCGATCCCGACTGCGGAGGAAAATCGACCACGCCAGCAAAATTTCACTTGCGAGAGTTGGCACCTCCGTCTTATCTTCAATACAATGGCTTCACATCCGCCGAAACTTGAATCCAATCTGGGATCACCGGAATACCGTCAGTTTCTACAGGTTCACCATTTGCAGCAAGAACGGCGTCAACAGTCGCAAGATTTTCGCTCACATGTAAGATTGATTTGATTAGAAGTTGAAAGATGAGACTAGTCTCGACGTTGACAGACGTGTACGTCGACAATCGTCGCCCATATAGGGCATAGACGACATCCCGCGCAACCGTCTCAGGTTTTCGCTGCTCACTAAGACGAGCTAGCTACCACAGTGATTGCAAGAGTTAATTTTTGATCGATTTATGTTCTAGCATTAAGTCTTAAAGTACCAAACTCAAAACGAAATTTAGATATTTAGACTATCAGCATTTTTTCAAAATCATTGGAATATTTCCTACTAAAGTTGCACTACCGAAAATGGACCGGAATGGATCCGATACCGAGCGTCGTCTGCATGCCATAGAAGCTGCTTTTGAGCGTGAGCGGCAACAGCGTGATCTACTGAAGAAGAAGTACGCTCGTTTGAAACGGCGTTACGTGCGGCTGGAGCGCTCGCACAGCCGCCTACTGATGGAGAAGCATGGGGTGCGTCAATCCAGCAAAAGTTTTGCTGGTAATTAATTCTACATGGAGGGAGGATATTTTAGTATTTAAATTATCTACTGCTGATGAAGAATATCAATAGAGTGGAGACGCCCATTGCTAATTTTGAGACACCAAGCAGCGTGGAGTCTACACTGAGTTTGCAGTCGTCAACGGTGCGTTTTGTTCGACATCTTAAGTTGCATATGGACCTCGAGCTAAACGTCAATTGTTGCTTTTAGTTTGCAGTAATAGATCTCACTAGTCCATGTGCTGGTACCAGCTCTGCAGTGACAAGCAGTAGTGGATCGCTGGTTAGTGTATCTAGAGAAATGCAAGGCTCACAGCTAAATTTCCTGTCGAGAGATGATATCTGTAGTGAAAGCCCGAGCTCGTCAATAGGGTCTCCAGAGGTAGTACCGAGGGGATCCCATAGTAATGAGGAGCAGGAAGAGAGAAAGATGGACGAGGAAGAGGAGGGTATTGATAGGGAAACCTGGCGACGCAGCAACAGGTTATACTCGACCCCTGTACCTCGGAGACGTGTGCATTTAGACTCCACTCTTCCGCGACGTCTCACTGATTCTCATCGTGTGCTATCAAGTCCACCGCGACGGATGCAGCTGTATGGACTGCAGTCGGATCATTCAACCAGCTCGCACAGCTCTCCGCAGTCAGCACATTCCATGACTACCAATAGTGGAGAACCTCGTACACGAACCCGTCCGCGACTTCATCTGCACGATCATTCGCCCGAACAAACTGCCGCCCGTGCTTATGGATACGAACTGGAGCAAGAACTGGAGCCTCGCGCTCATCGTCATGAGCGATACCGCTGGGCGTCTGATTTATCACCGGAGCCTTCCGTACCGTCTCCTGTGGTATCCTCACCACTGGTGCCAAGAAACCCATCGTTATTGCCACCGACTGTTCCTCTGCCTGCGTCTCATCCCAGAGCACAGAACAACGAGGAGGCTTCGCTTGCATTGGCTAGATATCTACAACAACAAGAGGTAAGCTCAGCAATGGCGGTTGAATGTTTCTGGCAGTGCAGCAACTAAACTTACAAGTATACTGCTGAATGAAGAATATTGCGGCCTATGAAGAGTACGAGACTCGCTTGTATCTTGGGGCCGTTGAGCAAGAATACAGCCAGCGATTTCACCATCCCGCAAGCTCATTACTTTCGGGTGTGGCCGGCCACCAGCGCAACATCGACCCGGACAATATGACCTATGAAGAACTTCTAAGGCTTGGTGAAGAGGTCGGAGACGTGAAGAAGGAGCGGTGGCGACGGATGGCTATGCAGGTACTATCGAGCCTCCCAATCCATCACTGGACCCGCGGTCACGTTGAAGACACGTACGTATGTTTTTGCTCGAACATTGTGTAAGGTGGATGCTGACCGAATTCTATCGTCGCGCAGATGTATCATCTGCCAGTACGATTTCATGCAAAACGATCGAGCCATGACCCTTCCGTGTGCTCACGTATTTCATGAAGGTATTGCATTTTTTGATCAATGTGACTGTCATCAGGACTAATCCATCCATGCTCAATCTGTAGATTGCGTTGGTGACTGGATTCGTGAAAATAACAGTTGTCCTCTCTGCAAGCGGGAAATTGCTCCAATTTAAAAAAGTATGGGGGACGATTCGAAGGACGAAAAATGTACATTGTTCAAATACACTTGAATGTTATAAGCAACACTTGGACGCCTTCAAGACTGGAAACGGAACCGATCGAATGATGCAATGGGTGCCAATAAACTTACTTTTTCGATATCTTTTGGGACGTCCGCACTCGTCGTCGCAGTTAAGTGTCGTTGACCGATTGTGCTTGCTGTCGCTACAGAAAAAATGTCAGCGTTATCTTCCGTTTTCGAAGCAGCTGATGTACATGGATTTTCTTCCACTCCATATGTTCCCAACGTGTTCGTCGTCAGCTCGGCTGACGCGTCGGAGCTTGTGTTGTGCGATTTGACGTTGTCTAAAAACGCGATCTGCTTGGTTTGACTGGAAACAGAGGCTTTGCGATAACCTAGGGTTGCTACCTTTCGTTTCTTCCGTTTATGCTGTTGAAGCGTCAATCCAGCGCGCATCATTCTTGAAAACGCTGTTTCTTTTGCCGGCAGGAGAGGATTTTGCACTGCTACTTGGTAATCTGGCGCGTGATACTCCTTGAAAGCCTGAGTAAGCAACACTCTGCTTTTGTTACTTTGCGGGTCAAAGCAGATGTTTCTCGCCGCGTCGACTCCACAATGCTCTTGACTTTGATATGATGAGGAGTCGGTCCAGCGTGGCAAGGTTTTCTTCACCGATTTTTCGTTCGGCAGTGACATCTTCTCGACATTTTTCCCAAAAAATCGACTTGTCAGAAGTGGACTAGTTGCCACAATCTTGCCAGTGAGCGTGTTTTGTAAGACTTCTTCCTTATGTAACAAAGCTGTAGATACTCGATCGTCCATAAATGACGGTGGAAATTTTCTTTTCACAGCAACCGGACTCGATCGAGGGGCGTTAGGTACAGCGGCTGCAATAGGTTCGGAAGCATGAAAGAATGAAGTGATTTCTGCTTTTGGTTCAGAAAGAGGTACTTTAACCTTTCGAGTCACTTTTATCTTGGACATGACTGAGCTTTGCTGGAATGAACTGCACCGTGAAGGCGGTACACAGACAGGAAATCGTTTCATGGTGATAGGGTCCATATCGCCATTAGCAACTGCCTTTGCAACGTCGCTTGGTAGCACTGGCCCCACATAGTCCATAATTGGATCACTTTCTAAAAGTTTCGGTGGTATTGGTGTTAGTGGTACCAGTTCCTGTCAGAGCCCACAACAAAACATATCTCCAATGCGTTAGTAGCTTGAACATCACTTCAGTATGAAGAATCGAGCTCGATTCTTGAACCTTTTTCGTGGGGCAATAAACGCGTTGATGTCGAAAAGTCAAGACTGCCTTTCTAAAGTCATCTTCATACGTCGCGGGAACTCGTACTTTTCCTTCAAGACGCAACGCTCGAACGATCTGTTAGAAAGCAACGAGATCAGAACCAAGCAGGAAAGCTCGTTGTGACATTACGCCACCGCGTTAATGTACCTTCTTAAAAGAACCATGCAGCTTCATCGCGGCATATGCTTTTTTCAATCCAAAGCCAGGAATACTTGGCAAGTAATCACATCCTGACAATATACACATCTCAAGGAACTGACCAAGAAATACACACACATACGCACTTATGAAGTTGAAGATACAATTGCTAAACATACTCATCCACAACGTACCATCTTCTCGGTAAACATGTGAAAGCTCATGCCCTTGTTTTTCTTGAGGTTTGCCATTTGAATTTCCTGTGCAACATTATCGCGATCCATTTTAAAAAGAACAACTTGACATCCAAAAGGAAGACAGTCCGAGTCCTCGGTAATGACTCCGTCTGCGAGCCCATTTTTCACCAAATAGGCCAGTTGTGCATCTGCCTCGTATGGTGCCACCACATAAAGCACGTTCTGTTCTTTCAGATGCTAGTAAACATGTCAAATTAGCTAAAAGACATCCAAAACAGGATAATCAAGTAACTCATCCATCCTCACCTGAATGACTCGATGAGCCATGTAAGGAGAAACGTCAGCACCCCGAACGAAACACTTACGAGCCTCAATGAAGCGTCTGCTATGATAGTGTTGAATGCCTAACTCTCGGTTTTTTTGTCGTAACTTGCGTCGTTCTTCTTCTGTGCCCTTTTTCATTGGTAATGGACCTCCATCGAATACAACGTAAGGAATCACACTGTTGCATTGCAGCATAGTGATTCGATCCATAAAGTACTTTACATATCTGTACAATAAAATAAAACAATAAGGTCACTAAACTTCATTATAAGTCGACAAAAAGTGCTTCCGTACTTGTCAGTTTCCTGGCCGAGGCAGATTTCTTGACTACAAGAGTAAATAGCACGATGGAGCCTATCAGTATCCGGATAAAAAATAGAGATAATTAATACATACAAGTGAGAATCGAGTAAACTACTAACAACCTTATTTCTAAAGGTTTATAGCAAGCGATACGTTTATATTTGAGCAACATACCAGCAGTAGCCGTCAATGGCAAGCGTACGTCCTCTGTATTCTTCGATGGATTTGGACTCAGTGATGCTCTTGAGCACTGGTAGGAGGCCAGAGATTCCCATTGTTGCGTCCGTCTTGAGTCTCCCCTTCCCTGCTAGCCGGGCGACGATAAAATGGCGCGTAAATGTTAGATTAGAAATACGGTATTACATCATAAATAGAGTACCTTAAAAGCAAAATTGAAAAAGTTGGTTTTTCTGATTAAAAAAACTCGATTAAATACGTACATTTTCACAGTAGGACAGCATTGGCACTACAGTACTGTATTATTGTCTACTTGTGAGTGCACAAAATTCTTTGGGATAAATATCTTCGCGACTGTCAGTCCTGTTAAACACTACGTTCTGTTTTGCCAGTTGCCTTCTTGGTATACTGGACTCACACTATTGCCTCCTGCTGCTTATCTGACCATTGAGTAGTAGCATTTCGATGAGAAAGCTGATGCAATAGAACTTGCGTTTATCAGTAGTCATCCATGCGGCGTATAGTCTTTACTAGGTTGGTATGCTATTGCAGTTCAGTTTATTACGTTCAAAAGAGTGGCTCAGTAGAGATGATGGCGACTATGCATAAGCTTACTTGCAGTGTAACGCCGTGGACGCCGTTGCCAAGCGCCGAGATTAAGGCCTGACGTGAGAGCAAAGGCATATCAGTCTACATCTATGCTAGATGAAGGACCTCCGAAAGTCAGTCGTCTTGGCCACGATGCGCTGGGGGGCATTGCAGCGTTCAAGAGTCACGGGGCGATTGGCAAGGTCGTGCACGAGGCCTGCATGGAGCGTGGCTATTACCCATCGCACTGAACTCACTACCACTTCCTTAGTCTGTCTACATGGCGGTGAAACGAGGTATTTTTCGTACGAATATATGGTATGCCTCGACGTGTGGAGTGTTCAAAGAGTGGCTACCACATGACTTGACATTTGACAGCTTGGCTGTGGCAACTAAGACCCATTCGGTATAGCGCAATATCTCAAGATATGGGCACGCACGCTGCTCTGGCTCTGAGTCATTAGTCTCCGCGTCATTAGTCTCCGCGTCGTCCGCAAAGTTGCGAGTCTTAAGCACATCAACCTTCTCTGATACTTTGCCTGGATGTAGTTTGCCCAAAAAGTCGTGGAGGGCTTCACATGTTCGACGGATGCTTGCTCTTCGATAATGGTCTAAGAAAACATTCTGTGTTGCGCTTGTGCGACAACAGTAGCACTTCTACGCGCAAAAGTCCCCCAAGCTGCTTGCATGAACAGCTAAGCCGCTGTGCCGCATGTCAAGGTTACGACTGCATCTTTGCTCTACCATCTTGTTCGCTGCGGCTCCATGATCACGCCAAAGGAGAGAGTCTTGGACCACTAACATAAGGGCGGAATATATCTGCAGGAAACGAGTCACGTCATAGCGATTCTGCGTGGACAGCTGCCTTTCATAGTGGTACACTCGCAGTGCCAACGGTTGCTTGTTGCAGCTCTTTGCCGTGTCGCGAAACATGCATTGTCCATTACAGACGAGGCCTCCGAAGGTGAAAACGACAACACTGCTACTTTTACATACACGGCTGCAAATTCTTACGCGCTAACAAACAGTAAAGTAGATCAGTTGTGTATGTTGTACCATACAGTTGGCAATTAGAGATGCAGTTCACATGTGACTGCCCTTCGTGCTACCATGTCTACATATATTGGTAGGTCACAGCCACAAGTCGTATTGTGACAGCAATACAGACACCCTCCGTGTTTACATAAAATGGCGATGAAGCTTCCTGCATTTTCTTCAGTGAGTTTGATCAGTACCAAAAATTGGGATAGACCTTTGTGATATGTACAACACATACGAAGAACCTTCCTCGCTTTACAAACATATCACAATTTGTCTATCCGAATTTGTTGGTACTGATCAAATTCACTAAATACGTGCAGATAAATATCGGCGCGCAAAGCACGGGATGCAGGTTCGAATTTTGCAAGAATTATCGTATTTTAGTAGTTTAGAGGATAACTACTAAAATACGGGAATTAGATAATATATATAGTGCTACTAGAATTTTTAGTCCTCTAACAGCCGCGCATTATATATTATCTAGTTGCTTTATCTTGACTTAGTTTGCTACCTAACGGCAGAGTATGATACATGGTGTAAGCTTCCTGACCATAGTGCGATTTCAGCCGACTGGATTTATTGCATGCCCAGACGAGGCATGCACAATGCATTTGATGAAATCGCTTCCTTGCAATTGCAAGCCCCTAATAGAGAACAGAACACGTATTAGATTTGTACGTAATGGATCAGACGACAGGTGATGCCGCGCAAGACTGCACACATTACCTAATCTTCGCTACCGCGTGGAGATGATGGTATTTATTTGTTTCAAAAGACAGCAAGGCTGCCTGCTTACAGATCGACAAAAGTTAGGCACATGTGGACCGATTGTGACGACCACAGCTGGTTTGATCTGTCCCACGAACAAGAAAATGAATCGCTCTCAGGATCGTTTGTAAATGACCTCTCCGCGACCAATCGGGAGAATTTAACAACAAGCGTGCAACCAGCGCAAGGTCACAACACGGCATTAAGCACTTTATGGTCACTTACAAAGGGCGTGTTATTTTTTCAAGTGTCTAAATTGTAACTGGATTTTTAAAATTGTACATCTAGCTATAACTACTGAATTATGGTAATCCCTTAGATTTTCATTCTCTTTGTTCTAACTTCTGGCCAATCATATACATTACATTGTTGGTTTCTCGACTCCAAGCTTTAGCAGAATTCTTTATTCCGCAAGTAATGCACCAACAGGAACATCGGTTAGTTTTTGCAATAGAGTTGCTTGCTTTGCTACCAATTTACTCACGTTGATCGTATATTTCTAACAACGTATTACAGACCAGCGGGGCGTTGCAGGCGCATTAGTCCAGAAACAAGAGACGACAATGATGCTCCACGAATTCCACGCTTGCTGCCTAGCCGCGCTGTGTTTACCAACGAACGGACGGCCGATTGCCTGTTAGGACTGCTCGCAAGCCACGCAGACAAGCAGATTCCGCTTATTGATGAGCGCGAGTTGGTACGACGGCGTCAACAGACAACAGAGAACTCTCTCCCTGTCACGTCGATCCAAGCCGCATCCAGCGTGATGCATCCGGCAACGCTGCAGCGAAACGAAGAATGTCAGCAGAAAGATTCAAGGATTATCATCAACGACAGCAATAACAGCTGTATAGAAGACAAGACGTCGCTGGCATTACCTCTCGTGGCGTTCCTCGGGCAATTGAACAAATGCGGCTCGCCCCGCCTGCCGGACAATGCAACGTCTCCTCGCTCGTCGTGGGACGAAAGTCCTTTGAACGAGCGACTGGATGCCACAGCAAGTCCACGACAGACTATCACATCCACAAGTCGGTTTGCTCCGACACCGCCTACCACGTCCTCATGGCGTGTACACAGCCTCCTTTCACCAGACCCGACTGTGATAATGCAGTCGCACAACTCTCACAAACGTCGCACACCTGCATCTTCTTCACCACAAAAGCAGACTGGTGTTACTATGAGTGCTACAAAACGACCTCGTCTTGTTCGCCGCGTCTCGTCACATTGGCGCAAAGAGCTGTTTCCGCGAGATCGGGCTCAGACACGTGAACGGATTTTGCGCAGTCTGCACAGTCAATGTCAAGGTGATTACGAGACGCTCGTGCTGATTCTCTCATCGATGGAGGAGGAGCTCTTGCACATAAAGACAACGTCCAGCGATATATACGCGCAACAGGCATTTGATCTCAGCAACCTTATCGAGCACGCAACGCTTGAGCGGTAAACTTTTTGTGTAAAGCTGTGTGCATGTGTAAATGTGAGATGCGCGACGAGGGCAGGTAGACCCCGAGAACGCATTGAGAACGACGAGAGAAGATGGCGTTGTAGAAAGCGTTACGGGACAAAAATTGCAACCACAAAGCGGTTCTTTGAAGCGCAAGTGAAGATAAGGCGTGTAGCCAGTATCCAAGACGGGAGAAGAAACCAAAGCAGGTACGAAGATGTCAATCATTGATGTGGAAGCCGATGTGAACATGTAGTTTGTAGCAGAAGTAAAACCTCTTGTGGGGAATGTCTGTTTGCTTACCGAAGCAAGCATTCTAGTTATAGGAATTTGTGTGCAGGTAATAATAGGAGCAAGCTGTAGCTCGTGAAGTTGTTCTTGGAAGCGCAGTAAGAACAGGATTGCGCTTTACGAGAAGACCTTTGCAGACTGAGCCTACTCATGTCACGATGTCACAGCGTCAGCCTTGTGCAATAGTTGTCGTCTTTTTCAGATACTCGTGTGGACGCTCAACTTGCAGAAGAGCTGAAGAACAAGTTGAACCTCATTACACAGTACGTCAGTATTTCCATCACTTGAACAAGTCCTGAAACGACTTCGAATGATGCGACTGCTCATTTTTGATCCGGCCTCATCCAGCTTCGACTTCTCGTTTGCATTGAACAGGACTACAAAGCGGGGGCGATACTTGTGGTAATCATAACTCGGCAAAGATGATGCTCGTGAAACGTGGGACCTTAAAGGAAGTGCAGCGCAAGCAGCAAAAGGCGCGTCCGACGAGGTATTGCAAAGCGCACGAAATGAACGAGTTGGAGCCACTTGAAGAAGCACTCACACTCTATCGGCATGGTCCAACTGAAGCGATTCACTGAGTGACAAGAGGAAATTGGATCCAGCACTTTTCATTCATGGCGACCTCGTTTGCTAGGAGGCATGAGATCCCAGCACCTACTGTCGTACTGGTGCTTGGTCATGACTTGAACTACAACTTGCGCTTCAGCAAGCCGGTCAAGAAGTCGAACGAGTTTCCGTCCGGGTAGAGCTCGAGACGCGAACCATCGTCATCTTGTGCCAAGAGGCAGCCCGTACTGGTAAGTCCCTTAATGACAGCAGATACCTTCTCACCGCTTGCATCGTCACTGCTCGTGACCTGCACTACCTGGTCCGTGTGCAGCCATCGTGCTAAATAATCGGTCATGAACGGCTCAAATCCTTTTTCGAGGAACAGCTTCTCCATGGGCTCGTACACGTTACAAAACGCCGCCAAAAACTCTTCCCTGCATCACTTTGTCAGTAAGACTAGACACACATTAGAGGAAGTGTAGGGAAGTGCACATTCTTACTTTGTGATGGTACAAGGGTGCTCCTCCGAGCTCAAGATGTCCTGAAGACAGATCGTCGGCGACCGGTTCGAAATGTTAATGCCAATGCCTGCACAACAACTTCGTCAGCTTTTATCCTTTCGATCAAAATCAGCCTCCATCTCACGCACCTGTCGTGACGCTGAAAGTGCCGTCGCGGTACTCGGACTGGCACAAGATGCCCCCGATCTTGACCTGATTAGCGTAAATGTCATTGGGCCACTTGATCCTCACGGGTCCAGCAGTACCAGGCACTGCAGCATGCACTACCTCCACGGCCTTGATGATAGCCAATGACACGAGATATTGTACAAAAGGCAGCGTCGTGCCATCCACAAAGGCGCTCTGGAAAGAAAAGGTAAGACAACCTTCGGGCGACGACCACGTGTTGGTGCCTCGTCCCTTACCGCTCAACTGCAGTTCGGTGTAGCACACGAGACCAGGCGGTGCCATGGGCTTAAGTGTCTCGCGTAGCAGCGTCTGCGTCGATCCCAATGTGGGGCTATAGAGCACGACACCACCCAGTTCTTGCGTCTTTAACAGCGAGAAAAGCTTTCTTTGCAAAACGTTCGAGCCTTCAGAAGTTACTGCAATAGAGTACGAGGGCTTTGCATGTTCCAACCACGTCTGCAGCGCGTTCAGGTGACGCTCCGAGCGTGCGTAGTAACGCAATTCTTCCGTCATTTTCTTGCCGAGCATATGCTGCTGTAGTCAGATCGGGTGTATCAAAATGAGACGAAAAACTGAGCGATTTGTTAAGCGATTGTTTCGAGGGTTCTTCATCTAGGCTACTCCATGTTGCTGCAGCTACATGTTCGCGCAAAGCACTTATCTCTTCTATATGCAAGACTAAGCATACTTCTACTTACTGGAAGCGCATGAAAAACGTCGAAGCCGGATCCAGGTACTTGATGTCCAAATTGTAGCTTGGGCCCATCGAAGAGCTCAAGTGAGCAGCCTAAGTGAAACAACCAGTACAGTAACATGAGCATGCTTCTCTCTTCACAATGACAGACTGGACGCATATTGCCGTACCTTAATGTATTTGCCCTTTGCGCCCTCTGGTTTGGCGTCACTGAGCGCAACCATAAAAGCTCGCACGTTTTCTAGCAGTGCCTCTTTCGAGAAGCTCATCTTGCCCACGCCAGCATGAATAATACCCTTCTTCTCCGCACGAAACTCCACCTGACCACCACGTGCTGCTGCAATAGCATCACCAACTTCCTGCGTCACCGTGCCCAGCTTTGGGTTGGGCATGAGACCGCGAGGTCCAAGAATTCTGGCTACGCGGCCCACCAACGGCATCACATCAGGCGTTGCAATACAGCGATCAAACTCAAGCTTTCCACTTTGCACCAGTTCCACAAGGTCTTCAGCACCAACAATAGTAGCACCAGCAGCCTTTGCCTCTTCAGCCTTCGGGCCGCGAGCAAACACGGCGATGCGCACTTGCTTGCCCGTACCGTTCGGTAGACTCACCACACCACGTACGCTCTGATTAGGCTTGCGAGGATCCACACCTAATTGAATAGCAAGGTCCACCGTCTATAGTAACCAGCACATAAATAATCATCAGTCGAGAGCGTAGAGCACACACGAACGAAGCCAATCAATTGCGTTTCCTCCTCACCTCGTCAAACTTGCGCGTCTTCTGGGTCTTGCACTTGATCAAAGCCGTCTGGATATCAATAGGAGCCTGCAAAATGTAGCCACAAGATACGTAATAGAAGCTTAAAATGTTGATCGATCCGTTACTGAGCCAAGCGAGTAATCGAAAGAAACCAACCTTTGCAACGTTAGAGCGACGAGGTACAATGCCTAGTGCTGTAGGAGAGCGAGTAACCGTATCAGTGGAGGTGTGAAGCGTCGAAAAACTGCGAGCCCAGCACGAGACAGCACGCGTCTGCACGGCGCTGGTACAGAACAGCACGCGCATGGTCATGAGACGGATGGACACAATGTTGGAATGTTGCACGAACACGGGTCGAGTCTCTTATGTTACGCGAATGTGAGTACGGCAACAAGTTCAGTGTACTAGTGTTTATTTTCTTAAATGAGACTCTCGACGACAATTATTGCAGCTACTTTAGTTGTTGGGAAGGCAATAAGAAGCTCTATCGCAGATGAAGCAACGTGTAGTAGTCTTAATGGACCATTCTGTGCTGGTTTTGGGTCTGGATTCGCATTATCCCCACTGCACGCGAGGCAGAATCTCGATGTAAGTGAAGAGGTGAGATCGTCGTAACGTGGCGAAGTATTATAAAGTGATAAAGGACTGACAGATAAGGTTGGTTGTATACGTAGGAGATAAAGGCAAAGCAAGTAGCAAAGAACTGGAAGATTGACAAGATTTTGAAGCAGGATGAGAGGCAAGTGGCTACGGATGAAGATGAGGAGGAAGATTTTTTCCTGAGCCTTGCGACCATTCTGGATGAGAGTTTGGCACAACTGAATGATGTGGACGACGAGAAATTGAATTCGATGGCAGGTGCATTTTCATTTACTAGTGAAAATGGTGTCTTTGAGCTGCTAGATGAGATGAACGGGGACGAGTTAAAGGTACGGCTTCCAACCATTGACATTATCTATTGACATCGTCACTGCGACTGATAGTTGCTATGTAATTTGATATGTAGGAGCTCTTTGAGACGGCGCTGAACGAGGTCTTGGTGTCAGCAGAAACGATCCCGGAGGAAATATCATCGAAGGCAACAGAGGGCCTGCGTAAAACGGCGCGGCAGCTCAAGGCACTAAAGGATTACAAGACCTACACGTTCGAAAAGCTGGACAAGTCACAGTTAGCAAACATTCGACAAAAATTTGCCAACCATCGCCTTGTGGAGTTGCAGCAGATGTTTGAGCAGCTTGTGATCGCTGATGACGCGCATGATCGACAGTTGGCACTTGAAACTGCTATCTTTTTGTTTCAACTAGCTCAAGAAGAGTCGAATACAGTCAACGTGTAGTGACACGGGTACATACATTACCACAGCCATGAAAGATGTCACGGATATCTTCTGTAGCACATAGTAACGAAGCCATCGTTTTCTCTCGAATCAGACCTGATCCTGTATCTCCATTTCGCACGTCACTTTTCATTTTGCTACCAATGGCAGGCCTTGGTGGGATGTTGTCGGACGGAGACTGGCCGTGTCCTAATACGAGGTATATTCACCTTGTTCTGATTGTACTGAATTACACACTTATCCCAGACTTGTGTCTGTAGCTGCTCGAATGTCAACTTTGCACGACGCACCGTGTGTAATCGCTGTCAAACACCTCGATCTGAAGTAATTGGAGGTGATAAGTTCAAACCAAAGGAAGGGACGGATCTACGGGGCCCGCCTGGTCTGTTTCAATCTGGAGACTGGACATGCAACACGTAGGATGTGTGGGGAGTTTGATGAAAGCGAGGCTGGTTGTACGTACTGACGTTGTTGTGGCAGATGTGGCAATATCAATTGGGAACGACGTTCCGAGTGCAATATGTGCAAGAGCTCTAAGCCAGGGATGCCTGGACTGGTGAGATTGTGACAGAGAAACTAGTGAAGCAGTGGTAGTAATGACTATGGTGTTGATTTGGGTCTCAGGATGAAAAGCGAGACGGTGCTGGAGGCGGCTTTAATGAGCGCCAGCAACGGTGAGGATGTAGTAACAATTGATTGGTGTCGTCATTAAAACTAACGTAATGCTTTGACGTGTTTGTTGTTTACGAGTAGAGTTGCATCGGCTAAGAAAGAGGTTGGTGAAGATGGCTACGATGACTTTGGCGTGAGGAAGAAGGTGCGTGTGGATCGAGACACTGCAATACACTACGGCATGCTCATGTTTAAGCTGTTTTTTTCATTAATGTAGAAAGTAAAAGCATCCAAGGCGGAGCGTGAGGCTGCAGCACTCGCTCGTTTACAGCAGTCTTACAGGTGCGCCATATATACGGAGCTCATGGTGATTATCGTGCTAACACTGTTTCCTGGTTCCAGCGCACTCTACCAACCGCCTCAAAGTGCTACTGACTCTTCGGAAATGTTGGCGTTGTCCGAGTCGAAAAAGGCTAGTGACAAATCACTAGTCCCAGCTGCTCTTCCTACCTCGCTAGATGGCGGCGAGAAACGGCGCAGTAGATCACCGATATCGACATCACGAGTTGGCGATTCATCCAGATCACGTGGTCAAAGTCGCGAGCGACGCCGCCATAGTCCAAGCCGGGTGAAGAGGGATCGACGTGAACGAAGCCCTCCTGGCCGTGGTCGAGATGGCCGCCAGCGCAGTCGTAGTCGCGGTTGCAGCAACGATCGGGAGCGAGACCGTAGTCGGCGTGACAGGCGTTACAGGTAGATTCAGATTGTGCAATGCAAGCCACCACTGATTTTATAAGCCATTGATTCAAGTTTTGAAGGCGGCTTTGCTTGTTGAGACTTAACTTCAGGTAAGCTACTGTTGGCCTGACGATGAAGACATGCACAACTCAACGTACAGTGACTGGACTTTTGCCATTATTGGAACATCTACCACTGGTGGCGGACTTAACCTTGGGGCAACGTTCCACGCGCTCGATCCACAATACCTTTCACGTACACGGGTGCGATTTCAAAAAGATTCTTCAAGATAATGTCCGGGTTGTTATAGCTCTTGGTACGCTCTTCCGGATCCTTGTCTAGCTCAACTTTCACAGACCACAGCAACAGGCTTCCTTGACCCGTTGCATCGCTAAAGTTTTTCAATAACACCCTACAAGTTACAACATCCAACATAGCACAACGTAAGACTCTTGCAAACAAACGGACGAGCACATGACCCAAAATGAGTTCGTACGCAGCGGCGACGTCCCGGCGAATGTAATCGGCCGATCTGGGATAGTTGGGGTCGTTCATAACGGACTGCGAGATCAATGACGAACTGCCGTCTGGGTTATCACGCTTCTGGTTGATGGTCAAACTCTCCTCCTTCATCACGCCTCCGCCAACCGCAGCGTCGCTGGACATAGTCAGGTTCACCACTCGGCGAATGTACTTCGTGTTCGGGTCGATTTCTTCCAAAACCCCAGCTGTCTCCGTAAATGCAAAGCCCTTCTCGTAGTTTTCGTCACCAATGATCGACCAGAGATCATTCATCAAAACGTTTGCATTGCAACCGTAGAGGTGATGGCGGAAGAAAATGCCCATTTCGTTCTTGCCTATTTCATATTGAACTTCCAGACCAAAGTATGTCATAGTGGACGTCTTCGGGTTGCGGAAGGCGGTCTCGCACGCCGTGAGCTGTTTGTCAGCATTCGCCATAGCCTCCGAAGCTAAATCAATGAGCCGCTCACGAAACGACCCCGACTGTAGCTGAAGGACTGAGGGCACTGCCGAGATGGTGCTTGACAGTGCAGACGGAGTGGTAACACCCGACGATGACGAGTTCAGAATCATGTCTAATGAAGGCATATTAAGCAGCGGCTGCTTTGTGAAATAATCCTGCAGTCGCTGAATAAACTTCATCTGCTCCATCAGAGTCTTGCGTAGAAAATCATTCTCCTGGTCTACACGAGCGCGAATCTCCGCATGTTGCTCGGCTTCCTGCTTCCAGCCAAGCTCCGTGTTGTGTTCGGATGGCTCAGACGACTGTAGCACCTCAATCTGCTCCTTCAGATCTTTCACCTTGGAACGCAGGGCAATGAGCTCGTCTTTCTGACGCTGTCGATGTTTACGAGCAGCCTTTGCAATCTGCGCACGTCGCTTGGCTTTCGGATCTTCATACTCCTCGGGTTGTTTCCGGCCGCCGTCGTCCCCTGACTCGGCATCAGCATTAGAACTTGGAGCCTTGCGTTTCTTCGTAGTCTTCTTGTCCTTGGCAGCAATAGTAGTAGCCGTTGCAGCACTCGAAGCTGTCGTGGGAGTAGTACTGCCCAAGCTTGGAAACATTGGCGAGTTAACGCCCATGAGGGAATTTGTGCGGCCGCCGCCATGAATAGGCGCAAGACCATTCGAGGTAGAAGACTGCAGACTAGGCATAGATAGCGGCATGTTCATGCCCATGGGTAATCCCATACTATTGTTAACATTTCCAGATGTCATACCCATGGGTAATCCCCCCATGCTGCTATTGTTACCAGTCCCAGATGTCATGCCCAAGGAATGACTTCCTCCAGCATTTTGCAATGCATGTGCAAGACTTCCGGGAGAGGGTAATGAAGTTGAACCAGTTGAATTACCAGTCCGTGAATTTGTAGACTCCCGTAGTAGATTATGAAACCCGTCCATGGTCTTAAAAGGTCACTTGTGATTACGAAGAGGGACTTGTAACTGACGGAAGCGTTTACGTAAGCGACGATTCTTGAGTGACGCGGCGAGCCAGTCAGTCGTCTTGGGAGAGAGGGGAGAGGGGGTATACAAAAACCAACATGTACAGAAGACTATTTCCAGCTGGTCTTGAAAAAACTGCATCCAATTGCAAGCCATGGTACAAATCCCACTTCCCTTATCGCAACTACAATGTGCCAATCAGGAGGTAGGAAAGTAAGACAAGAAAAGGTCCATTGATTGCGACATCTTGGTTCGTAAATGTCACGGAATTGACAAATATTCGGGTAAATGTATTAGTTGAAAATCAAAGTTGACATTTCATGGAGATACCCAAAGTGGAGCCTGTCGCTGCTGCTCATTGCCCGCCACGCTTCTCGGGTACGAGCAAGACGAAAGCCAATGAAGTCTCGAAACAATCGTGCTGTACGTCCAGTCAAGATTGTCAGAGTGATGGGTACGTATAAACATTGGCTTTGCAACGTATGAGAATGTCGTGACACAAGTTATATACAAAATGCATGCAGATCGCAGGAGCTCACCGTGCACAATCTAAAGACTAAACGCAAACCATCAGCTGCTGCGCTAAAACGGCGGATGGCAAATCATATTCCGGACGAGATTACAATGGACACCGAGCTGACGAAAGCTATCGAACAGGTGCAGTGGGGTGTCTGGCAGTTACAAATTAGCTGCACTAATACACGATCTTTGGGCTGCCAATTTATTGACCTGTTGCTTTGTGTAGCTGCCGTGGAACTACAACTTTGAGATCCGCAAGACTGTGTGGCGGATCCGTCAGGCTGGCAGCAAACGCGTGGCGCTGCAGTTCCCCGAAGGTCTGCTGCTTTACGCTTGCGTCATCTCTGACATTATCGAGCGATTCACGGGTGCTGACAGCATTATTCTTGGTGACGTACGTCTACTATGAGTAGATTGTTTGCTCGATACTTGCAATAACAAAGTTGTTTTTGCATAAGGTGACGTATGGCGCCTGTTGCGTGGACGATCTCAGCGCACTAGCACTTGGAGCGGACTTTATGATACATTATGGCCATAGTTGTCTCGTTCCGATTGACGTTACGTCGATCAAGATGCTTTACGTGTTTGTGGATATTGCCATTGACGTTGATCATGTGCGTAATGTCGAACTAAGTAGTACAACGACTTGTCGAGCACTGATAACGTTGTTTATGCTGGCTGCTTATCATTGTAGCTTGTTGACTGCATGAAATTGACCTTTGCACCAGACACCAAGGTTTGTGATGAACTGCCTGCAATCTTTCTGTGCTCGTCTGCTTTGTTGTGTTGCCCAGTTAGCTAATACTCCTTTTCATGCATGTAGCTTGCTCTGATGGGAACTATTCAGTTCAGTAGTTCTATCCATCTCATTTCTTCAAGGCTTAAAGACTATTTTACAAGTATGGTCGTGCCTCAGGTCAAGCCATTGTCTCCTGGTGAAGTGCTAGGCTGCACGTCGCCCGTCATCAAGGGAGTCGACGCCCTTGTGTTCATTGCCGATGGTCGCTTTCACCTCGAGGTATGTCTCGTAAAGCAGTGACCTATTGCACGCCACCTATCTTACATTGTTTATCATATTTACTATACTCAAGTCAGCGATGATCATGAATCCGCACCTGAAAGCCTACCGCTATGACCCCTACCCAAAGATCCTTACGCTCGAGAAGTACGATCTTCCACAAATGATGGAAATTCGACGTGCCGCTATTGACCAGGCTAAGGGCGCAAAGAAGTTTGGAGTCGTGCTTGGAACGCTTGGGCGTCAGGGCAACCCACTCATTCTCGATCACGTGAAGGAGTTGCTTGAGCAGAGTGGCAAGGAGTATTTCGTGCTTCTGCTGTCTGAGCTCTTCCCCGACAAGGTAATTGTATCGTGAGTACTTGTTATCACCATTCCTGTTACTCATCGCTTCTTTCGGTCACTTCATGAACAGCTTGCACGGTTTAAGGACGTTGATGCGTGGATTCAGATTGCGTGTCCACGACTGTCGATTGATTGGGGCTACGCGTTTCCGAAGGTCTGTGACTTGTGTCAGCATTTCATTTTGTGTGAAACTTTCCTAATCAGCTATACTGATGTGTCATTGTGCTTGCAGCCATTGCTCACAGCGTATGAAGCAGAAGTATGTTTCGAGAAAACACAGTGGAGAGAAGGGTCATATCCAATGGACTTTTACGCCAAGGAAAGTGGTCCCTGGACGAACTATCATGACCGCAAGAAGCAAACTGCTGCATGAGCATCAGAGTCAGCAAGAAAAAAGTGACACCATCTGAATCACGAAAATTGTTTTGCATTTTGGTCAATGACGTCTGCTCAGTGTTTGCATCAGTCTGATAACTATTAACTTTGGGCGTGGGTGTCAGTGGTTCTACTTTTTTCATGCAGAACAATAATAGAAACGGTTATGAACGGTGTTTGTGGCAGCAAATATTGTATCGAGTGGCAACTGACCTCGGACTGAGCACCTGCTCTGATAGTGGGCTGCCTAAACTCTCGTGGGGCAATTTTGAGAAGTTCTGTGGTGCATCGGGGTGAATTTTAAAGATTTCCCTGCAATACAAAGACAGAAAGAGTAAGTAGATGCAACTGGCGGCGAGCCAATCACGCAAACATACTCGTAGATGAGTTCCTTCAGCCGAGACTTCGTGAGATCCTCTTTCTCAAAATCAAAGCTGAAAACGCTGTCAGCAACAGGCTCGTCCTCCAGGTTGTGCAATGATGCCAAATACGGATGTTCCAGTGCTTCCTCCACTGAAATACGTTTCGCAGGATCAAACAAAAGCATATGCTGTAGCAAATCAATGGCTTCGGGTGCTGCATTCGGGAAAAGTTTTGCAAAGGACATTCCAGGTCGCACGGGCTGGCTTTGCATGAACCGTCTAGCTCTCTCGCTGACAACGAAGTGCAGGTCCTCTTCACTCGGAGTTCCAATTTTGTCACAGATAATCTGTAGTTGGTGAATATAATCATCGCCAGGGAAGAGCGGTGTACGACCGAGTAACTCCGCGAAAATGCACCCAGTAGACCAAATGTCAATAGCCTTTGTGTACTCCCTGGATGAGAGCATGATCTCGGGTGCACGGTACCAGCGCGTGACGACATATTCCGTGAGCTCCATGTTATCTTCCTCGGGCGTAACGCCTCGCGATAGACCAAAGTCGCATACCTTCAAGTCACAATTCGAGTTCAAGAGCAGGTTCGAAGGCTTCAAGTCCCTGTGAAGAACGTTTGCTGAGTGAATATACTTGAGCGCTCGCAAAATCTGGTACAGGAAATATTGTACGTGGTCTTCAGTTAGTGGCTGTCTCGAGTAAATTATTCGGTGCAAGTCTGTCTCCATAAGGTCTGCAATGATATACACGTCGTCAAACTGTGCCAGGGATAATGGTGGCAACAAGTCTACGATCGTAATCACGTTTTCATGGTCAAAGTGCTGCAAGAGCTTTATCTCGCGCAAAATGCGCTTGGCATCTACGAGGTCTTCAAACGCTCTCGAGATCTTCTTCACCGCTACTTTCTCATTTGTCTCTGTATTTTCCGCAGAGCTACAAGAAACAAATACAAGACATCAGTCAAAGAAGGACACTTTTACATGTGCCCATTCAATATGCAGTTTCTTACATGACAACTCCATACGCGCCACGACCAATGACCTTGATAAATTTATACTTGTCATCGATCTGAAAATTCGTCCCTGCTACAACAAAAGAGTACGTACCCAGCCGAGCAGGTGCTGCAACGACTGCAGTCGTAGTGCTTGTTACATGTTTAGAGCTTATTGCATCAACTAAAGCTGAAGTATCTGAAGGACCATTGTGGGTGATACCACGGAGCACTTCTGTTTCTGATAAAGTCTTGGCTGGTAATGATGAAGGCGAGTCAACTGGTTTCAATGGAGAAGAAAAAGCAGGTTCACTTGGCGTATAACTTGTCATCTTGATTTTGTGGGTCTATGGGACTCGAAATTCAGAGCGAGCTTTGACGAATACAAAAGAAACAAGACTTGATTGTTCTCACCTTTAATAGCGTTAATATAGTAGACAATATAAGGTGCAAAATGGTACGGGCAATGAGTTCTTTGGGTTTGTGGCTGTAGATACAAATGCGCTCACAGATTAGAGGAACCTTCTACGTAACGCACGTTAGGAAAAGCCACATTATTTTAGATATTACAGTACGAAGACGATGCAACTAGGCGACTGATGGCAGCCCACGCAGCGCCGTCGTCTATAAATACCCGGCAACGGACACGACCTTTTGGAGCAGCAGTGTCCTACGATTGCGGGAATGATGGTGGAAAGAGTGATGGTTGCTTCAACTTGTGATGTTGCCTTTTCTTTCTACCAATCCGTACACGCCATTATATTTATGCGTTTCGGATTGGTCAAAACGTAAAACCTCAGTGATATCCTCATCCCCCGAGGTTTTTTCGTACACTAGGGAGAAATCTTTTTTAGTATTAAAACATACAGAAGAAGGTGGAGAAAACGAGAAGCTGCTAGTATGGGCCAGGGCCAGAGCGGATTGCCACGCTCGACACGCGAGGAGACCGCAAAGAAGAAGGATGATGCAGCTAAGCAAAAGAAAAAGAAATTTGAGCCACGTGGTGGCGCCATGACACGTAAACGTCGAAAGAAAAAAGGACCCACGGCGGCTGTACGTATTCCGACGGTGTATCCGACAGCTAAATGCAAATTACGCCTGCTCAAGATGGAGCGGATCAAAGATTTCTTGCTTATGGAACAGGAATTCATTCAAAACCAAGAGGTTATGAAGCCAATGCAGGAAAAGGACGAGGAAGAACGTTCTAAGGTGGACGATCTACGTGGTACACCCATGGGCGTTGGGACGCTTGAGGAAATGATTGACGATAATCATGCTATTGTGTCATCTTCTGTGGGTCCCGAGTACTATGTAGGTGTCATGTCGTTTGTAAACCAGGATATGCTAGAACCTGGATGCTCAGTACTGCTACATAATAAGATCATGTCAGTCGTGGGCATCTTGGCTGATGATGCAGACCCTATGGTAAGTGTCATGAAGGTGGACAAGGCACCTCTCGAGTCGTACGCAGATATTGGTGGTCTTGAGTCACAGATTCAGGAAATTAAAGAGGCAGTGGAGCTGCCGCTTACGCATCCAGAGCTGTACGAGGGCATTGGTATTCGTCCACCCAAGGGTGTTATTCTGTACGGTGAGCCTGGTACAGGCAAAACGTTGCTGGCTAAAGCCGTGGCTAATCAGACGTCGGCTACGTTTTTACGTATCGTTGGCTCTGAGCTGATTCAAAAGTACTTGGGTGACGGCCCGAAACTTGTGCGTGAAATGTTTCGTGTGGCAGACGATTATGCACCATCAATTGTGTTCATTGATGAGATCGATGCTGTTGGTAGCAAACGTTATGACTCGAGCAGTGGGGGTACCCGTGAAATCCAACGTACCATGCTCGAGCTACTGAACCAGCTAGATGGCTTTGATGAACGTGGTGACGTGAAGGTGATTATGGCGACGAATGCCATCGAAAGCCTTGATCCTGCTCTCATTCGTCCTGGCCGTATTGACAGAAAGGTGGGTCTTATTTTATGCAAACAGGCACTGTGTTCACAAGACCGAATAACTTTTTTGTTGGGGTAGATTGAGTTTCCTCTTCCAGACATCAAGACGAAGCGCCGTATCTTTGGTATTCACACAGGCCGTATGAGCCTGGCAGATGATGTTGACCTGGAAGAATTCGTCATGTCGAAGGATGAGCTCTCAGGAGCGGACATCAAGGCTGTTTGCACAGAAGCCGGTCTACTCGCGCTGCGGGAGCGTCGTATGCGTGTGACGCAATCGGATTTTCGAAAGGCAAAGGAAAAAGCGCTATACAAAAAGAAGGCCAACATTCCTGAAGGACTCTATCTATAAGCACATAGAGAGACAAAGTACGGCTTCAGCGTCCCAGAAGAACTTAGGTGACAAAGAATGAGGTGTGCTCGAGAGACAAGTTGCGGTACGTGGTCTTTACCCTCTCGTTAAAGGTCATACGGAAATACCACTTGGCACGCCAATTTGAGCTCTTGTTTACCATATCTACAGTACGCGAATATTTTGCCACTAACACGTTAGCTGTAGAGTTTTTATCGAGCTACACCAAAAGAATTACATACAGTCCAGGTTCATTCATTTACCGGGTACGAAGCGACGAGATTCCTGGCAGCCACGATATAATGGCAAAACGAGCTCGGGAAATTTTCATCTCGGTTGATAATTTATGTGCCGAGGATGACAAACCATTGACTAACCCACAGAATCTGATCTTGCCAGAATACGTCTTGTCAATAACGACAAGCTTCACATCGAAACGAATCGCCAAGTTTAACAAATTTGCTCGTTGACTCTCGAGCAAAACAGCTCTTCGTTTAGTGTCGGGGTTTTGCATTGCGTTGCTCGTGATGGCGTCGTGAACAGACAATGCACCACGAGTGGGATTATCAAAAGCATGACGTCGCCAATTGTGAATGGCGTTCGCCCACTTGGTCATACTCATGGAAGTAGCTGCTGCAAACACAAACGTCTTTTCACGCTTGCCGGCCAACTCGAACGCACCCGCCTGATCATTTCTCCTCACCTCTAACACATGCACCGCAAACCGATTTGGACACAAACCAGCATCGTCACCACAAAGTAGCTGCACGCGGACCCGATGTCTTGTAAGTTCGATCGATTCGAAGAGCACTCCACTCGGCTGGTCAAAGCAGCAAAGCATGCCATACTCCAACACGCAGTATTGCACCTGCGCACTGCTCTCCTGTGAAAAGAAGAGCAGAAATCCTTCCATCCGTTTGAAAAACAGACAAGAAAGTTGAGCGTCACGCTAGTTTTTACTTTGAAGCCAAGTCGTCTTAGAACAGGCAAAATGGAATGACGTTTATAACGCAGCAAGCAAAATGATCCTCCACCTGTTAAGTCGATGGTCGACAGTCGAGATCTCGCTCGCACGACTTAATTACTGGTATTTTGTATAACTGCAAAAAACCTATCTCTCCTTCTCCACCCTGTTGTACTGTTGTACAGGATAAGTCTCATCTGTCCATAATCAAATGCTGCTTACGGCTCCAAATTATTACTGCGCCGATAATGACCATCGGTAAGCTTCAAAATGGATTCCCCTGCCATCTGGCGGCTACGAGAGAGCGTTTGAGTCTGGAAAGTGACAGAGAGCAAGCTAGCAACATCACGAGCGAAATTTTAGCGATTAACATTGATATTCACCACCACGTGCGCCACGAAACCGTCGTTCACTGGTTTGACATCTGGTTGCGTAGATTGCCTGTAACGCGTTCAATGGAGGTGTTTGGACGGTCTGACGAGTGATAATTGCCGTACGGTCTGTTTTGTTCAGGCGGTGGCTGACCTATCTCATAGCCGCCACTGTATTGCTGAGGATAAATGTCAGACAGATTCGGCTGAATAGGGGGGTGGTTGGCATTCGGGTAGCGGCCCCAAACATTTCCACCCACATGAGCATTGTTGTAGTACTGTCCGCCGCTATAGTCCCTTGTGGATCCAGCTGGTGTCGTCGAGTACACCACTACTCGTTCAGGACCACCGTTAATCATTCCAGCATCATTTTGCTGACCTCTAGCATCCCACAAGCCTGCTTGTTGTGGTCCAAGCTGCATCGATTGCTGATTATATGGACTCCAATTGGGTGGCACATTTCCTCGTCGATCAACATCACATTCTCGGTAACCTCCGCTAACATTATACTCCTGATTGGGAGGCAAACGACGAGCACGTCGCATCCGATTTGACGCATTCCCACCACGTTGATGGCGAAGATCTTCACTGTTGCGTCCGCCCCTGGCATCGTTGCGAAGTGGAATCGTCGGTCCGTACGTGGATGACTCGGTGATCACTGACTGACACTTCAGAGAATTGTTGTACATTTCCGCCACTTCGTGGTATCTCTGAGCCGTGTGTTCATGCAGTATTGCTAGCACCTGCTGCGCTGCTAACTGTTTCGCAATTTTCTTTGTCGAAGCAACACCCTGCAAAAAGACTCGTTATTACAGGCAAGTTAATGTTTTCCTTGCAATCACACTATACCTCGGCAACCGTGCTACCAGCAGTTACTATCGTTTTGAAAAGCTTTACCCCACCACCATTAATTGGCACCGTGTTGTAGTTAATGGACACACCACGATTTCGGTTTTGATACTCCTGAAGTACTTGTGCTGGTGTTTTTATCGAGAGTTCCATGCACGCCTGTTTACAAATTGTCACATTAGTTGCACGGAAATTGGCATTTCTCTAGTACAACGTCACCTACTTGGAGGACACAAGGGTCACTTATAGACAGCTTCTTGAACTCTTCTAACGTCTGAACAGGATAAAATAAAATCAAATAAGTACCACAAAAGCTGCCGAATGATTTACAAGGTAAATATATCACCATTGATGGCTGCGAGTCACTACTCTTCTGCTCTTTCACCAGCACGTCCAGCTTACGCTTCTTCGATTGAGCCTACCAGCATGACACATGGTTTAGATACTCCACCATTTGCAATATAAACAGATGAGCTGTCTCGATTGTTCAACAGCATTTACCGGTTCTTGGGAAACAGACATTGACGACGAAGTACAATCAGCTGTCGAGTCTGAATGCTGTCTCTGTATGACCTCACCCGACGTTGAGGCAAAAGTGTTTAACGGGGGTACGTGCTGCTTAACGAGACGATGGAGTTCCGACTGAGACAATGTCCCAGAGTGTCCGACCCCCAGTGAATACGGCCGCGTCCAGCAAACGACACCCAGTCCGTTGTGTACGTAACAAGGCAGACCAGAGCCATGAATGATCTGTTGCCAGCCGGAAGGCAGCGACGTATCGGCCGTTTCGGACACGGTATTGCTGCTGCTGGAATTGTTACCATCAGTAGCAGCTACTAATGCCACTGAGCTCAGTTGCATTAACCCAGAGGCAGATGCGTAGTTATCCAGATGCTGCTCTGCGTTGGTATGCGAGGTTCCCATAGCTTTGGGAGTATTAATGCCCCATGAAATGTATTAATTCTACTTAAATATTTCTCGTCTAAACCAATCACATCGTCATATAGTAAGCTTTTTATAGAGGAAAATGACTACAAAACGATTAATATTCTTCTAAATTTATATAAATTTTTACAATATCGACAAAGATAAAAAACCCTCTCACCAAGTCATTGGCAAAGGTTCACTTCTTATCGACAGCTGACCTTCAGATTCCATAGAGTCATCATCTCCTTGTAATAGACTTTTCCTTGCTAGACGCAGCCGCTCAAGTCGTTGTTCGAATTTTCTACTAAAATTCCACAGTCTACGCAAAATCTCCTTGTCAGTGCGTACGGACGGTTCCTCAAACTCTTGTAGTGTATCACCAAGCAATGCAGAATCCACCGTCTCAAGTCTTAAATCACCATCTTCATGTAATGAACAGCCATTCTTCACCCAAAAAAGTTTAAGTGCCTCCTTGACTATCCTCTCGTTCAGTGCACGGTTCTTTCGACGCAACGCTTCATTGTCCTTCTTCAATTGCTGCAGATACTTAATCTTCTGCTGCGGGTTGTTGCAACTCACCAGCCTTATATTTTCGACGTCTGCACGCTCCGCCTCAGCAATAGCATCATCGCGCTGAACTCTCATATCATTTCGCGTAATATCGTATGTTTCCACGAGTATTTTCAGCTGCCGTACGCTATCCCACAGCTCGTGCAGCTTATACTGGCACCGCGCATGGTCCTTCAAGATTTTCAAGTCCTCCTCCATAACTCTCTGAAACGCTGATGGAACTCCAAATATCGCCGTGGCCAAGCGGGATAAACTTCTATCGTTATTATTCCCAATTTTTTCATTGACAACCACGGCTTTCGGTTCCAAATTACTTTGTAAGCCAATCGATCCACTATCATCTTTGTCGCGTACCGGTGTATGAAACGCTGTCTGAGCTTGTAGATGGGCGTTTTCTTGCTCTAGCTTCTGAACAGTGCTCAGTAGCTGCTTATTTTCATCGGTGGCTTCTTTTAGTTGCACCTGCAAAGCCTTGATGCAGTGAACCAACGCAGTAATTGCAAAGGGATTTTTCTCGTCATAGGAGGTCAAGTTACTGTCAGTTTTGCCATCTCTACTACCAGTCATTTCATCATTTTGCATTCTCTCTGCACACATTCGGGGCAAGGTCGCAGCCAGTCCTAAAGACTCGTCGACACTTTCTTTCGCCACCGATGTCTGGCTTTCTGCTAATTGAGCTTTGTTATCACTTTTCGCCATCGTTTCCATCAACACTAAACATGGATTCGCTTGCAATGTAGATCCTTTAGAACGTAAGCACACACTTCCCTGTTCTGTCGCCTGCAGTATCAGTCCCTGCAGTATTTCCATGCGGCGCTGCATATCTCGCAAGTGCGACTGCAGCTTGAACGACTGAACATTCGTTTCCACACTCTTTCTTTCCCTTACAAACCCTTCCGACTCCTCCTCTTTTACATCAACAGGGGTCTCCATGTCGCCTCCCAAAAGCGACTCACTGGTTTTCGAGCTATTAATTGAACTAGCGCTGCTCGTCGTTCGTTCTCGAAGCTTGAGTTGCTTCACAACGTCGCTGCTGCAGTCCTCGTATGGATACACAGTAAGACTTCTGGTACGCCTTTCCACATACGACTCATGCTGTATTTTGATCGACGAAGGAGCGACTTGTATCGACGTTTCCATCACTTTCGGTCAAATTGGTACCTCGTATTTAGTCGTTTGTATGTTCGTGTCTATTTTTATACTTTACGTAAAAATGAGGCTAAAATAAGCCTAATTTCTTCGAAAATCTCGACCTGTCCGACAAGATGTCAAGTAATCTTTGTTTTCTGTCACAGAATAGTACATGTGCGTACAATATGCGTTGCGACGGTAGAGTTGAACACATAAAGAGGCTAAAAAAGCGTTCGCAAGTCGTATACAGCTCTGATAGAGAGCACTATTGTAGCGCGTAAAGCATTCGTTGCATGTATTTAGCCATGTTCAAACAGCAAAAGCAAGATTGTTGCAATCTCGCTTTATTGCAGTCTCTCTAGCGTCCAGCTATGCTAGATATAGAGATATATCTCTTGACACTCAAAGATATATATTACCTCGTTTAGCTCTTTCTGGCTACTGACGACTTGCCTTGCACTTTGCACTTTTCTGACTGAGCTTTCGAGCTTTCATGTATGCGGCTGCAGCTAACCTGCGAGCCGCCACCTTGTCACCAACGTTTGTCGACTCGTCCAGTTGTCGACTCGTCCCATTCTGATCTCCGCCGTTTCCCTTCTCCATTGTTTCCACGTTTCACCATCGGAATCGGTAAACGGACGTGAAATGTGTAAACGGACGTGAAATGTTCCAACGACTTCAACTTGGGAGGAACATATCACAACACGCCCCCTCCGACGCTTGTGTCGGAACATCTTTACTCTTGTGAAATCCTCATGCCAATGTCGGCTCGATACTTCGCTAGGCTGCGCTTCGGTAGAGCCTTTGTGAACATATCAGCAGGATTCTCTGTTCCGGACACTTTCTTTACCAAAATATGCCCAGCCTTAATTTGTTCGCGCACATAATGCCATCTTAGCTCAATGTGTCTTGTTTTGCTGCTATGTGTGGGTTTGCATGCCAACGAAATAGCTGCCGCATTGTCAATGCCCATCGTTAGTACAGCATGTGCCTGTATACAGTGTAAAATCTCATTGAGCATATTTGCAATTCCGCGACCCTCCATGGACGCTTCGCATGCTGCCACATATTCGGCTTCTGCGGTTGATTGTGCGACTATTGTTTGACGTCTGGCAGCCCATGCGACAGCTCCAGATTCCATCATAAGCACAAATCCGGTGACACTTTTTCTTGAGTCGGGATCGTTGCCCCAATCAGCATCACAATATCCAGTAATGACAACATCTTCGTTTGCTCCCATATCTCGTGTGTATCTTATGCCGGTTTGTAGTGTACCAGATAGGTATCGCAATACTCGCTTGACGGCTCCGCAGTGTTTTCGTGATGGGTTGCTCACAAAACGGCTCAAGTAGCCCACAGCATACGCAATATCTGGCCTTGTAGTAGTCGCCAAGTACATCAACGATCCAATAGTTCCTCGATAATCAAAATCAGTGTCTTCAGCTGGTTCAATGCACTTCCTGTATCTAGTGTTGGTCTCCATAGGAGTTGCACTACCGTGTGCTTCGCCAAAGCCAACTTTCTCGAGAACTTCCTTGCAATATTTCGTTTGGTGAATATACGTGTCCGTCTCATCTTGCTCGACATTGATGCCTAAAAAATAGTGCAGCTTTCCTCCATCTTTAAAACCATATTTCGCGTCGATGGCTTCAAAAAACGATGCCTTATATGCCTTAGAATCAGTCGCTAATACCACATCGTCGACGTATAACATGAGAAGAGCCAGTACTGCATGTTTGCAGTAAAAGTAATGACAAGGCTCAGTCTCACTACGTTTGAACTCTTGAGTGACCAACCAGTTATCAATCTCTTCATTTCATTCGGCTCCTGACTGATGCAAGCCATAGAGCGCTCTGTCCACTCGATAGATGATTCCTGGGGGTTGAGGGAATCCTGGTATATTTCGGACATATTGCCTGATCTGTAAATTCGCATTCAAGTATGCTGTTTGTACATCTCCTTGATATAAAACCAGTCCGAATTTTGTGGCTAGTGCCACCAACACTCGAAAGGTAACAATCCGTGCGACAGGCGAAAATGATTCCACGTAGTCAATTCCTGGCTGCTGATGGTTTCCTAATCCTACAAGTCTAGGACGAAAACGAGTAATGAATTCTTGGTCATCAGTCTTCACTTGGAATCTTCACATTAATCCTAATTTGTTTGCCTTCGCCGGGGCTTCTGTTTCATCAATCGGAACCAATACTCCCTTAGAAAACATGGCGTTCACTTCGTTTTTCATACCATTATACCATTCGTCTTTTTGCGGCGTCTTCATCGCTTCAGTAAAGCTTTTGGGAATCTTGGTCTCATTTGCTCGCCATCTATGGTTCGCTGTAAGACTTTCGCTATTTTCATGGAGTGCAGCATTCACAAGGTACCCCTCAAGCCACGACGGGTATCGGCGCTCTGTTGACTGGCGTAAGACCATTTTCTGTGGCCTTCCTTTGTTATCGCGCCGTCGTTTGATCTCTTGGACATCCTCTAGCTCCGCATTCAAAACTTTCCTACGTTCTCCAGTAATTATTTCAGGAATCATACACGTATCCATCGGGTCATTGCTGGACTCACTCGTCGTCGCACCCTCGCGTGAATGTACTGTATCCTTGGATGTGGTAGGTAGTTCCGTATTTGCATGTACATTTTCATCCTCATCCTCGCTATTACTAGTGTCGGATGTCTCTGACCGATAGTCACAACTCACGTTGTCGCAATTTTCGGCAGCTGATTGACTGTCAACATCTGTTTCGGTATCGTGGGTCGTTTCACTTTCCAAGCTAGAGGGCTTGCTTGTATGATGTTTTTGAATTGCATCATAACTGGCATTGGCACACATAGGGCTCTGATTACTCAGATCGAGTGTATCCCGAATTACAGGAATATCAATGTTGGTCTCCACTGAATCCACATCAACTAATTCAAACTTTGGTGATGACTCGATTGCTGATGACTCGCTCTCATAGTCAATCGGGATCGATTCACAATCCGACGCAATACTGTCATCATCGCTGTCGACTTCCATGCTGACTTCGTCCGACGCAATACTTTCGTCATTGCTATCGACTTCCATACTCGCTCCATTTTCATCATCCGTACTTGTACGTGACAACCAATCTGATACGGCGACAGCATATCCTTCGTGATATCGGTCACCGTATACTATATCCTCATTGACCGAAGCATCCAAAACGTGTTGAACCACTTGATCTGCTGGAAAATAAGCTTTAAATCCGGCTTGTCCTTCCAGGTACCCCAAAAGAAAACCAATTCTGCAGTTATCATCTAGTTTCTTCCGAGATGGGTTGTTCGCTTGATGGACATAAGCGAGAGATCCAAACTTCTTTATACCATGCTTGTTCATCATCATTCTGTATGGAGTCTCTTTGATTGACCGACAGTATGCCCTATTTCTCAGGTACGTAGCCATCTCAAGCGCATGCATCCAAAACGATTTTGGTAGCTTTGCGGACGCCATCATTGCCTTCATCATGTGAATTAGGGTTTTATGTGCTCTCTCACACAGGTTTAAGTGTGATCCATGAGGTGGGTTTGGTAAGAACTCAATGCCAACATTCCTGTACCAACGGGTAATCTCCCCATTTACAAATTCCCCTCCGCCGTCAGATATCACTTGCTTGACCTTATTTGCGGGAAATTGACGCTCTGCCCAGGAAATGTATCGTTTGATGGCTGTATTTACTTCCGATGCGTTCTTTGAGTAAAGTGGGTACACCGTAGTATACCGGGAGTATCCATCTACTACAACAAGTACCGCCTTATACGCTCTTGGGCTTGAGCTGTACTTCGGAAAAAGTAAATCGACAAATATCACTTGATTCTTCGTCGTTATATCACGCATCAAATGCTTATGACGTGTACGTTGTCGGTCTTTACCAATGTGGCATGCTTCGCAATCAATAAATTGTTTTGGGCTTAGTGACATTCCGTCTACTAGCTTGCGATCTGCCATGAGCTTCACGTACTGTGGATTAAGATGGCCCAGCCTTTCGTGCCACCGTTGGATATCAGCGCGCCCTTGTGCGCGCGTATGATTTACCTGAGGACAGAAGCACTTATCTGTGATCAGCAGTTCACCCCTGTCACTCGTTTGTGATAGAAAATCATTGATGGCATTAAATGTGAAAAGACCACAGTCATCTCTTTTGATGTTCAGCAGCTTCCGATTATGCTGCCAAAGCTCGTAGAATCTTTCTCCCTCTCGGATGCAATACTTCACAGTATGTCCTTGGTCCTCGACTTGTGTGTGAGAAATTAAATTCATACAGTCAGGAACGTATAATACGTCATAAAGTGTTATCATGTTGCTGCTTGATCCGTTTTGAACAAGTCTCTGAACGGTTCCCTGACCAATCGGCTTTATTTTAAAGTGCTTCTGAAATCCTCGGATACATTGAGCTTGTGCATTGTTATCAAATGCGCTATAATCAATAAAGTATCGTAAATCAGAAGCCACATGTACATTCGACGCATTGTCAAGACACCATTGTCGTTGTGTGCAGTTTCTGTCTGGAGTATTTTCCCTCGTTGACAGCTTGTTCTGTGCCATCACCATCAGTTCATCCGGCTTTTCTTGACATCCATCCGCAAGCTCATTCTTCGGATGCTGTGCAAATGCCACCTGATAATCACTCGTTTTTGGTTTCTTCATTATAGGACAGTCTCTCATGCGGTGTCCAGGCTTATGACAATTAAAGCAGTTTCCATGCTGCTTATCCGCCTGTGAAGTCGTGCTTTGGAGTACTTTGTCGGCAGCTATTAACTTTCTGGTTCCGATATGTGATCTTGCACAGCTAGCGTTTTGCCGGTTCTTGGATGTTTGACTGCCTCCATTGTCCTGCACATTTCCAATGACACCATGGGCACCAAGCTCCCGATCACACTTGTTAAAACTAACCATTCGCAAAATCTGATCTTTCAATTTTTCCGAAGTGTCCACCTTGTCGTCCCCGCTTTCAACCATGCCTCTCAGACGATCAAAGCGCGCATTCGCCGGCAACGATCGAATTAACATCTGCGTAAAGATCGGGTCCCGAATACCTGCGTTCACAGCGACCAATTGATCTTTAATCATGAACATGTTTTCCACGTGTTGCGCAACGTCCCAATTAGGTTTGCACTTCATCGCGTTTAACTTGTTGTAAAGAATAATTTCTTGGTTTGTTCTCGTTGCAGCATTAGTCTTTTCCTCGTAAAAGTCTTCCAAGTATTTCCACATCTCGGTGCCAGTTGCTTTCGTCATCACACGCTGCCCCAACTCCATTGATAGGGAAGCAAGAATAAGCTGCTTAATTGTTATTTGTGCCTCTCGAAACGCTTTCACTTCGTTTGCACTTGCGTTACCTACGAGAATCTTGTTTCCCGTAGCATAATCCAGCACATCCTTTTCCTCAAAGGTCAGTTTCATCATCCCTTTGTAGTACGCCCAGGATTGCCCATGCCATCCTACGGGTCGTCCATATTTGTTCAGCTCTACCTTGTTTGACATGTTGTGCCAGCTTTTAGGTAAGTTTACGTTTGTCCTTCCTGACAAACGGAGTCTTTCTTCGCACTCAAACACTTACAGCCTTAGCCTGTAAATGCGTCGCCGTTTCTTGGTTATGCTTAAGCCTTGCTCAGGCTTGGGCTCATAACCCTGTTGCAATCTCGCTTTATTGCAGTCTCTCTAGCGTCCAGCTATGCTAGATATAGAGATATATCTCTTGACACTCAAAGATATATATTACCTCGTTTAGCTCTTTCTGGCTACTGACGACTTGCCTTGCACTTTGCACTTTTCTGACTGAGCTTTCGAGCTTTCATGTATGCGGCTGCAGCTAACCTGCGAGCCGCCACCTTGTCACCAACGTTTGTCGACTCGTCCAGTTGTCGACTCGTCCCATTCTGATCTCCGCCGTTTCCCTTCTCCATTGTTTCCACGTTTCACCATCGGAATCGGTAAACGGACGTGAAATGTGTAAACGGACGTGAAATGTGTAAACGGACGTGAAATGTTCCAACGACTTCAACTTGGGAGGAACATATCACAACACAGTAAGACTTCTGGTACGCCTTTCCACATACGACTCATGCTGTATTTTGATCGACGAAGGAGCGACTTGTATCGACGTTTCCATCACTTTCGGTCAAATTGGTACTCGTATTTAGTCGTTTGTATGTTCGTGTCTATTTTTATACTTTACGTAAAAATGAGGCTAAAATAAGCCTAATTTCTTCGAAAATCTCGACCTGTCCGACAAGATGTCAAGTAATCTTTGTTTTCTGTCACAGAATAGTACATGTGCGTACAATATGCGTTGCGACGGTAGAGTTGAACACATAAAGAGGCTAAAAAAGCGTCAGCAAGTCGTATACAGCTCTGATAGAGAGCACTATTGTAGCGCGTAAAGCATTCGTTGCATGTATTTAGCCATGTTCAAACAGCAAAAGCAAGATAAGACAACAAAAAGCTCATGGTCTCATGCAAAATGGACAAGTTTATTATCAATCGCCAGGAAGAACATCAGCTCATCCGTCTTTCAGCCCTACCCGCAGGCCGACAGTTCGTGGCCACCCGTTATATAACCTTACGCCTACACAACGACGAGAGGATCGTTTACATTGTAAAATGTCTGATTAAAATGAAATGAAATGGCACGTTATGTCCATAGCGACCACAAGTATACGTCATCACTAAATGAGAGATACATACTGCATACATACATACATACATACATACATACATACATACATACATACATACATACATACATACATACATACATACATACATACATACATACATACATACATACATACATACATACATACATACATACATACATACATACATACTTGCATGGAAGGCAAAAAGCCTGGATTTTGCTCATCTCGATGGCTGGCAACAGAAACTGGCCTCTTTGCATAAAAAGAACCCGACCCCTATGAAGATCTGCGAGAAGCAGAGACGACAGCCACACTCCACAAAAAGCGCAATCGTAACGACTTCCTACAAAGAGGAACAGACGCTGCTTCGTGTTTGCTATTCCGTACACATATTGGAACCGTCGTAGCCACTCATTCTCATCCATTCCCTCATCCCCTCTCATCTCTTTACCATGATCGAATCTGAAGTGGCCGAGACGCTCATGAGCTTGTCAGCACCCGACGAGCGCAAATTTACTGACAATCCGCTGTATGCACCCGAGCCGCCGTCTTCTTGGCAAGCCAACAAGAAACGCGCCTTTGCAGCCTTTGATGCAAGTGTTGCTAACTCGTTACCCTCGTCCAACTTTCTTCAGTCGCACGCTGAGTCATACAGCTCGCCAATGTCGCTCCTGCAGCTCAAGATCCACGGGCGTCCGCTCACGTCCATGATCCCTGGCCGGGACGACGCTGACAGCAGCAGTAGCGACGTCGACATGGACGCTAGCGACGCCATTGATCCGATCTCGGAGCATCACACGTGGTCATTCTATCGCTCTTCCTTTGATGGCCTCGTGGCTGCTGCAGTCTCCACCCATGACGACAATGACACCTACTCGTCGTCTAACAGCCGACCCATTTCGATTCCCAAACGCGGTGGCAACACTCATAGGTATCGTGAGCCGTCGTCGTCGTCGCTTGATCGTACACATACGTCTTCGTATGGCAAGAAGCACAAGGCATGCAGTTTATCGCGCGTGCAGGAGGACGAGTCTTTCCTTGGTCGCGACTGCAGTCCCACGGGTGTCGAAGAGGAAGACACGTGGTACGATAGCGACTACAAGCAACGCATGCGTTTGGCATCGGTGTGCTCGTCCGAAGGTAGCGAGTACGGTGGTCTTGGTCGTCAGCATTTGGAGGAGTTTATCCGCATGGAGATCTCAGCGGCCAACGAGAGCGAGCAGCACAGAGATGGCTCGTTTGATGGCAAGTACATTGGCAGCTACTCGCCAGAAGCTCGAAGAAAACGCATCGAACGTTTTTTTGAAAAGCGCAAACGCCGCGTGTGGGCCAAGAAAGTGGACTACGACGTCCGCAAGAACTTTGCCAACTCACGCTTGCGCGTCAAGGGTCGTTTCGTGAAGAAAGAGGATGAGGAGCTGCTGTGTCAACTTTTGAGCTACATGTGAGGACGAGAACTTACGTGATGTGTTCTTCGTTGCTTTGCTTTCCCACCCGTCATAGTGTAGTTGTATAGAGAATGCATTGGGTCTAGCCCATCTGCATGTACGTAGCGGCTACTTGCCTTTAGCATTATCAACAAACAATAAGATTTTATTGAAATATTGATCCCATTAGACCGTGAAGAAGATCACCTTGTGGTGCTAGTACGACACGACAAAAACACATCAACCTTTGGGGCCAATAGGGCAGATTGTTGAGAGACCTTTGTGGCTGCACATCGGCACGTAGCCATCGTCACAATCGGCGCAGTCGATTGCAGGTACCATCTGGTATAGATGCACTTACCAAGCATCGTCGTACCGGTATCTATGCATCGTCGTACCGGTATCTATTCATCGTCGTACCGGTATCTATTCATTTGTCAAACCGGTATCGATTGATAGTATGTGCACTACCCAAAAAAAGCCCAAGCTAATTGTGTGTCGCACACGAATACGCGAGACACTGCCTCACAATAAGATGCCGCTCATTGCGCTCCTGCTGTGCTTGTGCTCGCTGCCCGGTGCCGCTCGTGCCGTGTTTACAGAGCAGTTAACACTACGTCCTCTTCCTGCTATTAACCAGGTTCTTGGACGCTTTGAGTTTTCTGTGGATGAGAATTCTCGTCCTGACAATGGCGTCTCGCTCTTCCCTAATGTATTGCGTCAAATCCTCGAGAAACACGACGCTGAGTCGTTTCATCTCACGTTTTCCGTTGGTAAATACGTGGATTGGCGCTACGGCTCATCACAAAGCGTTAACGGCTCTGGATTCACCCACGCGCCCTTTGGTACGCGGCTACAAGTCGTTTTACGTGGCGATACCAACGCCCAACAGCGCTGGAGAGGTATCACATCAGAGCTCGGCGGCATCTTCTCGGCATCACTGAGTCAGATGAATGAGGCAGTCGTGACTGGGCTGCTACCATCTTCAACACCACAAGAGCTGGGTGCTTTCCCGATGACCAATGCTGACTCAGAGCACGTGTTCCTACACGGTTCGCTGGCTCGCGAGGAGCTCTGCACAGAGAATTTGACACCCTGGCTCAAGATGTTGCCATGTCGAGCCATTTCTGGGCTTGGATCTCTGATTGACCCTATTAATGCCTTATCAGGGGAGTATCTGTCCATGTCGCTATTAGCAAAGAGATCGTCGGACAACCGTTGGATTCTTCGACAGCATCTGACGACGGTGCAAAGTTTCAACGAACATAACAAAGAACGTTGGAGTCTTGGCTCTTTATTCTTTGCAAACGGCGAGTCCAGCACTGATATTTGTGCGTGTCCGCTCGCAGAAGAGAGTGTTATTCAAACGGAAGATATGGAGTCGTCGAATGTTGTGACTACCGATCTTCGTGAGACACCTGTTTCTCTTTTTACCCCATGGTTTAAAGACTGGGAAAGTGCGGTGAAAGAAGCCTCTTTGAGAGACAGCTACAAGGCGCAACGGGATGTGGTGTCTGTACATCGCTTTGCTACTGGGTACGGCCAAGTCCGCGGGGGCATCGCAGTGCAGCTGCAGAATAATCACCCGTCATGTGATATGCATGTCACGTATCATGATGTTATCCCATGGTACCTTCGTATTTACTTTCATACGTTCCAAGCGACTATTGATGGAAATGAGCTGAAGGCACAAGAATTGATCCAATCGTTTGAGTTTGTGCCAGCCGAATTGCGAAGTCAACCCAACCAGTTGCGCCTCAAAGCGTTTCTGCCGGCCAACAATACGCTGGTTTTCTCGCTTCAGATGGAAAAGGTGTTCTTGCGCCTATCAGAGCATCCACCCGATGCCAACCGGGGTTTTGACATCTCTTCTGGTGTGGCAACCTTTCAGGTTGACTCGAAGTGTGGCAAGAACACTGGGTCTCTGTTTTTCACCACCACGTTGTACACGGAGCCCTTGCTCGTGCCGCTGCCTACGCCTGACTTTAGCATGCCGTATAATGTAATTACAATGACGTCGACTGTCGTCGCTTTCTTCGTGGGCACGATGCTCAACGCACTCCTGCGGAAGGCGCCGCGGTTGAAGCAAATAATGACAACTAGCCCATAGACGTTGAAGTAATGACAAACCCACGACATACGATCTTAAATATACACAATGTCGTTCGCGTACGTTATCTCCTCTCGAGACTCTATTCGCTTGATTGGAGGTTTGCCACGACAATGTTACATCACGCTCTTGCACGCCGGTCAATGCGGCGATATACGTTGTTTAACGTTAACATTGTCATTACGATGCGTAGTGACAGACATTGCGTAGTTTCTACCCGACTCAATAGCGCCGCAAATAAGGCAAAAGAAGGCCCAAAGAGTCCACAATAATACAATACGGTATCCAATACGGTATGTACAGGCAGCATTGCACGATCTGACACTTGCAAGAGCACCGGTGTCTATATCATTGTCTGCACTCGGGTCGATGATGAAATTCATGATCAAGCCAGGAACATAGTTTGACGCTGCATATCCGAAAAGGTTGTAGCTGGCGTACGCAACTGAAGAGGCAAGTGGGCGCAACCGCGGCGGGGCTGCAGAAATGACGATGCCCGAGCAAGCTGGAAGGATGCTACCTCCGCAGAACAGCATCAGCCATAGGAATATCGCGATGTGAAAAGTGTTGTGTAAAAAAGACACAGGCAAAGCCGCGAGGCAGCTGCCTCCTCCGAGCAACATGCAAACACGCAGTGCTCGCATTTGATGGTATGGACCTGAATATCCACCGAACTGATCGATGAGCCAACCACCGAAAAATACACCCATGATGGGGCCTGTGCCACTTACCAAAAGGTAAGCCACGTGAATCTCGTACATCGAATCGTTTGTATTGGTCTCCAAGTACAGTGTCGTCCAAAATTGAACACCAGCGACAACGAAAAACAGTCCTGACAGGCCCATAACGATAAACACGTAGACTTTGTGCTGCAGCAACAGCCTCAAATTGCTCCACCTCGATGTGTTTTCTTCTTTCTCGTGCGATTCCAATAATCGCAATCTGCTGCCATTGGATGCGTTGCTATGCTTTTTGTGACTCATCAAAATGTGTTCGGCATCATCACACGTTGTAGGTATACTGTTTTCAGCGCTAGTATCCTCGTCCTCGTCAGTGTTCACAATGACGATGGAGCGGCGACGAGTTGAGCGAAGTCGAATATGTTCCGGAGGCACAAGAAAGATCAGGATCGACAATGGGAGGATTAGCACAAATTGAGTCAGAAATGGCCAGCGCCAACAGTAGAGACCGTGGCATAGCCTCATGGATACGTCGTCAATGCCGTCAACAAGATCGTCGGTCGCACTGACCTCCAGCGCTGCATGGGACAAAGTGGGTACGATACTATTTAATACCGTCATAGCCACCTCTGGTCCTCGTGACGCCAGCCATATGGTGACAGATCCGGCAAAGTAGCCTAACGTGATGCCAACGGGCACTGCACCTTGCAGATAACTCATCCACGTGCCTCGCTTGGCCTTTGGCGCATAGTCATGGACCCATAGCGGCGAATACACGCAGCTGAAGGCTTGAGACAAACCAACGAGGCCACGCAATGTAATGAGAAGCGACTTGGAGTACCAGGTCATCGTGGGAGTGCATGCAAGACCCAGTACTGCCAAGTTGTTGACCACGAGTGAGACACCAAGCAAAAGGCGAACATCAAAGCGACGAAAGAGTGTGCTGCACCAGGGAGACGCCAATGAGATTGTTATGTACACAATAGCGCCTAGTAGTCCCTGTTCCTGTGGATTAAGGCGGAATGTGAGCGTAAATTGCTGCAGTAGCGATGGCACGGCGCCCGCCTCAAGGTACATGAATACTTGCGTGAGAATAAGAAACTTGAACAGGTACTCAGACGGATCTTTTCGAGGCGTAACAGACGGTAATAACGGAGATATTTCCATCGACCCATAGCCGGCGGAGCTTAATTGGATACGTGAAGAGGCGGAGGCAGCCATGGCATTGAAATGAAGACTAAACCCCTCGACTGAGTGTTAGGACTACTTCAGATAAATGGCTAAGTCCATGAAACAGATGGTATGAAAATCCGGCTACTTCGTTATATCTCTCTTTTGTTATATTAGACAAGCAAGGTACCAACAACATCATGGCGTTTCGTAATATATTGGTGACGGTTCACGTAGCCAACACTTTTTGAAAAATTCTGTGGTGTAAAAGTTTTATTGTATAGCTTGTATGGTTGTCAACTTGGAATGCTCCAGTCTTCGAAACGATATAGTTGTGGTTTGACAATGATGCAACCTATCGGCTGCATTGTACGTGATTAGCAAGCATGTATGGCATACCGGCAATCTTAGGCACTACGTCTTTACTGTTTCCTGCATACTCTACGCTCCACTATTTCCCAGCACAAGGATGTATCAATACAAAGAAAGATGTATGTAACGCATGACCACCGGTCAGTGCGAGGGTCCCATTTAATCTATTTGTTCGTACTCTACACCTCAGAAATCATCACGCATGGCAACGTTTTGTCGTCGTGATGATGGTCGCTTCAGTACGCACCAAGTCACAGCTCTTCTTGTCATTGTCATCAGTCCTTGGTGGCGTGTACGACACGAGCCTCACGTTGACATGCGTTGGCGAGACGCGCCTGTGCGCGTTGGCGCTGGAATAAGATCCAGTCTTGAGTTTCCAGCTCATCCTCTGTGTCTTCACCACCAGAGCCATCGTCGTTCTCGTCCACGAGTCCACTGGCGTAAAAGTCCCAAAGAGGGTTGGCAGGTGCCATGTCCCCTGAGTTGACGGACGCCGTCACGCGGCATTGCAATGGACTCAGTCCCTTGGCGCTGACCGTTGTCGACATATGGAAACCTTGGCTGGGATTGTCGACCGCAGTCGCTTGAGCGCGGGGAGTCGTGACGCTGTGTCAGCAAAAGAATAAATAGCTGCCACTCACGTGACTCTCAAGTCGGTGTCGACTCGCTTCAGATGAAAGAAACTGCATACTTGTGCCCATCTCTACCAGTGAATTCAAAGTGTCGCACACGGTATCACTGACGTCTGTGGGATTCCTTGTCGGACCTTGTCAGTCTATACCAGTGTGACTACATAATGTAAAATATCCCTTTGTGGTGGTGCACAGACGCGATGGTCACAACCACGTGGGAGCAACGACATGCTGAGCAAACGATTAACGTCATTATGTGTCTGTTGCTACACGAAAAGAAGGTTGTACGAGTCGTCTACTACCACGACTGCTTCGCGGATGCCATCGCTTGACACAGACAAAGAGGCGGCTTCCGTTGTCTGATGGATACTGCCTTTGCCACGCTTGCCCTTGCTCATCTTCCGCTGAACGCCATCAACAAGCTCGCGCGCGTTCTTGGGGAGCTGTTCATTGCGCGCAATCTTCACGTCAATGAACTGTTGGTTGTCCAGATCTAGTGCCATGGTAATAGGGCGTCTACTGCTAGTGTCTTGTTTGTCGACCTGTTCCTCGTCGTAGAAATACTGTTCAGCATCCAGTACGCGAGTACGCTCTGTCCCCGTCTCATCGAGCCGTACGAGCTCCTCCATATGCTGCTGCGCGGCGTGGTCTGCCGTACCCGCATCCGCCTCATAACGTAGCTCAGTATCGCAGAAGACACAGCGTCGCTCGCCATTGTACTCGATCCTGCCGCATCGCAAGCAGTTAATCACGAGCGCATTGTTCAGTAGCGTCGTCACGGCCTTCTTCTTGTTCTTCTTACTGGATTGAAGGCTCGCATGCTCCGCAGTTGGTCGACGGACCAGTCTCTCTTGTCCCTTTGTTGCTATTGTTACTGTTCCTTGAGCATTTGGATTAGCAAGTGATGTCTCAGGTAAAAACAGCCGGGTGCTGATGTGCTCTGCTCGCGTCACGGGGATGCCAAGCAGCTCAATGAGGTAGCTACATGCCTCCTGCTTTGAGTTAAAAGTACTTGTGATATAGGCCACAATCTCATCCACCTCCGCAAAGCCCAAGGCACTTACAAGCTCACTTTTAAGCCACGTCGTGGTCTCAGTGTCCATTCTGATGCTTAGATAGATATAAAGCTACTAATACTGCCACAAGAAACTCAACATGGCTACACTATGATTACGGAAAATGTCCTTCTTGTTAGGAGATGACTATGCTAGCAGTAGTAGCGAGAGTGAGAGCGATAGAGAAGAGAGTGTAACGAAGCAAACAACGAGAAAGGAGACGAATAGCAACACGAAGCCTCTGACACAGCTATTACCGTCAGCTGACAGCGTCTTGTCTAGTGTGGCCACGTCTACGGCCTCGTTCTTGCCGCCGAACACTAGTGCTACGTTTCATAGTACCGTCAAGTCTTTTAACTTGATTGTCGAACAGGAATCACAACGTCAAGAACAGAAGAAAGAACAGCGAGAGCAACACCCCGAGGTTCAGCGCGTGAAGACAAGCAGAATCAACCGAAAGCGACCGATGCAGGAAGCGGTATCGAGAGAGCCGTCAATAAAGCGCGAGAAAAAAGACGCGAAGGAGCGGGTAAAGAGTCAAAGAATGAAAGGTCAATCAGGTATTGGCTCCGATTTTCGTGGCTGGAAGCCAGAGACCGAGATGGTACTTCGCCAACAGTTCGACTAAAGCTGTATTGGATGTTATGCATCGTTAACTGAGTTAGCTATTGGAGCTAGCTCTGTTCTTAGTCGACAAGATGTGGACTAAATGGATCAAGGTGCGCGAGCGGGACGCGACGAATGTCACTAGATTATGACAGTTCCATAACTTTACCAAACTTCTTCGTCATTATCGTTGGCTTTGGAAAAAAAAGATCGTGGCTCAGCATATCCTTGTGTCCATTTAGTTTGAGGATGACACGAGCGGACTGTTAACTAGTGTTCCATTAGCACGAGATGCTCTAAGTCTTTCATTCCCTGTTTTACTAATTACAATTTTGTGTCTCACCCTTAACGAGTCGGTATTGCAGTATGTTGCTACATACCTGTAGTGGTCGTCGGTGGAGACTTCAAGAAGATGGACTTGCCATCGTGTGAGACCAATTTCCCTCCTTGGTGACGATCACACCAGCCACCGCCATTGCGTGCTCGCCAAAAGAAAACATATGAATAGAGATTGCGCTTAGTAGGCACATGATCCACTGCGTATTTAAGTGCATCTTCGCCATTGCCCTGTTGGAACGGGTAGTCAATCCACTTGAACTTGCTAAGCTTTGGATTGTTGTCCTTCTCGCCAATCATGTGGTTGCAAGTATTGAGGTAGATGTATGGGCGGTAGGTCTGTGGATGCAGTTCCCAATCTACGATTGAAATCTCTGCGCTATAGTGATGCATCAGAGAAAACCACTTGCCAATGTTCTTCTTCTCTCCCTGTGCCCACTGCTGTTTACCGCCATAGTCCTGTGAGAAGATGGTGGCCCAGGGCACAGCAGCATTGGGATTCAAGTCGACGTTTCTGTACATTGCACACCATAACGTGATGGACGTGATGAGTGATACAAACTAGAGACAACAAAACTGTACCGACGTACCGAAACTCCATGTAATTGATGTCGGCCGTGCGCTTGTACGTCCGTCGATTATAGGTGCGGTAGCACAGTGTAGCTAGTGTGTTCTCAATCTCTTCATATACACGATTGTAGCTGGATTCACCTGCAAAGACAATGCAGAGTTTACACACGAGGTGATCGGACTGATCATCATGCATGAAGCGAAAGAAAACCTTGATCAGGTCGTTGTGGTTCTTGATATCCACGTCTGGCTGTACAAAGATAGGCAGACAACGATGTAGCCACGCGAGCTCTTCGTCTGTAGGCTTTAAGGAGAAACATGTAGACGACATGGAGCCATCACTATCGGTCGACATGGGCGCGTCTAAAGTCGGGCCCATGAAGGAGGAATTATCGGAAAATGACGCTTGACAATGAGGTAGTGCTGACTTCACAAGGCTATTGTCACAACAATTTTGAGATCCGCTAAGAGGGGTAGGTGTTTTGTAGTAGTGAAAGCAACATGTTGCACCGAATACCGACGACGGTCGGTGGCACGACAACTGAAGAGTTTAAAAATTTATTTCCTACCAGCTTTATTACACTTGAGATTTCGCAATTGAAGCGACAATTTTTTGTGGCCGCGTTTTATGTCAATATTATTATTCTTTGGTAGAGGTTCTTTCGTATATGCCTATCTGGAGGCTTACTTAAGTACGCATTGGCTTGAAGTACAGCTGTTACTATTTTCACGTGGATCACATTACATTAGATACATGTATAGATCGGACATTTGACAATTCGTGGAGACCGTCATAGGCAGATGAGAGGCGAACCGTGTGTGACTCCGACTTGTGCGAAGAGCGGCTCACTCGTATGCCCGACGTGTAAGAAGCTGGGCATACCATCAGCCATGAGCTCCTTCTGCTCGCAACAGTGCTTTAAAGGTTACTGGTCCTCGCACAAGGCACTGCACAAGATGTTCACGCAAGCGCTGGCAGAAGAACAGGCTCGCGCCGAGAATACAACGCCTTTCGATGGCTTTCAGTTCACTGGTACGCTGCGTCCCGGTATAGTGTCAGAAATGAGTAAAGTACCAGAGCATATCCAGCGTCCGGACTACGCGGAGACGGGCATTCCCGTGTCGGAGCAGCAGGCCAGCAAAAGCATCCCCATCTACACGTCTGAGCAGATCGCAGGCATTCGAGAAGCTTGTCGTCTTGGACGAGAAGTTCTTGACATTGCAGGCAATGCACTTCGTCCTGGAATAACTGGAGACGAGATTGATAAGATCGTACACACGGCCTGCATAGAGCGTGGCTGCTACCCGTCACCATTAAATTACTACCACTTTCCCAAGTCGGTCTGCATCTCGGTAAATGAAGTGATTTGTCATGGTATTCCGGACTCTCGTGCTCTTGCTGACGGAGACATTGTCAATCTTGATGTGACAGTGTACAAGAACGGCTATCATGGAGATCTGAACGACACTTTCTTGGTTGGAAATGTAGACGACGACGGCGTCCGACTGGTAAAGACGGCATTTGAAAGCTTAGCGGCAGCATCCAAGCTTGTGCGACCCGGCACGATGTTTCGTGAGCTGGGCAAGCACATTGCCGCGGTTGCTAACGCACAGGACTTTTCCGTTGTCAAGACGTATTGTGGTCATGGAATTGGGTCGTTGTTTCACTGCTCTCCAAATGTTCCTCACTACGCTAAGAATAAGGCTGTTGGTATCATGAAGCCTGGTATGATCTTTACTATTGAGCCGATGATAAACATGGGTTCATGGCGTGACAAGACGTGGCCTGATGAATGGACGGCTGTGACGCAGGATGGTATGCGTTCCGCACAGTTTGAGCATACATTCCTTGTGACAGAGACGGGCTACGAGATCCTGACGAAGCGTGAAAATGAGCCGGTGATGGAGTGGGATTTCGCCAAGGTGCACCGACTGTAAGTGTACACACTGTACGATATCGCGACTGTCGAATGGGGTTATCGTGGCTAGATGTTTGGAGCTGCTACATAGCTTGTTTCTGGAGCAAAGTGAGGCAGATGATATCCATTTTTGTGCTCAACATACGTACCGTGTGTGCAGCTGTAGGAGGTAGGCAGTAGTAGCCACACTGCAGTGTACTCGACAAGAGGCGTTTTGAGATTGTTCCAGAATTTGAACTCGATGATCAGTTAGTTGTCATTATTCAAGTCTTGCAAGACAAATGTGATACTTGGTGCTTTCAGTGCTTTCGCAACGTCATGACTCGCTTCATGGCATTGCAAAACTATCGCTCTTATATCTTTCACTGCTGGGAACTACTACTCCTAGAAAAATGCCGAGCTTTTTTGCGGCAATGTTAAGCACCTCTTGTTGTCTAACGTAAACCTTCGCACATTTTTTGGTGCGTATGGATGACTCGATATTGAATTGCCGACCACAGTTGTGGCATTGACCCGTTCATTCCCGCGTAACGTTCACAATATCGTATGTTGAAAAGTGATGGAGATCGACCAAACAGTGTATGTACACATCGACTCAACCTACCCAATTATTAGCTGCGCACACTCGTTCTTTGCACGTTTTTTTCATGCCGTCGCATTATAAGCAAGCAAATCTCAACAATGCAGGCTGCTGCATTATCTGAAGCGACCAGTATGAAGCTTTTTTACGGCACTAAGTAAGCTAACCAAACAAGGAGAATCTCCGCATGTTGCGCTCGGATGTACGTGGAGCAGATCTGAAAAAATCTAGTTGACATTGTACCAAGAGCATGTATTTCCGTCCGGTCTGAAGCTTGAACAGCAGTCTGAGATTGCGTTTATCTCACTCCATTGCACTGCATGCCTTACGATACATATTGATGGCAATTTACTTAGCGGGGCGTGAGGTAAGCAGATCACCAATCACCTCACGAACCCACGGCTGTGTAAACTGCTGAGGACGAGGAATACTACATTCGTCCAGTTGCGTCTCGGCAATCAAAATCTACACATATCACATCAATACAATAGACCTCATATAAACCTTGCATACAAGCAAATTGTCACGAACCTCCTCATCGGCCAGTTGAGACTTTTTCACATCTACCATAAACCCGCACGGGTCTTGAGCGAATTGGGTCATCCATTCCTTCTTCCGCGTATACATTTGCAAACGCTCTAGAATATCCAACTCTTGTTCCTTCAGCAGTGCAATCTCCTTTTCTTGGTCTTGCTGTAATTCCTCAATTTGCTTCAGAACGCGAGCCCGAGTTCTATCAAGTTCCGATGTTGCCGCAACAGAAACGTCAAAGAACTGCTCTTCCAGCAGCTCAGATTCACATGCCGCTGTAAGGTTCAGCGTGTACTCGAGGTCGATGGTGCTAATAGGTGTCAGATGCTGCTTAAGCGCCACTATAATGGACGTAAATGGCAACGATACACACTTGAGCATCTGCACCATCCGCTTGTCACAGATAACCACTCGGCAGTCGTCCTCTTTGATGAGGTTGCGTAGTTTAATGTACTCCCACATCGCGAGTACGATATCTTGTTTCGTATACGCCTTGGCAGGGCCAATATATTGACCAATTGCCGCTTCCAATTCTGGCGAAATAGTAAATCGCTCTGGCGTTTGCGCCGGTAGCAGCTTGATCTTTACTGTATGTGCCGTGCTTCCAGTTCTCGTAATTTCCAGTCCGTCTACGTCATGGTTTGTTTTCTGATAACTTGTCCACTGCAGCATAATATAAAACAAATGAGCGATCTTAGCAAAACAAAGCAACAAGTTGACAGACAACACACTTCGATCACGTGTTCCGAGTACAGATGAGGGTCCAGTTCAATCGACACTTTCCGAAAATAGCTTGAGAATTTCTACAGCATTGATTCACACCATTGTTAAGCTTTTGTAATTGGTCAGCCATCTCTACCGTTTCTCATCTCCTCACCACAATAGAAGGCTGTCCTGCTACAGCGTCAATTCCTTCCATCTTGAGCGTCCATCTACCTAATGTTGCCTGTGTAGTCTCTGAAGCTTCTACGGGCGGGACGTACGTGTGATACACTCGTACACGCAGCTGCTTGGTCTCTACCTGCTTGTTTACAATGACAACGACGAGTCACTCGATGCCCAAAAGGTAGAGCAGCATTCTACTGCAATGAAAGTGACGCACCTGCAAGGGATAATAGCGTTCTCCACGCAGCTCACGTGTCATAGACTGCAGACGCGACGAGAGCTCCTGGTGCGCTGTCTGCGTGCGTGTGAGCAGGTCAATCTCACGCTGACACGGCCATTCGCCTTGCAACAAATCCTATAGTCATAACACAAGAGCGTAGGTCACTAGAGATGGCCATGGACGCAAGCAATAAAGGTCTAGACGACATCACCACAGGTATCGCGGTCATGCAGTTTGTTTTTGGTCCAAAATGTGAAAGTACACAATTTAAAGTCCAATTTGAACGTTGACTGCCTTGAATGGGACCAGACCATATTTCGATTGCATTTCCACCAATAAGCGTGTGTTTAGAGCATGTAGTACGTTTAACGTGCTCAGCTGATCCCCCCTTTCAGCCAATCATCGTCGGGCTGGTGATAGCTCACGGTTTAGCAACCCGACGTGCTCTTGTAAGCTCTGTTGCCTGCCACTAGCTCGGCATACAGCGTCTAATGAGCGAAACTACGACTCTATCGACTCTGGGTGATAACAGCAACCTTACTAACGAAAATTTGGACTTTAATAAAGCAGGAAGAGCCCGAGAAGAAGACGTTGCTCGACGTTGGAGCGATGACAACGAGGAAGAGACCGCAGAGGTCAATGAGAACGACGATTTCTTTGGCAGAATCGAAGACGAGTCATGGGACGGTCTAGTGGAGACCACGTACAATTTTCATCTGCAATTTGCGCCAAGCATTTCGTGCCCAATTTGCTTCCACGTGACCCAATTTCCCGCCCGTCAAAATTGTGGTCACGTGTTGTGTTTTTCGTGCATCCAGCACTCATTTTCATTCTTGGATGAATGCTCTTTATGTCAAGCTCAGGTGGTTTCTAGAGCTAGTAAGCTTGAAGTTGTTCCAGGGTCAGAAACAACGGAATCGTCATCTGCTAAGGCTGGGCAAGATTTGCATTTGCCGGTACATTTGAGACTTGTCGTTATTACTGTGATTTGACTTACATGTCTAAGATTACTATGTGATGTTTCTTTTGATAGATCTCATCGTCGACTATGTATTCGATACCGTACCAAGGTGCCATTGTAAAATTGGACCTCACACACTTTAACAATACTAACTACATCAATACTATCGTCACAGCCGTGTCCACGGGCTATGACATGAGTCGAGTAGACGATGATGTGCTGTCAAGTTTCAGTCATGTGCCTTTCGGGCTGGACAATCATAGCGACTTGGACGACGTTGTTAACCTCGATGACCTGGTTTCGTCGGGCAGCGAACGGTCTTCACCTCCAGTGGCAGCAAGAACTTCTCTCAGTCAAAGTATTATCGCAGGACCAGCACGGCATCCACGAACGTCGCTACGAAAAATGAGCACTTGTTCTTCTAGACCGGCATCAGCACACAGGTAGACGGTAATGGTAAACAAAATGGCACCTACAGTTGCTCGAATGACGAGCAGCCAAGTGGGCAAGAGGAAAGCCAGAACGCGAACGGTCAAACGCAAGGAGCTTGTAATTGTTCGTATGAAATGGGTAACGGTGAGATCAGAGGGCTTGCCACCAGACCCTCGATACGACTGTGGGCTAGCGATCCATGGGAATGTCGTGATTGTTGTAGGTGGCATCGTCGGCAAGCTACGCCTAAACGACTTGCACACTTTAGACCTCGCAGCAAAGCCGTCGCCTCGATGGGCTCAACCACCGATTAGCGGTACGCCACCACCGTCAGGTCACCTGCTCCAGATATTCGTCCTTGGCGACGATTTGTATGCGATCGGTGGCACAATTGATGGAAAATTTCTAACAGAACTTCACCAGCTCAACGTCAGTACGTTCAACCATGCGGCTGCTTCTTGTGTAATTCCGTGACTTGCAACTAACAATCACATCGCGTGGACCAAGCAGAAGAATGGAAGTGGGATAAGCTTGAAGTTGCCGGAAACCCTCCGTCAATGCGATACTGGTACTCGCTGGCAGTGTTGCAGGGCATGGCTATCTTGTACGGGGGTTACGGGCATCCTCAGCGACTTAGCGATACGTTTGCGCTTCGATTTGGTTTGTTCGAATTCCGATTTGCCGTTGCTTGTACGCAGTTCTGACCATAAGCTTCTATTTGACAGGCACAAGAATTCCGACATGGGTGGAGCTGCGGCCTCGAGGTGATATCCCGGGACCGTCCTCAACGCATTCTGTGTGCGTTATAAAAGACCGCATGTACATTTTCGGAGGATACGACGGCAAATACCGTCGTGGTCAAGTATTTGCTTTTGAAATTGGTACGTTTTGTGCCTGGATGGTCAGGATGGGTGACGTGCCAGTTGGTATGATGGACATGCCAGTTAGTATGACAGATGGTATCTGACATGCCACAGTTGACAGGTTATGACAGCACGTTAGGTTAAGCACGATAGGACTTATGGTTGTTTAATTAATTCATTCTCATTTCTACCTACATCTCCAGAAGCCTCTCCAGCAAGCTCTCGGAGCCGATTGCCCCTCTGCCAGCCAAGGGCGTGTCATTTTGAAATTTCAATTTTGAAATCAAGAGAATTAAATCCGTAAGCAAAACAATATTATCATGTGCAGATACGATGAAAACGACTACGTCACTTATACGGTGGTGATATCACCAGCCCAAGACGGAATCCCGGCTGATACCATGCAAGTTAAAATGAACAAGTTTAAAGGAGGAAGTCCGCGGGACTATCTCAAGTGGAGTTGTGACTTCCAAAGCCTTGCCAAGAAGAAAGGGTGGAATGATGAGCAAAAGAGCCGTAATATTTTAGCTTTCATTGAGGGGGACCTCGCATACGACGTAAACCTCTTGGTGATCGAAGCAAGAACCAATAGTTGGACTTTTGACCGTTTCTTTACCGCTGTGGGGCTGCTCTCAGTACCAGAAGATTTTAGCGAAGATCTGGACAATGAATTATGGAACATGACAAAGCGACGGGATGAAATTGTTCTAAAGTTTTCTTAGCGTTTTCGTGAAAACATTCGTTTATTCGCTGAGCTTCCGCAGGACGCGGAGGTGATACCAGATGTGCAAATGCGTCGATACTTCAAGCGCGGGATGCCGATATCATGGCAAGATAAGTTGGCAGCGGCGGGTGTCATCCCTGATACGCTCAACGAAATGATACTTTACTTTTCACGCCTTGAGAAACAAGAAAGATTACACAAGGGGCCATCTTCACAAGAAGGCCATAGAAACAAAGGCGGACCTTCGCGTGCGAGGGTGGTTGGGAGGTTGGTCGACTGCTCCAGCAGTCGTACCACCAGTTGCCTCTCGCTTAAGTGAGAGTGCAACGAACTTCTAAACAAGAAGTCACCGACGTAACGCAGAAGCTTTTTCAGCTTCTCGTGCGTGGTGCTTCGGTGTTATCAAATTCAAGACTGAGCTATATTTAGTGAATCATAATTAAATATAAACTTATCTACTGATTGGCTATATATGTATATAGATCGGATACGCGACTCTTTAGAAGCGTATCCTGTCGCATGAACTTAAATCTAGATTTAAGTTTGCGAATGACGTCCTTCTGAGACGTCGCGATGCCTAGCTTCAACTAGCGTCATCCCTTCCCATGTGAATCTATAAATGGATATCACATTCACGAGGGTGGATCACATTTGTGTATCGCACCCAAGTGACAGGTCAAAAGTAATCATAAAAACTTTTAGACCAAACATGCAGTATATTAATTAATGTTTGCGTGTAACTAGATGCCCTGTTACAGATTCAAATTCAAATTTGAATTTTTCAAAATGACACGCCTTTGGCTGGCAGAGGGGCTATCGGCTCCGGGAGCTTATTGGAGAGGCTTCTGGAGATGTACATAAAAAATGAGAATGAAATAAATAAACAACCATAAGTCCTACCGTGTTTCACCTAATCTGCTCTCATAACCTGTCAACTGTGGCATGTCAGATACTCTCAAATGTTTCATGTCACAAACTGTTTGTCCGATGACTTCACGTGGTCGAGGGTAACGTCATAGCCACTCGCGATCGAAACTTTCTGCCGTTGTGAGCGACAACTTGTTTGCTTGGACACCCACTTCCATTCACCTCGTTCCCTGATCAATTATGGTGATTCCGTAGCGTTCGTCGTCGTAGGGCCCAATGAGATCAACATGAACCACATCAAATGGGTTAACGGTTATCATAGTCCCTGGCGGTACCATAGTCTTGTTTTTCACCATGCACTACGCAGCTCACTGCAGACGACGACGAGAGCTCCTGGTGCGCTGTCTGCGTGCGTGTGAGCAGGTCAATCTCACGCTGACACGGCCATTCGCTTTGCAACAGATCCTATAGTCAAAACACAGGAGTGTAGTTCAGTAGAGATGGTCATGGACGCAGGCAATAAAGGTCTAGACGACATCACCACAGGTATCGCGGTCATGCAGTTTGTTTTTTAGTCCAAAATGTGAAAGTACACAATTTAAAGTCCAATTTGACCGTTGGCTACCTTAAATGAGACCGACCATTTTTCAATTGCATTTCCACCAATGAGCGTGTAGTAGCCAGAATTGATGAGCTACATAGAGATTAGTATTAAGTTCACTGTCTCTCTTACCGATAGCTACGTCTTACATAATAGAAGGTGATATCGTCATTATGGAGGAAAAAGGAGATGGTGCGCTTGGTATGGCAAATGTTGGAGGTGCTGGCAACGTGGCCAAAGTGGTGTTACTTCTGCTAAACATGATGTTTATGGTGTTTGGGTGCCTATTGGTGTACTTTAGCCACCGTGTCAAGAAATCTGGGTGGCTCGACGCCTTTGAGAGCGATTACACGTGGATTGGCTCGTCCACACTTATTTTTACACTGGTATTGGGTGCAGTGGTTATTATAGTCTCGGCATTTGGTTGTTTTGGTGCCTTGCTGCAGCAAAAGTTGCTGCTTACGAGCTATGCTATTGTACTTGTCATTACGACCATTCTCTTTATCGTGGTGACTGTGGGAGCCAACATGGCCAATTCCAAAGCCTCTAACTGGAGTAGTGTTGTCTACCCAGCGACGAACGACGAGGAATCTCTAGGAAGCAATTTTAATCAGCTCTATTGCTACGCTCAGGTACCTTATTATTGCCAGGATGCTACAGTAAATACGATGCTGAAGATGTTTAACGTCTCGGCTCCAGGCCACTTCACAGACATGACGACCAATGTGACAAATATTTGCTCCACAGTAAAGCTTCCAATTATCAGCAACGTCTGCATTGTGTGTGACTTGACTGCTAAATACAAAAAGTACTCGATGGTTTTGGACTGGATCGAGACGTCGTGTCCCCGAACGAGCACGAACCAAGTCTGGTGCGGCGGCTTCCTGCTCAATGCTACAGCTGCGAATGACATGTCGACCAACGCGCCGTTTATGGAATGCCGTAGTGCCTTTTACCAGCTTGTGGAGAAGTGGACGAACGTCGTGATAGTGGCTAGCACCATCTGCATCATCGCAGCCGGCATTGTACTCGTTATGACAGGTGTGCTGTGGCGGAACGTGCGAGCAGCACGACAACCGACGGAAATCGTGGCAACTTCACCAGCCCCAATATACCACAACTGTGACCAGATGATAGGCCTTTCACAGCGCAGCGAGGCAACGAATACTAACAACTTCAGCATGTTTTCGACTGCACCTTGCAATCCCAATCCTGGGCATCGTCGATATGATAGTCCGTACTAGGACCACAGTGGATGCGTGATGATATCTAATGTATTCTTCGTGAGATGTTCCTGTTATTGTTATGCATCTATGGTCTGGGCACAGCAAAGCGCTACTTCCTGAACACTAGCAACTTGTCATCAGTGCTTTGCTCGTCAAGCTCAAGGCACTTCTGAAAGAAAGAAGAGGCATTTTGTTTGCGGTACTGCTCGTTCAAGTTAGCCAACGGATCGCGCACGAAAAACTGACGCGCACGACGCTGACGGCTTTTCTTGCGTGAGTCGTTCTTGTTGTTCTCACTGGTGATCTTCTTGTGCAGCGGGTTGCTAGGCGGCACAGGCACTTTCGGTTTGAATGCAAAGGTTGCACCAGCATACGGGTCAAATGCGTCCATAAGCGCTCGAGCATGCTCGTTCGGCAGGGATGGAGCCATCTGGGCAGTGCCAAGCGCGTAACTGGACAGCTTTGGATGGACATGATGTGTCAACAACGCCAGCTCCCAGCATGCACTTGAGAACGGGTTGGCAAAGTCGGGATCGTCAATGTCCGCGCGGTATTCACCTGAAGCCACACGATCCACGTCCGATTCCAGAAGCTGCTGTAACTTTGCGTAGCGTTGAAAAAGTGCACGAAGCAGAGCCAAAGTAGCTAAAGCCTGATGCGGAGGAAGGTGCTGCGCCACAAGCAACAGTCGCTTCACAAAAGCCGCCACACGCTCGATTACAATTTCTTTTCGTCGAAGGAACACTGCTTCCACACACTGCAGCAGAGTTGGAAAGCACGACGAGTCCAAGCCCGCTTCACCATCGGCAAACCGGTGCAACAGACGGTAAAGAATATCCACAAACTCCTTTTCGTCGATCATGAGTTCCTGTCCACCGGGGCCTTGTAATGCACGCAGTCCCGTTAGTACGGCCTGCAGTGCTGCCGGAAGTGGTAGTAGATCTTCTTCGCGCAGCACAACCTTGAGTACTTTGAGCAAGTCGATCATGATATCAAGATTAATCAGGAACGAGTATTTCGCCAGTCCTTCCAATACAGCTGGTAGTGCCTGCGAGTAGGTAGCTTGCTTCAGAATGCGAAAGTAAATGAGAACCAATTCGTGCAAGATATCAGCCTGCGTCTTTTCGCGCTCAGCACGATCCACAACAGCTTCGGCTTCCTTGAGACCGGCAGCAATATTATCACCATCCGCCTGCTGACGACGACGTTTCTTGCGATCAGACTTGGCTTTCTTGCGAGCTGCCTCGCCTTGCTCCATGGTCACCTCAAGTGGCATAGCCAGCAGTGTTTGAATAATGAAGGGCTGCACACGGTGTTGCTTTTGCTTCACATAGCTTGAAATCTGTTGTACGATCTCATACGAGCAAGCACACGTTTTGTCATTCTTAAAGACACTTTCAAACGACGCGCAAGCCTGCTTGCGGATATTCGGAAACTGCGAGTCTGCCAGTGGCACCAGTGCGATCACAAGATTAAGGTGAAAGTTAAAGGCATACTTCTTTTCCAGCAGCTGCGCCAAACAACGGACACTGGTCTCGGCTAGCAATACGTCACACCGTTCACGTACCGTCATCGTCGCTAGCTGTTCTGGGCGCTTCCTCTTGAGCCCCGTCGAAACCAGATCAGCACAGTACTTGAGAAACTTCTGGTAATTGCTCAGCAGTGCCGCTTCAAAATCCTGCATCTGTTGCACCTTCTTCTTCATGGGACGTCCATGGTTCTGTTTGCCCTTTTCCTCTGCGTTAGCATTGTTCTGAAGACGAATCCGGTAGTCGGGTAGAATATCCAAAAATACCGACAACTGCGACATCAGACTAAGACGCTGCACGGTCGAGTCGGGATCTCGGCACAACAATTGCAACTGTTGAATCTTGCTTAGTTGCTGCGGATGCTCTTTACTCTTCTTAAAAGAGTCCTCCGGATTCTCCAAAATACTTTCACAGAGCTGTGCAATCTCCACCTTTTTCGACACCAGTCGAAGTCCACGTTGACGCATCAGATCCACCGTCGACAGCTCACTTTGCGGCATCTCCGTAGGTTTTGCAGCCAAAGCGTCTGTAATTTCTTCAAATTCCATGTCCGACACATCCGATTCAACCTCTTCTTCTCCTGCTCCTTCTTCTGCTTCGTTTTCAGTTTCAACGGCCTTGGGCTTTATCGCCTTCTCGACCAACAGTTTATTGGCACGCACACTGCCGTCCATGAATTTGACAGGTAATTTATCCTTTAGCACCACCTCATTGTCCGTCGTCCACGCCGCTTTGCGTGGATGAGCCTCTAGCTTTTCCAATGGCATATTCTCGTCATCGTCATCGTTTATCTTCATCTTGTCCTCTGTCTTAACAGAATTCACCGTCGGCTTCTTGTCATTCTTGGTACGTACCGGTTTACTCAGTGCCTGGGCGTCCATATTGTCTAGAAAAGCTGTAAACTCAGTGTTGTCATTGTAAAAGGCCACATCCTCTTCATCAATCTCCACGTCTTCCTCTTCCTTCTGTTCGGGTTGACGACTCGACTGCTGTGGCTTCTTGGGGCCTTTCTTTTTGTTCCTTTTAAGTCCAGACAATGAGCCTTTGCGATCATCTTGTCCCTTTCTCTGTGTCTTTCTCGTATTGTTGCCAGTTCCACTAGAAACGGCCTTGCGCTTCTTGCCTTTACCTGCCATCGCCATTATCCTGTGCTGACTGCAGGCCAATCAAACGAAGACAGAATATAAAGCCACTAGACAATATAAAGACAATATAATTTGTCATGCTGTACGTTTTATCTTTTTTTGTCATACTCAGCTATGTATACATAGTGTAGCCATTTGGGATTACCAGAATGGACACCATCCATAATAGAGTTGGCACAGGTTTTCATGCGACGTGGCTTGATGGATCAATCGATCCACCTGTGCGTCCACTGTAAGCACTTTGTTGCCATCATCAAAATCACGACCAGCTAATTTCTTCTTGACACGCTCAATGACACTTAATGCCTTTTCATTCAGCTGCGGATGTTCCGCCGCTACAAATGAAGTGCCAAAGTTGTCGCGCTGTGTCTCAGACATCGAATTGCGTGCCATTGCTGGGTCCAGCATGTCCATGTTGTAGCCTAGCATTGCAGCCTCAGACGAAGAGTTTCGCCGTCGCTTTGGAGTCACGGGGGCTGATGACGTCGAGCTCTTCATACTGCCTTCCGTCAGCTTGTCCTCTTCCGAAATCCTTTCACTTGCAGCATCGCCTTCCCCGTCCCCACTACCACGTACATCGCTTTCGCCTTCATGGCTAATATGATCAACGTTAGCATCTGTACCATCTCCGGTATCTCCTTCACGTCCAGCGCCACCAGCACCGTCATCTTCTTCTGGTTGCGCATGAGACGGCACGGCGTCCTTCTTAAGCAGACGCCAGTTAATCAAGGGGTCGTACACGAACGCCTCAAGCACGGCCATGAGTGAATCGCGGTTATCACGAAGTACACGCATCGATGCTTCGCAAGTGTAACGGAAGTTGCCTTCAATGCCACTGACCTCCATTGCCTGTGTCAGCATGCGCGTGAGTCGGAACGGAATCTTCTCCGGATACTTGTCGCGTTCCATTGCTACTTCAAAACAGTCACCAAAGTCAATATGAACGAGTTTGCCAGACACACGATCTAGCATGAGATTGCTCGGGTGACGATCACCAAGACCGAGGATGTAACCAGCCATCGACATGACTGCTAGCGAACGCGTGAAATTCCGGCGACGGTCGAGCCATACCTCAGAGTCCTGACTCTTTAGCCACAAGACTCGATACAGATCTTGACCAGTGGTCTCTCCCAGCGCATATTTGAATGCCTCAACTTTCTGCATGAGCGGCAACTTGTCGTAGTCTGGGGCCATCTGCACCATTAGACGATGTTCGACGTTTAGTTGGATCTTACGCGCCTCGCGGTAGTCGCGGATAAGCTGATGCAGGGTATCACAGTTAGGCACCCATCCAATAAGGCCGCTTGTGTGCGACAATGGAAGTACTGAATAACGCTGGATGCCCAAATTACGCTTGCTGGTGTCACTGTCGTTTGATAGCAACGTGTTGATCACGCCGAAGAGCTGCATCACGCGCTCATCCTGACGCAAATCCTCGTGGCCTTTAAGCAGAAACGGGTAAGCTTTTCCATCGCTTCCGTTGATAGACACCCTTCTCGGTCGTTGCTTTGATGTAAGCACTGTAACTTTTGTATCGAAAGACTGGATGCGAACAATTGGGGCACCAGCCTTGTACGTGCCTGGTACTGCAAGCGTGAGATTACGCACTGACAGTAACTTCGGTCCAACGTTAGCCAGTTCCAGCGTTGAAAGGTTTGCAAGCTGCTTGCGAATCTTAGAGAAAACGCTGTAATAGATGTCCCATGCCTGATTCAGATCGTCTAAACTCTTCGTGCGCTCATACACATTTGTCCATTCCTTCGCATAGTGTAGATCTCGAGCGAACGCTTGGAAGAACGCTACCTCGCGTAGTGTAGGCGCTTCCTCTATGCCGATTTGATCCATTAGTTCATGAAGTGGAGCCAACTCGGCAATCATAGCAGTCACATCGCGGTTGTTGAAAAAATGCTTAGACGCTTCTTCAAGAGCGCCGTGCCATAATTCATTCCACAGGATGGCCACGCGAATAAGTTCACGCGACACCATGTCAGCCTCATACACAAGCTGGGAGCTATGGCGGCGTACAGCAGCAAGAATTCCTTCTGCCGCAAGCTTTCGAGTGGGGTTGAGCGCCTTAGATGCCACCGTAATCGGGTAAATTAGAGCCTGAGGGTGTGCCTGACCAATGCGAGAGAGCAGATCATGAAGCAGGTCGCTTGTGTTTGGGTTGGGTGTATCAATACGCGCGATAAGCTGCGGGATGACATTTAACCACGTATCAATAGATGCCTCATGGAACCCCTCGACCATCGCCATATGAACATCGCTACGATTGCCTTGCGCGAACCAAAGTGTCAGGAGGCGTAAAACGTCTTTCGTCACATCATAACTCGTGTGGCCAAATGAAATCGACCGAAAGAAACCCTGAATGGCTCGAACAGCGTAATGCTTTGGATCTCCTTGACCAGGTTCCTTCGCGGTAGCCTCAAGCGCCCGGAAGTTCATAAGGGCCCACTCATGCCATGCGCGGTCATTGGTTGGGTCCAGCTTTGTTGCTGTCTCAAGACATTCAAGGACATGGTCAAACGCTCCATCGGCTTGCTTGTGTGGCTCGGATAGGGACATTTGCCATTCGCCCAGTTGAATGTACACTTGCACGCGAAGCCTGCGCATATCTTCGTTCGTTGGATCCCCGTGCTGCTCCAAAGCCTCAATGAAGTAATCCATCTGCTTCAAAGCCACATCTTCTCTATTTTCTGCCCACAGATGTCGTAAATAGCTAAAGGCCACACGCGGGTCCTGTGCTGCACTATCCGCTAAGCTCAACAGTCCGTTCGCAAAACCTTGACTTGCTCCAGCATTACCACCGAGATTAATCGGAATCGGTGCGTAAGGGTCCCGTTCGACACTGCGGATGAACGGTTGTGCGCCAACACGCCATAGCGCACTGGAAGCGAGGTTTAGGTGCCCTGACTTCAGGCACAAACGCGCATACTTTAGCCAGATATCCACATCTTCTCTGGGATCGAATACAAGCGATCGCACCAGCATGAGACTTTGCCACACTTCGATGTTACGCTCCACTCCTAACATACGCCTGGTCCAAATCGTTTGTAGTTTCTTCAGTGCTACTTGCTTCTCATGTCCATACGATGTCGATGATGCCGAAGACACGAAGTTGAGACTGCTGATGCTTTGTTTGCGACGTGATGCAGTTGTGGACGTTGTAGTCGATGATGTAGGAGCTGACAGAAGCGTAAGCTCACCGTTATTCTTACAGGCAAAGGTCTTTAAGTAAGCGACAATTTCCTCCAGCTCCGTCAGCATTTGCAGATTTACGATGGCTGGAAGATATGCTCGAGCGTAACTCTCGCTTACAAGGGAACGTAGTGTTGGGTCCATTTCCTTACGGCAGTCGGCAATCGAGCCCATGGCTTCATCCAACTCCATACGCCGAATTGACACAACTGCCTGAAAAAGATGCGACTCCGTGGCGTCCATATCTGAGTTGATGTACTTCGGAATGGAGTCCCAGTTTTGCAGCGAAAAGGCGACCCGCGCGCCACTGCTGCACAATTCTTTCTTCAGAGCCGGAGGCACATCCAAATGTGTCTCTCCATCTTCATTTAAATCTTGGCTCTCACCGTAAATTTTGGACCAAGTCTCCTGCACGTGGTCGTCTAGCTTTCGCCACTCACCAATTGCCCACAGACAGCGCATTTTGCCAAAGATAGACTCCACATTGTTCGGGTTATCTAGAAGAACGCGGTCATGTGTTGCTAATGCATCGTCCCAGCGCAAAAGCTTTTCGTGCCACGACGCCTTCACTTCAATGCCTGGCAGTTTTTCGAGGGCATACTTTAATATACCACGTGCAGCCTCCGGCTGATTCAGTTTTGAGTTAATACTGATGAGTGCCTGGATTCCATCGGTACTTGGATTGGTGTTAAACTCGAGCTCTTTGTAGTGAAGTGCCTTGGCGAAAGAATGGCACTTGTCGGCCAAAGACCCAAGCAATCGGATATCAATCGGCAGAGGTTGATCGTCGTGCTCCATGAACTCAGCAAGATTAAGCAGAGTTTGAAGAATCTCCGAGGGCAGATGAGGCGACTGGAAGGCTGACTCCAGAGACCGAATCAAGTTGTCTTGAGTCGGAGAAGACAAATGCGGCCACACACTTACAAATGATGCGTTAAACAGCTCTCGGGCCAAAGGCTGATACACTGAAGCCAGCTCTTTGCAAGCTCGTAGAACAGGTGACGGGGACTCTCGAAGCAACTCAACCGAGAATCCCAGGATCCAATCGTTCCAATCTTCCTTGGTTGATCGCTGAGATGCCTCCCACGCCTTCATCAAATTCTTTTGGTCGCATGGTAAGCTCTTCGTATCATCTGCGGTAGTCGAGCTTGAGTCCTTGCGATCACCCGAGGTATCAATACGCAGTTTAAGCGGATCTGTTGCCCATGATGCTACCGGCAGCGGCTGGTACTTTAATATCTTCGACACCAGGAGATCATAGCGATCGAAAATGTCGTTCGAACGCGATGTATGGCGACCCAGAACCTGACTAATTACTGGAACGAAGATCGCATAGTCGTCCCCCATCGTGTAGACCATGCAGCATAGGCAATCCATGGCAAGATACACCATCTCCGGCTGCGACGAGATCACACGTGCCAACATGTGGATAATTTTAGACGCATACACGCTTACGTTAAGCTTCTTCACGAGTGACCCAAGGGAGCCAAGACCTTGCTTCCGCGCTTTCACGTCCGCATCGCTCTGAATAAGTGCCACGAGTGCTGGGATGATTAGATGAAGATATCCATCCAATAGACGGCCAAGCGAAACAGTAGTCTTCAACACCAACAGAGTCCGGGGCCGGGCAGGGTTATCACGCTCTGTCCGAATCACGCGTAGCATTTGAGGAATGAGGTCAGGCAAGTAGACACGAAAATTCTCGCCAAGTGAAGTTGCCAGCTTCTTGACCAAGTTAAGAACCTCTTCAAGGTGCTCGTCCCAATAGCTATTCACGATGGACAGCAATGCGACGTGGTCCAAGTGCGGCTGAATCTGCTCCTCGACAATCTGTACCAGATCGCAAAGCTGCTCAAAAAGAAATTTACGCAGAGAACGGTTTACTTTCTCCAGAGCGTAGAGAAAAGCTGGGATGATATTGCCCAAATGTTGTCCCATACGTTTTCTTTGGCTTTTACATATGTACATGATAGCCATAAACGTGCCTTGGTAGTGTACCGAATTACGCGGTTCGAGCAGAATACGGATCAATGCATTAGTCGCAACAGTGGGGAAATACTGGGACGAGTCGGGGATCATCGATGGCAGCAAATCATCAGGCGGAACCTCCAAAATAATGTTTGTCAGTTTTCCGCTGGTCTGCTTGTCACTTTTCGCCACCTTCCGAGCTGGTGTCAGCAAAAGTGATTCTCCGAGTTGATAAGCATCTTCCTCGCAGCTGCCATCTAGCAACCTAAGCCCGCCAATTCCATTGCCAATACGGATACCGATTACAGCTCCATTTGTCTGATGTGACCCAACACCAAACCTGTTTGTCGTCAACGCTTCTAAAGGATTTGCTGCATTATCCATTAAGCTGAACGCACCACCAGCACCAACAGCAAACGCGCTGGAATGAAACTCCTTCTTCTTGGCATCCATGAGCTTGCCTTGCTTTTGTAAATGAAATAAGCGAAGATTATACGGATCTAATGCTCCCAAAACACCGATCGTACGTCCTGCTTCGACCCGCAAGGATTCGAAAGCATCACCAGACTTCTGCAGCGCTTGGCAGAGCAAGTCTAGCAATTCCGGGTACTCATGGTACGGGAGCACCACATAACCGGTCGATGACACTAGCTGTCCCAAAGTTTTGATAGCGACCTGTAAAATCTGCGGATTACTAGAGTCGCGCATTTCGTCAATAACATCCGGTAATAGCTGACCGAGGTACGGCGTCAGTTCTTGTGCTCCGACTTCGGCCAAGTCACCTAAGGTTGCCAGGATGGCTTTGCTCACACTGATCGTGCTTCGATTATGACTACGGCGTTCCGAGTCTTCGCGTAAATTCTTCATCAAAACGCGTAGAATGGGGAGCACGTATGGCTGGGCTAGCTGTGATGCTGACCGCAACAAACAACCAATTAAAAGCGCACCCTCTTCCTTGCCCCGGGAGTCTCCACTAAACTCTAATTCAGCCAAAAGCTGCACCAGCGTTTGCCGGAGAGAGGGTAGTACAGTGGAAGGGTTGTGATGCGTGAGTCTTCCGAGCGTACTCATTGCTGTTTGACGAATGCTAAAAACCTCATCATTGAGCGCAATAAATAAGCAGCGCAAGTTATCGTTCAAAGCCAACAATGGGTCAAAACGTGAATCCAACGATGCCAAAACACGCAAACGAATACTCGCTTCAGTATCAGCGATGCCCACTGTTAACAATCGCTCCAATACAGATGTAACAGGACGAGCAAAATCGTCCGAGGTCATCGCTGTACTGCCACCGCGGTCTTCACCTGATGGCAGGAGAAGTTTACAGCACGTAAGTGCTGCACTTTTACGGATAGCTGCAACTTCATGGTCAAGAAATTTGACCACAGTTTCGTGGACAAACGACATGATTGGGACGAGTCGGTTGCCCTGAAAGTCAAAATTTGCCAATGTCTCTAATGCAAGCGCCTGCATTGCGATCGTTGATGATACCTCGGCTGATGGCGCACCACTATCGGATGCCCCATTGGTCTTTGCCCCCGTAGCAGAAAGAAAGAGGTTCGACAGCATTCCACCCGTCACGGAGATGGAAGTTGTCTTGATCCTCCTACTGGTTGGAGTCGTAGCAGATCCAGTGGTATCGTTTTGCCTGGAGCGCAAAATTGAGCTTAACCTCTCGAACAGCTTCTGTTGGATAATGGGTTTCATGGGCGGGATCTTCTTGACGATAGTTGTCAGCGTCTCTACCAGCGACGAGTCGAGGTCATTTTGGAAAAGGGGGCCCACCATCGACTCCAAGTCAACCCTGATAAGTGCAAGTCCCACAGTCTCTGCCAGCATCCGCAGACATGCAAGTGCCTCTCGATGTGTATCAAAATCTTTCTTGCGCACTTGCAGTCCGCCCTTTATTCCATTCATAATCGCCATTAATGCTTGTTCATCCCTTGCTAGTAATGTTCCAATAGCAAGCGAAAGTTTTCCAATCGAAAGCAGCGCATCCGGGCGGGTCGTTGTTGTTGCGGAGAAAAGCACTTCGAGCAGATGATTCATACACGACCGATAACATTTCTCGACGAACACGGACGTATTAAACTTCGCCAAACGCGGAAACAGACTGATCACAGCAGAGCGTACAACAGCGCTCTTATGATCCTGGTGACTGAACACCAAGCGGCAAGCACGAGCATAGTGCGAGTGCATAAAGTCCCCCGTATTGCGTAACAACTCATTCAAAATGAGCAGCGCTCCATGTGTCGCCTCCGAGTTGTTGCGTTTGAATGCCGCTTCTGCTTCATCCAATGCACGATTGTACCAGGACGTTTTACGGTTCGATTCACGCTGCTGAATGAGCATAAAACATGACTGCAGTGATTCACTGGCACTCACTCTTACTACAAGCTTTGAGTCCCAGAATGCGCTCCATATAAAGTCAAAGTATTTGTCCATATATCGAAATGATGTCGAAGGGGCATTGATCGATAATTCTTTCAGGATCATGACTGCAGCATGTCTACGGACGTGAAACGTCTCGTTCTTCAGCCACTCAAGTGCCGGTTTAACGTGATAATCTTCTACAAACTCAATAAGACTTGTGCCGCCTGTGGACACGATATGTCCAAGAGCTTTAGCTGCGACACGTAACATGGGCGGATCGGCACTTGGAATCTTTTCAAACACTCTAGTCAGTGAGTGTGCAAACTCAATGATGGTCTGATCATTGCGTTCGGCAATAAAGAGCTCTACTAGTTCATCCATAGCAGCGATACCGCCCATACGATCGGCATTTTCGTTTGAATTGCACAACATCATCAACCGTGCACTAATGTCAGTGACCCATTTCATGTAGAGCCCATGGGACAGATCACGTGATTCCGACTCAATGTACAAACGTAAGCTCTGTGCTGCACGATGTCGGACACTGCTGTTACTACTACGCAGGCCCGTATGAAACCGTGCAAAGCTTTCGGCCATAGTACTGTAGCTCCAGCCTTTTGTCTTTCGTCGGTCTAATTACAAAATGAGGAATTGAAAAGGGGGAGCGCAATTTACTATACAAACTTCAAGTCAATAGGATGGCGACGGTATTTTATCCGGGTATAAGAGCCGAAACGTCACAAAGCCTTTGTACGTGGTGTTAGTTGAAACTTCATCTCCCGTTCGAAGGCCGCTTGTTTCATACTGCACTTGGCACTGAAATGACCAAGTTTTTTACAATAGCGACATGGCTGTACACAGTCTTTTGAATGGTGGTCATCTTTCTTGCAGTTGTAGCATCGACGATGACGTCTCTTTTGCATCGTGATCGGATGCTGATCATCACCCACTTGAATCGCTTTCGACCGTGTTTCCCACGCTTGCAGCTTGTTCTCAAGCCGCCGCTTCTTGCCCTTCTCCTTTTGACTGTACATCACACGACGACGCTCCTTCTCGTCTGCATCCATAGGTGGTTTTTTCTCCGGGTCTGCTTCATTTTCAAAGTGCTCGACAATACGAGAAAACTGCAGCTTAAAAAAGAAGAGCAAGTCCGACAACTGCGTCGTTTCCGAGCCCTTTGGCAATGTGATTGCTGCCTTCTCCGCAGCAGCAGTATATTCTTCCAACATCAACTGGATAGCTGTATATCAAACAGCATTAACTTCTCTATAAACTATTCCATTTCAACATCTTATTGCCACGTTACCTTCAATTGTAGAGACACAACCAGCTCCAGCTTTATGATAGCGCCAGAAATTGCTCTCTTTGGGTGGATGAGCAAGCTTCACATGACGCAAATTGGCGAGTGTAGGGTCTTTTATGATCACTGACGCTTTTTGCCACGGACAGTCAATGAAGATCAGCGTACGAAGGTCTTGGAGCTCGTTACTGATGATCTCGTCCATTGTCTCGGCCTCAAAAGATGGATATACTACCACAGCGTTATTACGTGTATATTTTATCAAAGTGGTGCTATCATTTACTAACGGATAAGGAATAATCTCCACGTCCTGCGGAGCCAAGACCTTGGCATGTGGTGCCGTACTCTTCTTAATCTTGTCCTGAAACCATATATCGATACGTAGTGGTAACTTCAGTGATGGTACCGTCACGCTCTTTGGTACACCAAGTGGAATGTTGCACTTGGGACAATAGAATTTGTAGCTGCGGTGACAGGATGTACAGGGCAGACGCTGCCACGCCTGCTCGGCACTCATGATATTAAGGTCAATTGGTGGAGCTTGGAGGAATCTATTTTTCATATTAGCCAATCCAAACTTATTATAGTTTTATTTCAATTTAGCCAATCCAAACTTATTATAGTTTTATTTCAATTTAGCCAATGAAACATTACAGTACTTCCCCTCTCGAACTCGTTCAATCAAACGAACGTTTGTTTAGATTTCAGCGGTCTCTACAATTCGACTTTCAACATGTGGTCTACGATGATCCTGCGCTTCCCACTTGCACAGACCAAGTTCCTATCGCGTGGTGCTCTTGTAACTGCAGGTTTAGCAGCCTTTGCATCTTTTTCTAGCTCTTCATTTGTACAATGTGAGGAAACTCCTCAGTCAAAAGTTGCACTGAGTCCCAAGGAATTTCGTTCTTTTACGGTACGAAAAGTGGAAATTGTGAACCACAATACTAAACGCGTGACGTTTGACCTGCCAACGCCTACTCATGAGATGGGTCTTACTACACCGAGCTGCCTTATGGCACGTGCTAAAGTGGATGGGAAGACAGTGGTGCGTCCTTATACGCCCACGAATGTAAACGAGGAAAAGGGCTTTTTGGAACTTGTGGTCAAGGGATATCCACATGGAAAACTAAGTAAGCACATTGTGGAACTCAAGGAGGGAGACTCTCTAGATATGAAGGGTCCTTTCCTTAAGTTCAACTATTATCCTAACAGGTACAAGAGCATCGGTATGATCGCTGGCGGCACCGGCATCACTCCGATGCTGCAGCTTATCAAGACCATTTGTCGTAACCCAGAAGACCACACAGAGATTACTTTGCTGTACTGCAGTGTGTCAGAAAAAGATATTATCCTACGTGAAGAAGTGGAAGCCATGATGTACCTGTACCCGCAGATTTCAGTGATTCATGTGCTGAGCAATCCGTCTGATGAATGGCAGGGTCTGACGGGTTTTGTGTCCAAGGAGATGGTCGAAAAGTACATGCCCGAACCATCGGACGATAACCTTGTGTGCGTCTGCGGCCCTCCGCCAATGATGTACCACGTCTCGGGCGACAAGGCTAAGGACAGGTCTCAAGGCGAGCTCCAGGGCTTGCTCAAGGAGTTGAACTACACTTCGACACAAGTGTTTAAATTCTGAGCCAAAGCAGGTCATGCAAGTCTCGCTCTCGTTAGGTCTAGCGTGCTTGTAGCAAGGATTAAGCTCAAGGGTGTTTGGCTTTTCTCATATTTGGCGGACTACAGCCGCCAGCGTGTTCTATTGCGTGCTGTTAAAAAAGCTGTGTAGTTTTTTGCCGTTGACTTTACCCAGAAGCTTCGTCAGTTCATCTAGCGACTGACTGCTGAGGTCAGCGAGATTCTTGACTTTCGCTAACACCGTACGGTAGTTGTGTTCGTTGATGCCAGGTAACTTCTTCAGCACATCGATTGAGCTGGTGTTGTAGTAGTTCGATGCCAATCCTCCCTCAGCACTACTTCCTTGAGCAGCACCGTCTACTAGCAAACCGTTGCCAAGTGCAGCCGCAGCATTCATGTCTGGCTCATCTTGATACTTCTTGACAATCTTGAAAAGATCCACCGTGGCGTGTGGCGAGCGAGACCAAAGGATCCGCAATGACGGGAAGTGAAGAATCAGCAGTGTAAGCTTGGAGACGATGTTGGTGGCATTTATTTCGGGACTAAGCTCTGACACGTCCTGCAGCGAGAATGCCTTGCCGTGAGTGAATTCAATCAATAGCACGGGTGTTTTGTAAAAGCGCCGCATGCTTTCCGCCTGGTTAAACAATCGCCCGGAATTTAACGAGCCAAAGAGATCGCTTATGCTCTTGCGCTCCACGCAAATCTCAGGCGACAAGACGTAGTCGCCAATTTCTAGCGTCATGGGAAGTACAAACAACCCATCCTTGTGGAGCATGGACGGTAATGCACTCCGGAACTCGCGAACATCAACGACAACTTTAACGCTGGCGCGATGAGATTTGGCCCGACCGCCCGTTCGTGTGTCCATACTGTATTCCACAGTCTGTTGTCGTAGCTTCATGTGGAGCGGAAGATCGTACACATTTGCTGGCATCATCAAGTGTGCTTTCTGGTGGATGAGCTTGTCAAAAGCGCGCTTCTCGCGCTGAATTTCACTCAGATAAGACTGCTGTTCCGTGCTTTCGTTGTACATCATGAAATAAATCTCAAGAGGAGCAATGTGTGAGGTGTGAAAAACTTCAACTTCACGAATGAATGCCATATCGGGGTCGTACAACACGATGCAAGAAGGCATTAGGTCCTCGAGAAACGCTGAGGCGCCGTAGCCTTGTTGTGTGGCTTGATCATATGTACACAAAACGATGCTGTCAAGCGGGTCCATCACTTCAAGTGACAAATTCGGCGTGCCTAAAGGATGATCTCGGCGATGGGATGTTCCTTGGTCAGCACGAAGATGGTTATTGGAAAATGACTTGCACTTGTTATCACGCTTAGATTCGTCATGAGCTGCTGTAATTGTTTCTAGCTCGGCCACTGATAAACCAAAGCTCGACACATCAGTAGTATGAGCTTGGACATCTTTAAAGCTTGAGGATGATGATTCGTCTCGCATACGCTTCTTTGCTTGGACAGATTTTTGTTTACTGTTTTCTGCTTGTGATGGAAGCACCGTTTCATCGTCAGTGTAAAGCTCATCGGATCGTAGCTTCGCAGCAGCCTCCACAAGAAGCCGTTGCTCGAGTCCCAGCGATGTCATGCTGCCTCCCTTTTGCTTCAGCGTGGCCTCCTTCTGCAACAAGTAATGGGCGAAACGGCGCTGCATCATTTCCTGGGCACCCAAACTTAAAAATTCACGTAGCTGTGCACATATTCGCTCGTCCTTGACCATCACCAACACACTTGACCCACCAGCTGCCCGTTCCTCCTTGCTCTTTTTCTTCTTTTGCTCACGCTGTTGTTCATCGTGCACTTCATCCAAGATCTCTTTGAGTGCATCCCATTTAGGATTTTGCTCAAGCACAAGCTTGAGCTCAGCAATACCTGCAGCGTTCGAAGCCGCTCCATTCGAAGCACCTAGGTGACGGAAATTTGCAGGCTTCTTAGTTTTCGGGTCCACAATTTGGTACAATCGTTCTTTTGATGCAGAAAGAAGGCGATCTGCAGCATCTGTGAACAGCCACTGTGACGGATAACGTTGCTGGCCGTTCATGGTTTGATAGTTCACCAGAAACGAATAAAATGAAATGGCATCGTAATGTGGAAGGTATGCCAACAACTGACGAAGCGTCGAGAGGTCTCCAACAAGTTGTTTGGTTTTGACTGGCAATTTGTGCCACAGCGGGTCCAATTGCCGTCGAATGAAGTTACTAAACGACTTGGCAAGAGCCTTGTCCATCGTAAGATCAGCAGCGTCCAGTGATTTGGTGCTGCGTTGTAACTCCTTTACCGTAGCTTCAAGTGCAACAAGCAGCGCTTCTTGCATGATTTTCATAGAAGGTGAAAAGGCCACTTCAATTTCGTACACTTCGGGTTGATGTTTCTCGAGACACGAATTCACTGCAACATGAAACCTCGGATACAGAAACACATTCCGCACGTACAAATGTTTAAGAACTTGTTCCATGCGGTTAAAACCCGACGAGAGAGCGACGCTGTCGTCACAAAACCCTTTGATGAATCCTTCTCGATTGCGTTCACGATAGAGTCGTAGAATAAAAGCTTCCATGGAGGTCTCTGTCACATGATGTGCATCATTTACTAACAGTCCACTGACGCTAGCTGGGTCCATATGATTAGACAATAAATCCACGACGAGGATTCGCGCCGTCACGAAAAAAACGCCGCCGCGCTTGTACATTTGCTGTCTCTCATTTAAACTATTCCGGGCATCGACTACTCGTGGCAACAGATGACGGTCGAGGCCTAGCGCCAGCATTGAGCGTCGTAGCGTCGCTGCCTGATCGTTAACGTTTAGACACAACACGAGACTACGAGGTGAGCAATAGAGACGGACGAAGCTCGCTAACACCCGCAATAGTCCCAGTCCACGACCCATTACTAGAACGCCATCCTGTGCATACAATTCTTCGACAATTTCCTTTTCATACGGCAGCCAACGTGCAGTCAGCGACGAGACCACAGCGTCGGCATCGGCATCGGCAGCATCCACTGAAAGATCGATCACTTCCACTTGCTTCGTCATTTCTGATTGGCTGTAAAAAGAATTTCCAAGTCGACAAACTCTTTTTATGAAATTTGAAATTTGACCTGCTAAAAAACCTTACACGATAAAATAATGTCACCCAAATATCCAAGATGTCTGGGTGCCATGTACAGCTGACGCATCCGGATTTTTTGTACAGGAACAGGAAGCTGATCAGGTCGAAAATGACTTTCAAAATACATATTAATCCACACAGAAGCGATAAAATTTTGACATTAACTTGGCATTTGTAACAATCTTCCCTCTCTTCTTTAATGCCATACGATTTAGCCACGTCTTGACTGTTTGTTGACCAAGTCGTGTGTGTAGTAAACCAGCAGTCGAGTATTCTCACTGGACAGTTGTCGTTCGATCATCGAGTCTCTATTGGTGTCTAGTCGTTCTTTGCCGAATAAACAAAGCGCCAGTGAAGAAGGTAACGAAGCCCCCTCCCCTCCCCTGTTGCACGTGCACGACGGAAGAGTTTTCACAACGGCGCACTCTTTCTTTCACCTTCGTGCTGCTCCGAGCAACGCGAGTGACGTGCCCTTTATGGAATCTCTTGCGTCAGAAACGGAGCTATCGCCAGCAGCGTCTTACCCTCCTAATGACAGCAAGTGGGAAATCTTTGCACGTAACTATCGTGTGACAGAGTTTGTTCTTTCTATCTTTATGTATGGCTTCGCCTTCTTCTTTGCCACGATTCAAGTCGCACAACGTACGAATCAAGTCGACATCTCGTTGTATTCTTTACTTTATTGTTCTATAGGTCTCAATCGGTTTCTAATACAGTATATGATATCATGAATTGTAGGTGAGATCCCAAACATTGAGGTGCAGCTGAACTCGACAATGTCCATATGGGCCCGAGATCCGACGATCAACCAGAAAGAGCTGGCACAGCAAGTTCCCATGACCGCTTTGATCGGTGTGGGAGCATTTGCACCGCTTCTTATTAATCTGTTCATCAACTATGTCCTGCCCAAGTTTCACAATGTGCGTGTCATCGCGCACGACACACGTGATTTTCTCTTGACGATCGTTCTGTCGACGAGTATGGCTACACTGCTGACACAATTCACCAAGAACATGACGGGACGCTTTCGCCCGTGTTTTTATGATATGTGCAATTGGAATTACGATGTCGTGTGGGACGGTGTGACTAATCTTTGTCAAAACCCATCAGGCGAGAAGGAAGGACGCAAAAGTTTCCCGTCCGGACACGCATCTTTTGCATTCGCGACGATGCTTGTTCTTACGGTAGGCTGCTCGTGTGCACTCGCACGCTCTTTGTCTCTCTGGTTTAACCGATAGCTTGTTGTTATGATACCTACAGCTTTACTTGCTTGGGCGATCATCTATAAACTGCGCAAACCGAAGCGAAACGATTATGCGAGGTGGACGCAAGATGTTGAAGCTATTTCTCTGCTTCATCCCAACTTTTTTGGCTTCGTGGGTCGCTGTGACGCGTTCGATCGACAACTGGCATCACTATGCTGACATTCTGGCAGGCAGTATCATTGGGGCCGTTTCCGCATGCTTAGCGTACAGCTATAACTACGCCTCGATTTTCCACAGCAAACATGCTGGCGTCCCTTGGCAAGGCTACCATGCGATCTCTAAGGTATGTCTGTGGATGTTGTGTACTTGTTGGGTTGTGTATTCACTAAATAGATGAATGCGTTGCATATCAGGGAAAGCATACTTCCAGTAATATTGGCATCACATACTCTAGCAGCGGGAACTTTGGCCAAGAAGGCGGACTAGTCAAGCCGCCAGCTGCGCACAATGACTATGTCGTGAACGTTCACAACCGCATTAATGCTGGTAATTAAGCGCATCGATAACTTGCATATTGTAGCGAGATTGTAATCCAACAACAGCTTTGTTATAAAGTCCCAACCTTCCTCCCTCTCCTAATTCTTGCCCCAGTCTGTTCAAAGACTAGTACATCAGGTACTAAATGGCTTAAGCTAGAAACACTTATGAGGTTGCTGGACGTCGGCAACGAGGTGAGTGCCGACGTAACGCCAAAGTGCATTCGGACCAAGTTACCACTGAGGTGTAAGTCGTTTGCGGCGTCATCGTTCCACTGACAGTTGAGTTGATGAGATCTATGTGTTTCCAAAAGTATGAAAGCTCGTCCAGGTACTCGTGAATACGCGTAACGTTTTACTGACAAGGGCTCAATCTGCTAGCATCAGTAAAGTGCTGATCGAATTCACGAAGGAGTTAACCCGCCCCAGCTCCAATGACATGTGCAAATGGCAGTACGAGGTGGTGTCGGACGGAGTCACAAACCCCTGCAGGAGAAACAACAGAGTCGGGAAAGTTTATTATCAGGTCACGCTTCGTTCGCACGGTCCACGTGCTTTTGCTTCGTTCTAGCTCATTGATACTTGTTCAAAAGTGCTTCTAGCGTCCCCGGATATCGCAAACGGCTAAGGCATCAATCGGCAAGGTGCTATTGCCAGCATTAATGGCCAATGCCGGGGTCATGGGTTTGTCGGCTATTCCATTAATCGGCACGTGCGTCACGATATATACGAAAGACTACAATGATTCGGCCGGTGTGTACTCGGGTAATAGTTCACGAAAGCAATAAAGCTCACGTGCACTTTTATAAGTCGGAGTCTCTCAAGCCGACGATGTACTCGCTCGACATGTGCTTAACCATCTGCGACCGCGGGTCGAAACTGGGTTGCCACAATGCCGGTTGGTTGAGATTTTCTCTCTTGGCTTTCTTCGCATTCTGCAGACAAGTATGAACATTTTAGTACACTACCATTCCTACTCGCTCTGTTCTCTCCTTACCATGCGACGCTCGTGAATCTCCTCGAGAGGCAGCCCTGCCGAATCCCAACCAAAGATCGATCCGTAGTTGTAGTTGAACGCAAATAGAGCCGATACAGCACCGATAACGCTGCCTGCCAGAATGTCACTGTAGTGGTGCCAGTTGTCGATGCAACGGGAGATTGCAATCCAGGAAGCGAGCAGAATCGGTGTGCAGCACATGAACAGCATCAAAGACTTTTTGCCACCTCGCAACGTGGAATCGCTGCGGTTCTCGCAGTTAAGACGCGATCGACCCAGCAGGTAGAGCTGTGATCAAAACCAAAACCATTAAAGTCAGCTAAACTCACTTGCTCGCTGTTGTAAAAGAGTTCGACGTACCGCAAGAATCAGCATCGATGCCCACGCAAAAGAAGCGTGTCCAGAAGGAAAACTCTGCCGCCCTTCCTTTTCACCAACAGGGTCCGTACACAAATTGGTAACTCCGTCCCAAACCACGTCGTGGTTCCATTTGCACATGTCGTAGAAACTCGGACGAAAGCAACCAGTGATGTTTTTTGTAAACAGGGTGAAAAATGTGGCTAATGCCATGGACTGAAACAAACTGAGCAGAAAGTCTCGTGTATCGTGGACGATGATTCGAACCTGGCAAAACATTGGAAGTACATAATTCACGATAATGTTTGTTGCAATTGGTAAACCGATACCCAGAGTTAGCAGAAGCCACATTGGAACTAGTATCACATAACAACACGATCATTAATGTTAGTTTCCCCTCGTCCCTCCAGTCTCAAATAATGTCTTGCCAATTTCTCACCTTCTTCCGACAGCTTCATCTCATCAATTGCAGGGTCAAGCGACCATACTACATCTGTCGCATTCAAGCGAACTTTAATGCCAGGAATCGGACGTTCGTGCACTTTAATCAATGCAAACACGAGCGCCAAAATGTACAAGACACCGGCACTACAGAATTCAAGAATCCGATAATGTCGAATGAATGGTTGCAATTTGCCTTGTAATGGTCGAATGATACCTGCCTCAGCAATATCAACGGATAAGTCATCCGTCATCTCCATTGAGTCATCATACTGCATTTCATTCAAGGGCAAATGTGGATCCATTGGCAACGACGAGTCCAACGGTGACGCAACCATTGACTGATATGCTGATGAGGTCTCGTTCCAACGTTTTTGACCGTTTATATTCATAGGCTTTCACTTGCAGTAAATCAATTGTGAAAATGAGAAAGTGGAAGACTATTTGTTGGCTGTCACACCGAAAAAACGTCCCTGGTTCCCAGAGGACTGCGTGCATTCGACATGACCTTGATTTTTATTTTTAGGCTCTCGTAATAGTTTCTATAAGACGGTCCGATTCTATTCGACCTTCCTATACTGCTTAGACAAGAATAGCAAAACATTTGGGTTGGGTTGTGAACAAGAGTCTAGTAATCGTTATGGTTTAAAGCTTCTTGTATTCCAGGATATGTCTTTTATCGGCTACGATGTGTTGTGCCGTTCTGGCTGTTGCAATGGTGTCTCGAAACAATCTCCTTTGCTAAAAGTCGATAGTCCTCATGCTTAAACGATTAGTAATGCGTGACGTGGCGATTACTTATGACTACACGATCCTTCAACCAGAACTACATCAGTCTTCTTCTCACTAACTCAGTCTGTTGGCTCAAAACATCAGGCTTCATGGAGGCGCTCCGCAAAGATCATGTAAAAACGTTTATCCAGCTGAAGTCCATACAGGGCGTTCAGTTTGTGAGGAATTGTATGTAGGTTTCTAGTTTTTAGAGTACTAAGGACTAGGGACGTACATTCCGTTAACTTGTGCTTTTTTTCTACCAAGTACCCATTTTTCTATAATTTTTAACATGGAAAACACCCACTTCGACTGTGGTATGGAAACGCACTAGCAAAAATATAATGGAAAATGCAAAATTCATGTTGATACAGCATTAAATTAGGTTTTATTCCATAAAAGAATATTATCGGATTCGTCTGCCCTCTCTCGTAGAATATGATCTATAGGATAATATGCATCTCCCTGTAATTGGCTAAAATTGTCTGCTTTTCCCTACCATCTGATTACGATAGTATCTGACTCGAAGGAAGAAAAAAAAGATCCAAAAGCCAAGAGCTACGGCCAATTATGCGCCGCTCAAGCTCTCGTAGGTGAGTCAATGACTCGATTTCTAGCACTATTACTTCATCTACCACCATCTTCTAATTCTTCTATACTGAATCTTCTAGTCATTGTTCGACTTCCGCGTCTGCTCGCAGCGTTAGGTGCGTTTCAACAACACAAATTATCCCACTTTTATCCTGTCCATACTTTATTTAAATAAAATACTCGCAGCAGTGAGCGTGATTACGTCTTCCAGACATTTCAGCGTCAGCTGACAATGCAGGATCAAGATGATTCTGGCTCAGACACGGACGACACGCGCGAGGAGAAGTGTAACGTCCCGTTCGAATGCTCCGAATCCGACTTTGCAATCGTCACGCCGCCTTCTGCGCTCTGTCGCTTCTTCGTGCTGGGTAAATGTCGTTATGGCAGTCGTTGTACCTTTTCACATACGCTTCCTGCACACGTGAGTGAGTGTGCTGCTGATGAAACAGAGAGTCTATTGGCAGCAGCGGCATTAGTCGATTGCCCGTATTTCCTGCGTGGCAATTGTATGTTTGGTGAGCGGTGCCGCCTTCGACACAATCCAGCGGTATTGCCGGAGGCTTTAGCTACATCTGCTACGTGTTCTACTCCAAGAATGACGAGAAATGCGATGTCTACTGACAACGAGCAAGATTTCACCTGTGGCATCTGTTTCGATGATATCGTCCAGTCTGGCAAACATTTTGGTTTATTAAGTAAGTTGGAACCGGTGTTAACTCGTTTGAAAGAGTGTGTCTTTACTTGTACTGATACACTTTGGATTTTTTGTATACGCTATAGGCTGTGATCACTGTTTTTGTTTGGATTGCTTGCGTTCGTGGCGACAGTCGAAGGATATGGAGCTTGTGCGCGCGTGCCCGGCTTGCCGACTTCCAAGTGACTATATCGTGCCATCGCTCATATTCTGCATTGGTGAAGAGAAGCGCGAGGTAGTGGAGGCGTACAAGAGCCACTTGGCGCTGCGCGAGTGCAAGTACTTTAATGGTCTCTTTGGTAGCTGCCCATTTGGCCCCCGTTGTTTTTACGCGCATCGTGACAGTGAAGGGAATGATGTAAAGGACCTGGATCGTCCTAAACGATCGACAAAGCCACGCCGCAGTCGAACTGGACGACTAGGCGACGATTCGACGCTGCAGTCGCTGCTTCAGCAATACAGCCACCTCTTTCACTTCTTTGAAGCTGCGGACTGGGACGACTTTGACTTGGTCGGTGACATGTACGACTCGGATGACTCGGATGAAGACTACGTCGAGTACGGGTTTTCAGACTATGATTATGATACAGAGTAGTTCGCAGCTGATCCAACACTGAATTGGCTGGAAGCATGCGTGACACGATTTATTGCTGGTTAGCAGCAATCCAAAAAGCAAGAACAATACCAACCGAAGAAAACAGCGAGCAATTCAACGCATGATCTCAGCTGCTTAGTATTGACTGTTTTGCTGCATATACCTTGTGTCGACATACATTGCCGCAGAGGAAGCGGATATCGCCCATAGCAAATAGATCGTTGCAGCTGTGCACATTTTCGGCTTCCCAAGTGGACTTGTGCTCGACAAAATCAAGAATCCTTGTTACTAAAATAATGGTCTTGCTTGAGATGCAACACTTGGGCTAGTGGTTTCCAGTGCGAACGGTACGTCAAAAAACGTTGATGAGAAGTAGATCCTTGGCTGTGGCACAATACATCTCTAGCTACGGATCGATCACACCTGACTTGATGCAGGATCCAACTTGAATACGGTAAAAAACTCTGTAAGGCTTTTTTTCTTGCCTGCCACTTAGTTCTAGTTGGACAAGTGGTGACAGGCAGCGTCTTGCCGGGCATCAGCCGCTTCCACATTCAGCACTCCTCAACTTCAGCTAGACTTTGACTTGACGAACATTCCAGGTACCACATTCTATAGCTGAATGCGCTAAGCGTACTGATGGCACATTTGCTGTGTAACGCGTTACGCAGAAGATGGAGTGTGATAAGACGCCAAAAGCCGCTTCATCACTCTTTGCTCGTCATGAAAACACACGACACAATGAGGCCTCACTCGATTTGATAGACGCTGATTTCATTGTGCACAGCGAAAGCTTAGACATCCTCTTGCGCCTCTACCACTTGTCCATTTCGTTCCTTCAGTACGATGAGAGCTTCGTCGAGGCAGCGCATGCAGAGTACTGTGGAGTTAAAGCGTTGGTTGTGGCCATCGTTCGGCGCGAAGCACAATCTACATGCTGGAAGCTCCACATTTACAGGAAGGGTGGCAGCAAAAAACTCTCGCCACAAGGTCGGGTTCCGCTCTCGGACTTCGGCACGGCTATCAATACGGTAATGCTCCATGTATTGGGCGAGTTTTCGTCGCACAACAATTTCCCCTTCGTGGCCAGGCTGTCGTCGAGTCAGTGCAGCTGTTACAACTTCTTTGGCTTCAGCGATACTGGCCATGGTTGGCTTATTAATTGTTGAAATCGACAAATCGATCACATTATTTGTCGTATCCGCCGAACTCTCAGTATTGCTGTCGGAAGTTTCAGCCTGGCCTCCTGGGGCTATCGTATCCTCATCATCGTCTTCAGATAATTCCGAGCTGTCTACCTCGATTATATCTCTCGTCTGCTCAACAGCTTTACTCGCCATGGTCGTCTCGTTCATCGACGAATTTTTAGTGAGCTCTTCAACTACTCGATTGCTGTTGTTCTCTTTCAACGCTGATAAAGTGCTTGTGTCCACTAGCACCGTAACTTGATCTAGGTCTGCGACCGTCGTTTGATCTTTTCCATGCATTATCGACTTGCGTGCAACGTGGGCACCTTTACGCTCCACGACTTGGTCACTATCACCTTTTTTTGCCGTTCTACTATGTCCGGTGTTCAAATTGTCAGTGGTCATCTCAGCATCTGCAGATGTCGGTGTCACTACATCAAGATCAACAACTGTCCTTGATATCTCGCTTCGTTGAACAGTTGTGCTGTCAAACAGATTAGCGTTTGACTTTTGCATCGTTAAGATGTCTTCGCGTTTTTTAATATGCTCATCTAAGCTGCCTTCCGACGCCAAGCTACGAAAAGTGGCACACTCTTGACTCAACAAAAGATCGGAGATATTCAACAACTCGTCCACTGGAATTGCGTTCTCCTCAGCTCGCAACGTAATGAGGCCTGTCCGAGAAAACAAGGCTGGAGCAGGGAGGTGCAAAATTGCATTCCAGCTAATATCCAAGACATTGAGATGTTTTGGCAGCACCGGGAATGTGGTAATGTTGTTGTGCGCCAACCTTAGCTCTTTTAGCTGGGTTAAACCGTTGACGCCTATAGGGACCTCAATAAGCGCGTTTTCTGATGCATTGAGTTCTTGAAGATTTTGCAGTTGACGCAAGCCTGTAGGAAGCTCTGTACACTCGTTTCCGCTAATATCCAAAGATACCAGCTGATTCTTTAGTAAGACTGCATTTGGAATGCGCTTCAAACCAAGGCCTCGCAGATTTAGAGACACAGCTTTTAAATCTCCAATCCACGATGTATCCTTCTGGTCCAATATTTTATCATCACCAAATGTGTTGCATGCAAGCACTAGCTGTCGCTTTTCCATTTCTTCCGAAATACTTTTCGATCTCACATCCAACGTTTCTCCGAATAAAATTTCCAAACCTAAGATAAGACGCCAAGGCTCTAACCGCAGCGGATCCGCTTCAACCTCACTCTTGAGAAGACAAGACACTGCTTTCATGTTTCTTAAACGCATTTCCATGGCAACTAAGGCTTGCAGTATCCAAGAATGTTTTGTTTTCGCTCCAACAAAACATTTTCTTAAGGAAACTCGCGCGGCCAATAGTTCCCATTCATGAAAAGCAATATCTGTCACACGAACGAGCATTAACTAATTAGTGCGACAAAAGCAAATTTTATACCACAAGAACGCGTACCCGAAAAGCCAAGCGAGAACTCTGGTGAAAGTGCTAAACAATCAGTAAATGCTGCATAAAAAGTAGTCTTTTCTGGATGTGCTACTGCATTGGCGCACAGTTGAAAAAGCTCTAGGTTTGCGCCAAATGTGATTAAATGGCTTCGCTCTGGATACAGACAAGCGCACACAGCACGATCGACAGCATCTCTGGCAATATCGTACCGAATGTACGTTAAGGCTTGGCGTGTCATTTCAGTCTCCACGCTCATTTCTGCCATGTACTTGCGAAACAAACGAGTCAGTTTCGTTTGATGCTCTCTAGATGACTGACCACCCAATTTTTCCTGTTGTAGTAGATCCACCTGGAATACAAAACATTGCATCCATGCAAGCTGCCGTGCTTCGTAAGATAAAGTGCCAAAATTCGACGAGCCTAAAACCATTTGAATGCCTTCAATTGCGCCGGATGGTTCCAGCAAAATGCCCATCAAATAGCAGATGTCCAATGCTACACAAACATCGGCAAGCGATATGGGCCGTTGACTTGTGAGCTGATCTAGGTTCGATCGTCGTAGCGAAGCGAGCTGGTCGATCCATGCAGCCAGTAGGTTATCCAATAATGCCTTCAAAGCACACGATTTCGATACATTACATGTGCTATGCATAATGTCTTCGATAGATTTTTTGACCCTATTGATGTCAACGTCCAAAAAACTCGCTAAGCGCTCCAATACATTTGGAAATATCTTATCCAAAGCATCCACGAGCGATGGGAACAGGCGACACGCAAACAAATAATGGTGGAATGCTTCTGGAAACGTGGCGAGCGAACTACGATTTATCATCGTAAGCATTAGTTGGCAGGCCTGCTTTTCACCAGTCGATGTTCGCCCCATTAACTTTGCAGCTGTTAGCGATGCACCAGGATACTGCTGAATCAAGTCGAGCTTCTTCTCAAAAAACACTTGCAGGTTCTTGTTTTCTTCACCTAGAGCATCATCGTGATGTGCGAGTACCAGCATCCAGTTGTTCAGTATAGCATTGCCCGCATCTTGTTCATCTTTGCCCTCCTTTCCAAAAAGTTGAAATGCGGACTCATAAGCTGTCAAAGCTCGACCACACACTTCTACGTCGATATCAGGCCACCCACGCTGTAATGATTCAAAACTATAGATCATATCTTTGACTGGGATCCTTGCATCATTGCTAGCAACTACCCAATGCTCGATTATGCTGGGAAGCTCCTTGAAAAGCAGAACATGAGCAAAGATTAAATGAAATACTATCAAGTCTTCGCTGGGTAATTTGCCACGAGTTAAAGTACACCATCCGAATTCCAAAGACGTGTCGCCAAATTGCAGCAACGCTGATAGAAACTCGATCGTTCGACATGTTGCACCAGCATTCCACAGCTTCATACAAAGATGCAAGCATATTGCCGTCAATAGAGCTGACAGTTTCTTGCTGGAATTTGGTGTCGAGACAGCTGAGCTTTCCCGAGCAAGATGTTCCAGAAGCCGCCAATATATTCCTTCTGCCATTCCCATGGAATCGAAGTCGTAAGTCGAAATGTAACGAAGCCATAACGCGTGGGAACTCGGCAAAAACTGAACAGCTTGCTCGACCATATCAATTTCTGTTTGTTTGCTGGTCACTTGTTTGCATAGATGAAGATACAGCAGCCAAAGTGCTTCACAATACGCGTTGGCTTCAATTTCTAAAGCGCGTGAAAGCGTATGCAAACACCGTTTCAGATTTTCCTCTTCGACGTTAAGAATGCGAGAGGCGACATTGTGGACTTTCGAGTTGAGCTGTATACTAAGAAAAAGAAGTTGTTGTTGGAGGCGGTCCTGATCGGACAAGATCACAGCTTCATCACTACAAGCACGCAAACAAATCGTGATTCAGCTCAAAAATCAATAAAGCACGGTTTCGCGAGCACACACACGTACCTCATCCTAACATCAAGTCCAAGCTGGTAGATAGCGAGACGGAGCCATGCATTAGTGTCATTCGGGCGTTCTTCTACTTTCTTTTGCAGCATGTCACCATTTCCGTCTATGGAGTCGAGATTGTCGAAGTAGCGAGCATTGCCAATCTCTGGATGCTTTTCTTGCACATCAAGCGATATATAGTCACCATCGTCCTCGCCAGAATCTCCTTCGCGACGTGCCATAGATTTTGCCACTGGCATCGCTGCATCAACCTCGCCAGCTATAACCGCGTCTGTTACAACGCTAGCACTCTTTTCTGTTGCCTGCATACCGACAAGTACCTGGTCAGTATTCAAGCATCGAAAGCCACTATGTATTTGCAGTTCGAACACAATTCCTCAGATTTTTCCAGCACTTACCGCTAAAGGTGTTGAAGTGGTTATCACAGGCCACTTTTTCATAATTCTCCCACGAAATTCAGCAAAGGATAGCAGCAACTGATTCTCCTCATTTTTTAGTTTGACGACCTTCGCATAACTATCATCAGCACTGCAGAGGTTGACGTCGTCCGTTTTTCTTTTGACAGGTTCGTAGTCTTTCCAGTGATAGTTCGAGCAGTTCTGGTCGTTGCAAGCTCCATTTAATTCAAAGTGACATAACGTTCTAACATTTGTAACGTGTCAGCTTTAGAATGCCAAAACCGAGAAGGAAAAGTATTGCTATGTACGTACTTCATGGGATCAATTGTTTTAAACGGCGTTGAATTCACCGTTTCAGCTCCCTTCAGCTGCCTCACAATTGACTCTGTTGCAATAGAAAACGGTCTTGCGTATTTCGACGACAAGAAAGGGACAGGAGCTCCAGAAGCCTTGTCAGGGCCACTGAACCCTAGCAAGGAACCGCTGTGAGGGCCAATCGGCTCGCTTTGCTCGCGCAGCCACTTTTCCATGTTTTCAAAGACACCAGTCATTTGTCCATACGAACGATCCAAAAATCTAGACGGATAACTAGCCGTTGGCTTTACCCAGTCAACGCCAACTCTGGCACAAAGAAAAGCTGAAAGTGTAGGTGTCGTGGCACCACCAGCCAGACAGTTTTCCAAAAAAGTTGCTCGCCGACACCTCTTGACTAGTTCTACACTTTTAAGCTCTCGCATATCTGATGATTGTAGTGTGTCACATACAGCAGCAACAACTTCCTTCTCAACTTCAATCATTGCCTGAATTTGACCTACACCATTGCAACGATTATATGATCAAGAAGTCAAATACCAAGAACAAACGCAGCTCGTACTCGCATCAGATGAGATAAATGTCGGAGTCTTTAAGAATTGACGCCCTGGCTGCCAGCAGGCAGATCTCCTTGAGGTCGTGGGCAAAGAAGTTCGTCTAGGCTCTTGGATATAGCAGGATGCCAATGAGCATTCCAAAGATGACCGGTCCCCTCCGACTTGGTCCAGATCTTTACCCGTGTAAATCTTGAAAGTTTCTTCTAACTTCTCTCGTGATATCATCTCCACAAATGCATTGATTTCCAAAAATGTTCATTAGACCGTATCAATTGAACCTCAACGAAAAGTAACGCCTACCCTATGTGTCTGCACGAGATGACGCGTTGCAATGCGAACGCACGCAGCCTCAGCAAGTGCTGCAGTTCCCACATCCAAGTCTGGCGCAGTGGCAACTATCTCAATGACAACTCACACCGCAAATTGTCAGTACACATGGACTATGGACACAAGATAAAAGCTGTACAATTCCTCACAAGGATGCATTTGAAGACCAGCATCAGTTTCTTTGACTGTATTTGGTATCTCCATATGAGCCAGTTTCCTCGGTTGTTCGTCACTCTCCTTCTCTTCTCTCTTGCGCTTCGCTTGCAGCTGCTTCAAGTTCGTGGCCGCTATCTGCTGCTTCTGCAATTCATTATATAGTAGCAAAACATGTAAATATTAGTAACATACGCTTTCAAATAATAGAAACAATAGCTAAAAGAAGAGGTTAAAACCACAGACCTCTTTAGCTGCCTCTGCTCGTGCCTGCAGCTTCGTCAGCTCCTTCTTTCGCACTAGCGCTGCAGCATCCCTCTTCTTCAGTCTATTACTCTCCTCATTATCGATACTTTCTTCGTTCTGTGCCTTTTGAGTGCCAGTTTTCGCGTCTTTTGCAACATTTGAAGTTTGAAGCTCAAGAAGCTTTAAAAGTTGCTGTTTGCGCACCAGTATCGCATCTCTCTTGTCTATCCATCGCTGTCTTTCTTCCGATACTTTAAAAAGACGTTGCGATATCGTCAGGCTTTCCATAAATGCCATAGATCCCTCTGCAGTCGACACTTCAGCATTCATTTCACCCTTTTATTTTAATAACGATAATAATATCCAATGATAGTTAAGTGTGTAAATCACGTAATTTAATGTGGTAGCCATGGATACAAAATTTTAGCCAATCCACAAGTGCAACCTTTGTGTGACGTCAAAATCACACTGTCGCATGGAATCAGATTTCTGATCGACTGGAATGATCAGTCGGCGTTAATGGTCGCGTACTCGTGGTAAGATCAACACCCTGTACCTGAGTTTTCTCGGATCCAACACCTAAATCAATCGCAATCTGATGTTGCAACAAACAGGAAGCCATCGAAAGTTAGTTGCCTTACTATTACACCATCCAAAATTACCTCGACAACTTTCAATAAGGCGGACAGTTGTCCCATTCAAGGCAGTCAACGTTCAAATTGGACTTTAAATTGTGTACTTTCACATTTTGGACTAAAAACAAACTGCATGACCGCGATACCTGTGGTAATGTCGTCTAGACCTTTATTGCTTGCGTCCATGGCCATCTCTAGTGACCTACGCTCTTGTGTTATGACTATAGGATTTGTTGCAAGGCGAATGGTCGTGTCAGCGTGAGATTGACCTGCTCACACGCACGCAGACAGCGCACCAGGAGCTCTCGTCGCGTCTGCAGTCTATGACACGTGAGCTGCGTGGAGAACGCTATTATCCCTTACAGGTGCGTCACTTTCATTGCAGTAGAATGCGGCTCTACCTTTTGGGCATCGTGTGACTCGTCGTTGTCATTGTAAACAAGCAGGTAGAGACCAAGCAGCTGCGTGTACGAGTGTATCACACGTACGTCCCGCCCGTAGAAGCTTCAGAGACTACACAGGCAACATTAGGCAGATGGACGCTCAAGATGGAAGGAATTGATGCTGTAGCAGAACAGCCTAAACGTAGACGGACTGGAAATTACGAGAACTGGAAGCACGGCACATACAGTAAAGATCAAGTTGCTACCGCCGCAAACTCCCGAGCGATTTACCATTTCGCCAGAATTGGAAGCGGCAATTGGTCATAATATTGGCCCTGCTAAGGCGTATACGAAACAAGATATCGTACTCGCGATATGGGAGTACATTAAACTACGCAACCTCATCAAAGAGGACGACTGCCGAGTGGTAATCTGTGACAAGCGGATGGTGCAGATGCTCAAGTGTGTATCGTTGCCATTTACGTCCATTATAGTGGCGCTTAAGCAGCATCTGACACCTATTAGCACCATCGACCTCGAGTACACGCTGAACCTTTCAGCGGCATGTGAATCTGAGCTGCTGGAAGAGCAGTTCTTTGACGTTTCTGTTGCGGCAACGTCGGAACGTGACAGAACTCGGGCTCGCGCTCTTAAGGAAATTGAGGAATTACAGCAAGACCAAGAAAGGAGATTGCACTGCTGAAGGAACAAGAGTTGGATATTCGAGAGCGTTTGCAAATGTATACGCGAAAGAAAGAATGGATGACCCAATTCGCTCAAGACCCGTGCGGGTTTATGGTAAATGTGAAAAAGTCTTAACTGGCCGATGAGGAGGTTCGTGACAATTTGCTTGTATGCAAGGTTTATATGAGGTCTATTGTATTGACGTGATATGTGTAGATTTTAATTACCGAGACACGCGTTTAGATGAGCTGTACTCGATCTATGTCAAGGCGAAAGCCATCATCAGCTATTAATGTCAGTTTCGCAAGCCCCAAGCGCATGTTAGATATCATTTACCAGTATTGGCCGGAACCTCAACATCCTCAACTGCAGGGAGTGCCCGTTGGACGCGAAGCAGATCTAAAAAAGTCTAGTTGACATTGTACCAAGAGCATGTGATTCCGTCAGGTGTCTGAAGCTTGAACAGCGGTCTGAGATTGCGTTTATCTCACACCATTGCACTGCATGCCTTACGATACATATTGATGGCAATTTACTTAGCGGGGCGTGACGTGAGCAGATCACCAATCACCTCACGAACCCACGGCTGTGTAAACTGCTGAGGATGAGGAATACTACATTCGTTCAGTTGTGAGCAAACAATGCGGACGATCTCATGTACGTAGATGGTAAGCTGTGAGGATGAGGAGCACCACGCATTAGGTCGTGTACTCTGCATGTCAGGTTAGCACGAGTAGTGAGATGTTGACAAGCAACGATGAATCAGTACCAAGTCAAGTTTTCTGCTACTTCTTTACGTACCTTTCATATGGTCGCTTTCCATGCATGGTAACATATCGAAGGGCAAAAATAGAAGTATCAACATGTAAGAGCGAGATGAACAACGAATCCAAAAGAAATATTCGACAGTTCAAAGCCGCTAAAATCTGTTTCGGACAATCTGGAAACCCATGAGGAAGCAGACGACGTGCTAAAAGTAGACATGCAAGAAGAAGTGAACAGAGTATGTTGTGCTTGCGACGCAATGCAGAGACTCCCAAGGCGACGGACTGGCTCAATCAAGGTTTGCTACGCACCCTACCGTCAACGGCCCCGTTTCCATAACGATGACCAGCTTCTTTCGTTTTTCTTCCTCCGGCTGGAAAACCCAATTGACACGGCCACTTCGGCAATTAACCTTGACGCAGCCAATTTCATCACGCTCCCACTTCTTTTCAAAAGTTGCTAATTTCACACAGAAAACCAAGGCGACTACCCACTTCTCTTTCCAAATGGTCTCTAGCCCACCAATGATCGTTTTCATCGCAGCAGAACCCACGCTTTCGTTCCAAAACTTGCACTCACAAAGAAAAAGTGGTTTAGAGACGTCGTCTATGTGAACCAAAATGTCACACCTTTTAGCATTTGAAGTACGAACGAGATGCCCGAAGTTACAGCCCTTATCGCGAGTATCTAGGATATATGACGGCCACTCAGCATTCGGTGGAGCCAAAAAGGGAATCTTCGAGCGAGACAAAGTCGCCAGATCAGCGTACGTATCCAATAAATTGCTAGCAACAATCGTTTCCTCCGTATCGCCAATGGTCATTGCTACTGGTCGTATTTCGTCTTGACATTCGCTGAGCAACCCAGCAAAGAATTCATCGAAAGGAATGCCTTGCACTCCATTCCGCCGCGACGCGCAGAAAATCATATGAGCGACCATATTCTCGAACGTCTTGTAATCATTGCTGATCGCGTTGGTGTTTTCATTTGTCGTGCGCCCCCTTCCTTGCAAGTACTCGGAGAAGATGCGTAATGTTGAGTAGCCCATACACTTTTCACGATCATAGTAACCCGAGTAAGTCTTCCCACCCATTATTGCAAGGTAAAGCAGCACGTCCTCATCGATATCCGGGAAACAACAGAACGGTTTCCACAACTCGCCGTTTAACTTAAGTTGGCCATCCATTACCTTCACTTCAGTTGCCTGATCATCCACTAGGTTAGCGAAGTGTAGATGCATACAGTAGGTCCCCACCTTCAAAGCAGTTTTCCTTTTCTTAGATGGAGGTGGAGACGTATCATCACTGGCAACATTAGTATATGATATCGCCATCAGCTGCGCATCCATTCCCTCCGGCTTCCCCATGAAATGTTTGCCTTTCTGTGTCTCCAAGCTGACATGATCCAATGCTACATCCAGCAAATCGCAAAGTTCAATACCATTTGCAAAATTTTTCACCGCGTATTGCGCCGCGCTGTCGACGAAATACCGGGCAAAACGCCCGCGAGAATTCACGACAATGCTTTTCAGCACGGGATAGAAAGCTTGGAGGCGATTCCAAGCCTTCTCTTTGCCTTTATCTGCAAATGGAATTGCTTGATATGGAGGAAAACGAGAAATAATTGTCATCCATGAATAATTTAGTGTATAACTTCCTCCAGCTTGACCAACCAAGTTAGTGATCTTAGCGTCAGTCCCCATCACCATAACGACCAGACCACACACACGAAAAACATTGCGTTGGAATGCTGCCAGGTTCTTTCCTCCGCCATCAATGTTCATGTTAGGCGTCATTTCGTCCAGCACAAAGAAAGAACGGCAAAACTTTGTTCTCAGCTTTCATCTTTTCGCGAAAAGCGACGACTGTACTGAGCAAGCACTTTTCCACGTGCAATGACGTTTCCTCTTGAAAGCGCATCATTTTTCCGTGCTGATTTTGCTCCTTGCTGCAATACTTTAGCAGCGCAAGAATGAAACCAAAGGTCCACAAACTCTCAGTCTCGTAAATACCTTGGACTGTGTTCAATATGGCCTTCTCAGACAATTGTTTTGGTTCATCCATATTTGTCACGGCATCGAACGCGTTCGAAATTAGCGAGAAATTTTTATACAAGCGCTGAGACTCGTCTCCAATGGTAGTAGTAGGCCAGTAAAACCACGGGCGACTTCCTCCTCCTAAAGCAAACGCCAACTGCGACTTTCCCATGCCAGATGACCCTTCCACGCAAATAAACGGCAGTACGGATTCAGGAAGTGTATAGAGCTCTTCGATCTTTGTTATAATTTGCTGGCAGTAACTCGTACAGTTGCGCTGGATCAGCTCCCCTCGATTCTGGTAATGCCTTAGCTCGTTTACTGAAACGGCATCGTGTGTTCTCTCTGTAACTCGTATGTAGATACCCGATGACACCACCAGCACGTGGATTTGTTCTGGCAATGGCTGCGACATCTTGTTATCTTCAAACAACCAACGCTTAATAGTCCTCGTTGCAATCGCTTGCTCTCCATCTATCATCTGCTGTAACTGTGGATGCACCTCTCCTTTAAATAATTGTTCTGCAGCAGGGTCGCTGTCTTCCAGCCACGCGCCGTCCGTTTTCTTTGCCAGGAAGAGACGCAGGTTTCGCGCAGGAACTTGAATGTCTTCGTTTTTTGCCTTGATTTCGTCTTTCAAGTGTCCAACAATTTTGCTGTCGTCGATATCTACAGGAAACGCATCCCCCCCCCTCCCGACCAACGATCGCGCATATCAGCGGTACAATCATATTTAGCCAAAAAAGTTCTCAAATGAAGGGGACAAGAATTTTCTATTCGCAAATGAAGTTGATTGATTGTATATGCGACTATAGTGGGACCAAGACGCAAGGCAAACTTCCATTCTGACTGGCTGACTAGACCTCTTTAATTAGGGTATTCCCACAATGATACTCCTATACTAATAATAACTATCCTATACTGCGAGATAATTCCAGGAAGTAATACTGCCTTAACTGCTTACGTATCTAATTGATACATGCCTCAGGATTTAAGGGTATCTATACATCAGGATCCTGGTCGGGTTGGGGTAACGCCCTCCCGGAAGCTTGAGCTAGCTAAACGTTAGTCAGGCCTTGACCGGATGCTTCGCGGTATCCGTCAGTTTAGGACGGGCCTCTCTCCCTCTACACACCTCTCTCTTGCCGCTCTCACCCTCAACCGCCAGTCAAGCCGCCACGCCCGAAGTCCCGAAGCTGCAGAATTACTTTTTAGTCGAGTCCACAACAATCATGGCTTATTTTGCGATCGATAATCGGCGTTGATGGTCGCGTACTCGCGGTAAGGTCGCGTACTCGTGGTAAGTCAACACCCTGTACCTGAGTTTTCTCGAATCCAACACCTAAATCAATTTCAATCTGACGTTGCAACAAACAAACAGGAAGCCATCGGAAGTTAGTAGCCTTACTTATTATAACCCATCCACGAATACCTCGACAACTTTCCATGAGGCGGACAGTTGTGCGGGTGGCATCAGCATTGCGTCACGCATTTGAGCCACAAGTTGGCTTCAATTTCATTATTCAGCACCATCTCGCCGCTTTAGAAAATGATCACACCTCCCATTCGGATCTTCACACGGCGTTGAATGCTAACAGCTTTGTGATGCAAGTCCATGTACTTGCTACAGCCATGAGGAGACGGCACACATTCAGATCGTAGCCAGCCACTGCACACTTCAGCAGAGGCAAGTTCGACACGGACTTGCCGACACCTTTGGCTACCTCTTTCGACAATGTGCCACCCACGATCACCCGCATGACATGATGTGCCGCCCTCACCTTTGCGGACAATATCTTTTCTCTCTCAGTCCGAGACAGACCTTATGTACCGCTTTCTTGTTCTAGTCCAGCTGCATTATATAACTAAAAAAGGATCAAATAAGTGATGGATGCGGCAAATGGGTGCGAGGTAGATTTTGGGGGTGTGGGTCAGAGTTTCCCGCTATAATGCTGTGAATGTCACTCGTATGACATTGTTATCGTGCCCATTGGTCGTGTTTCCTCCAAACACGTACATTGCACCATTCCAAGCCACGGCTCGATGCCAGGCTCGAGGAGTTAGAGGAGGATCACACTTGACTAGTTTCCAGGTCGGCATCGCTTCAACTGGATACAGATGAACATAGATTAGCTGAAGAATAAGCATGAATTTCGTCACAAACGACTTACCTGTCCCGAGGTCCAATACATACGCGTCGCCTTTCAAGCATCCAGTGTTACCTCCGTACACAATTATTCGCGACCCAACGCTGACCCCCGAGTGCGTGTAGCGTGATGCAGGGCCGTCGCCTTGGGTCTCTACTTTGCGCCAAACACAATCAATACCCTCTTTTGTAGCGTCCTCTGTTCAAACAATTATCCCATTAACTTAGGACCCCATCCTGACCATCCAGGCACAAAACGTACCGATTTCAAAAGCAAATACTTGACCACGACGGTATTTGCCGTCGTATCCTCCGAAAATGTACATGCGGTCTTTTATAACGCACACAGAATGCGTTGAGGACGGTCCCGGGATATCACCTCGAGGCCGCAGCTCCACCCATGTCGGAATTTTTGTGTCTGTCAATAGAAGCTTATGGTCAGAACTGCCGTACAAGCAACGGCAAATCGAAATTCGAACAAACCAAATCGAAGCGCAAACGTATCGCTAAGTCGCTGAGGATGCCCGTAACCCCCGTACAAGATAGCCATGCCCTGCAACACTGCCAGCGAGTACCAATATCGCATTGACGGAGGGTTTCCGGCAACTTCAAGCTTATCCCACTTCCATTCTTCTGCTTGGTCCACACGATGTGATTGTTAGTTGCAAGTCACGGAAATACACAAGAAGCAGCCGCATGGTTAAACGTACTGACGTTGAGCTGGTGAAGTTCTGTTAGAAATTTTCCATCAATTGTGCCACCGATCGCATACAAATCGTCGCCAAGGACGAATATCTGGAGCAGGTGACCTGACGGTGGTGGCGTACCGCTAATCGGTGGTTGAGCCCATCGAGGCGACGGCTTTGCTGCGAGGTCTAAAGTGTGCAAGTCGTTTAGGCGTAGCTTGCCGACGATACCACCTACAACAATCACGACATTCCCATGGATCGCTAGCCCACAGTCGTATCGAGGGTCTGGTGGCAAGCCCTCTGATCTCACCGTTACCCATTTCATACGAACAATTACAAGCTCCTTGCGTTTGACCGTTCGCGTTCTGGCTTTCCTCTTGCCCACTTGGCTGCTCGTCATTCGAGCAACTGTAGGTGCCGTTTTGTTTACCATTACCGTCTCCCTGTGCGCTGATGCCGGTCTAGAAGAACAAGTGCTCATTTTTCGTAGCGACGTTCGTGGATGCCGTGCTGGTCCTGCGATAATACTTTGACTGAGAGAAGTTCTTGCTGCCACTGGAGGTGAAGGCCGTTCGCTGTCCGACGAAACCAGGTCATCGAGGTTAACAACGTCGTCCAAGTCGCTAAGATTGTCCAGCCCGAAAGGCACATGACTGAAACTTGACAGCACATCATCGTCTACTCGACTCATGTCATAGCTCGTGGACACGGCTGTGACGATAGTATTGATGTAGTTAGTATTGTTAAAGTGTGTGAGGTCCAATTTTACAATGGCACCTTGGTACGGTATCGAATACATAGTCGACGATGAGATCTATCAAAAGAAACATCACATAGTAATCTTAGACATGTAAGTCAAATCACAGTAATAATGACAAGTCTCAAAAATGTACCGGCAAGTGCAAATCTTGCCCAGCCTTAGCAGATGACGATTCCATTGTTTCTGCCTCTGGAACAACTTCAAGCTTACTAGCTCTAGAAACCACCTGAGCTTGACATAAAGAGCATTCATCCAAGAATGAAAATGAGTGCTGGATGCACGAAAAACACAACACGTGACCACAATTTTGACGGGCGGGAAATTGGGTCACGTGGAAGCAAATTGGGCACGAAATGCTTGGCGCAAGTTGAAGATGAAAATTGTACGTGGTCTCCACTAGACCGTCCCATGACTCGTCTTCGATTCTGCCAAAGAAATCGTCGTTCTCATTGACCTCTGCGGTCTCTTCCTCATTGTCATCGCTCCAATGTCGAACAACGTCTTCTTCTCGGGCTCTTCCTGCTTTATTAAAGTCCAAATTTTCGTTAGTAAGGTTGCTGTTATCACCCAAAGTCGATAGAGTCGTAACTTCGCTCATTAGACGCTGTATGCCGAGCTAGTGGCAGGCAACAGAGCCCACAAGAGCACGTCGGGTTGCTAAACCGTGAGCTGTCACCTGCGCGACGATGATTGGCTGAAAGGGGGGATCAGCTGAACACGTTACACGTACTGTAGCCATGTGATAAACACGCAGAAATGAAGGTCAAACACGGGAATCTGCTAGTGTAATGGTAGTTTACTTTATTTACAGTCTCAACCCTTAGATGAGGCTGATCTGTGGACATTTGTCAAACAAAGAAGTGTATTTGAATCGTTGGGCTATCAGTCGCTGATCCCACCCATCATGCAATAAAAACTTCTAAGTCACGAAGATGCTTGGTAAATATATGTCTGAAACGGAAGAAGCAGACACCCGAGGAAGAAATGTCTAAATCACGCATTACATGCACACATTGACATTGTTCACGAAGAGTCTTCGTCGTCAATGATGATCATGTTCTCTTGGTCATCGTTGTCGTCACCAATCGGACAATTGACATCGTCGTCGGGCACGTGGTATAGACATTTGCTGATGAGGAACTCCTGACGGTATTTCTGCACCGTCACATCTTCCGGCACGTCATCAATGCAGACCTCGAGAGAGTACTTGAACATGAACATGCCACCGATAAATATCGAGAACATCCACACCCGGGTGGAAGTCTCCAGGTAATTGAAGAAATCACCTGTAAAGATGACAACGGCACCGTTGGTGCATACGGAGATGGCTGCAAAAGCTTGCAGCACCAGGTACCAGTATCCCATGTTACGCACGTTACGCGGTCGAGGACGGCGCGACTCAAAAAGGAGACGGTAGGCGTCCAAGCGGATCTCAAAGTAGTTGTTCACATACGAGAGCAAAGGCGCAAGCGGGAAGGCCACAACGAACATAGTTGTGAAGCCGAATTGAAGCGCCATCTCAGTATAGTCGTCGAAGGTGCCATGCCAATCGTATTGCGCCATGAAGAGCTCGCGTTCGGCATCGGACTGCTTGTACTCATCCAAGTGGCCCAGCAGCTGGTACTTGCTTAAGTACACGAACAAACGCGGGATGGCAACCTCGGTGATGTTGCCCACAAACAGCCGAGAGCAGAACACGATGGCGAGCATGTACTCGAGTTCATGCATGCAACTTACATCGCAGCCTTCAAATCCTTCCTTCAGGAACGCCACATAGAATAGACCCGCGTAGTTGTTAACGAATTGGAAAATCACAGTCTTGACGATGAGACTGTTTTCGTACTCCATATCCGTGCGATGGTTCTCCTGGTCTACAAGCATAATTGATACGTAATTGTAGATCTTGGTCATGATGGTGATCTGAACAACGTTTGCAAGGGACGACACAATCGAGCCGTACTTGTAGTCATCCAACACAAGCTTGTCCGAGTCGTCTCCCTTCGTAAGGTCGTATGTCAGCATGAAAATCGAGGACACGATAACAAACACGATCAGGATAAGGAACGAGATGACAACCCAGCTATAAGCTACTCGTTTAAGCTTTTCACGAGGGGGAAAGTACCGTGTTGACTTGCCATTTATGGGCGAGGGAATACGCTCGCCGTAAAATTGCGGGCGGAGGTTCACCGTTTCCGAAAAGTGTGCAGTGCCCCAACGAAGCGTCTCTCGCGAGTTAAGTCGCTTCCAATTCTCGAGATAAATGGTCATCCAAATAGTCATAAAAGCTCCAAAAGGTGGCGAGATGTAGGCGAACACGGTGTTGTAGTCGTCTTGTGGCACGGAATACCTCACGATGCCCGTGACGCTGCCCACCAATGTCGGGTACAAGAGCCATTTGGTGTAGTGCCCCAAATACAAGAAGTAGAGCGCCACTTTGACACCGAAGTAATGACAGATGCGGTCAAAGGGTTGGCTCATAGGGGACGCACTCCACACCATCCAGCGCTTCTTGAGTTCCGCCTTCTCCTCCTCCTCATGCAACGGGTATGTATCTACGATAATCCTCTCATAAATAAGACGATCAAGATCTTGACCGGCACCTGTTTGATGGTTAGTGATGATGTGCTCGATGATTCCAATACGGTCGGTGCTGGAGAAGAGCGAGCCATTGGGGCCCTTCCTGGCATAAAAGTGCTGCACGTCTCGAGCTTGGAAATAGGGCGCAAAGATGTAGTCGAATGGTGAGTAGCGATACGTCTGTTTAACGTCTCGGATTGGAAATGGAGCAATGCTATACTCGGGAATGCCGTTGAACGAGGCGCGACGAAGCTCCGTCGGGTCCAGCTGCAGGTGCATATTAAGGAGCTCTGCTTCGCGGCGCATGAGCTCCACAGGCGCGCGGATTTTGCAGAACACCAGCTTCTTACCGGACGAGTAAAAGAGGCGTAGTCGTAGCCCCGCACCACGCAGACGCTTGATGATCGTGTCACGCTCATCGCTCACCTCAATGGCGTGCTTGGGCGGATTAGGAAACACGATCACGTAGTCCCAACGGCACGGCGCCTCCACGACGGACGTGCCATAGTCAAGTGGGACGCGTAGACAGAACTCGGCGGTCTGTGGTTGCGGATACGGGTCTAACATGGCACCAATGAATTGAGTATTCATTTTTCGGCTTGTGCTGCCTTGATTCACAATGTGATCCTGATTTTTAGTGGTTATCAAGGATTTGCAAAGGCATGGAGCTTATGTTTATGTTCAGATGGACGTTGAGCCCATGTTCCTCGTGGACTGTTGCAGACTTGGTACCCAGCAGATGCTACCTCACCGAGTCATTCGTATCATTTATGGATTCTAGGTGTGCACCTCAAGTCACTACCACCCCGAGACGTTGAGCTCGTTTTAGGTGTGTAGTTACTGCATCATCGCAACTTTTTAATACGACATCATCAGCCACATCGAAAAACGATTCGATACCAGGTAAAACGAACCTCGGTTTCTGCTCTGTCTTCTTTGCAAAGACTTGCCACAACCAACGGGGGATCTCAAAAAACGATGAGCTAGTTTGATACGACAATGAAAAGCCTCGTTTCACGGTGGACAAGTGTTTATGGCTCTAACTGCTTGTTGAGTCCGTGCATTAAAACAATACCTGTCAGCAATACCAATTGTTGGTGACAGTCCAGCCAACAGATAGTACCTCACGTATGACGAACGATATTGAGCAATCTATGTTTTCTATTGTCACAGGAGCGGCAAAGTGAAAGCGATGGTAACTGAAAATGACTTTTTTACCCACTCTTTCAAACACATCTATTTCTTGCTGTAGCAGCAGATATGGATCCTCCATCCCAGCAACAATCTCCGGAAGTTGCGCATCTATTGCTGCTTGGACAGATAAAACCGCCCGTGTGACGAAGTGACACGTCAAGAATGCTAGAAATGAAATATCAAATGTTATATCCGTCTTGACACAAGACTTTATGAGATGCTGACTAGTTGAAATGTCTATTTTTACCGTTCTAACCTTAACCCATCGTTTTTTTTTCAGGGAATGTCAATTGCACACGAAAAAGGTCGCGATACTAAGCCATATGACTTGAAAGGTCATCGAGCTCCGATGTGGTGGTTGGTTTACAGCATTTCATCTTCGAAATGTGTATGGCTGCGACGTGCTTTAGCTTACTCACATTTGCGATTTAACTCGGCATCAATCAGTTAGCCGTCATTTACGTGCTTGCGGGGCAAGTATGAGCTCGCTTTCTATCCTCATGAAACAGCGCACACAGCACACATTTCTTGGCAACGATAGAAGCACATTTATTTCGAGAACGTCGTCGCACCGGGCTACGGTATTAGCGTCCCCGTCACTCTCCTCCGCGTCCGAGACGCTGGAAGACTGGATGTACTGGCAACGGGATGCCAGCAATGCGCACTGCTGGACGAAGGTGTACAGCGTGCTAGACAATGAGTTTTTATGGCTCTTTAAGGGCAACCATTCGAGCAAGACGTTGTTCTTGCAGATCGCTGTGTCTAGTGTCGAAGTGTCAGGCCAGCGACAGCTTCGGGTCGTTGACCCGAATGGCGAAGAGATGGAGCTCTGGCTGCTGGACGAGGACAGCTTTAGTATGTGGTGCCAACGGCTCGAGGAAGCCGCTGCGCTTACGACGCAATTCTTCCGTATCACAGAGATTGAAGCACGACGACTTCCCCGCAACAGTGCGTACCGCGGTAGTTTAGTCGCTTATCGCCGCGCAAGTAAGCAAGCACGTTTTAAAGCCGTGATTGAATGGATAATGCAGTGGCGGCGGAAAGGTGTAAAGCTTGCGTGATGAGGTCGAATATTGTTTTGTATTACGTGTTGTCTGTCTTGTCTACGGCTAAAGCCATCTAGAGGTCGGGGCTATACACTCAAACAGGCTGAAATTTCCACGGGGCGTGCGGACAAATCAACCTTCCTGTCTTTGTTCGTCTTGTCTGTCTCGCTCCCTCTTGGCCAAGCCTGATTACTTCGCAAATTGCGCTGCATTGTGCTGGCATTATGAGGCGATTATCATTGACGGCGATTCCATCACGGCGACAGAAACTGCAGCAGCGTGCTAGTGTCCGATCAACCTGTAGTAAGACCACGAGCAGTATGCGCTCGACATTTGGTAGCCTTAGTATGCTATCGTCACTGTCCTCGGACTCGCTATCGACGGCCACTAGCTCGTACGGCGGCCTCATGGAAGACTATGACGACTTGGACGAGGAGATTGAGGATAAGGCAGAGACAGAGGTCGACCAGTGCTCCGAACAGGGCTGGATGTACTGGAAAAAGAGCGACGATTCTTGGCTTAAAGTGTACGTGCGTCTGCGGAACGAGCTGCTGTGGCTCTCGAAGGGCGCACGCGACACGGTGGCCGTCGTTCAGATTGCGGTCGCGGGTGTGCGAGTCACAGACATCGGCGGCTTTATCGCGCGAGGTCCCGCTGGCGAGAGCATGGAGCTCTTCGCCTACGAACGCAATCGCACGGGCGAGTGGACTGATGCACTTTATGTCGCCGCCCAGCGTACACAATTGTACGAGCGCTCGGTGGCGGCCGAGTCGACGGAGACCGAGATTACCCACCGAGAGACCAAGAAGGTGAAAGAAGTGTACACGGGTACTTTAATTGCTTACAACAAGGAGCAGACCAAGTCTTCGTTAAAACGACGGCTTCGCGACGCGTGTCGACGACGATTGGAGAAGTTTGTGGACCGCCTGGATACTTCCAAGCGGTAGATGCCTGGCATCCCAGGAAGCAATGACGTGGCGAGTTCAATAGTTTGCCGCTTATTTAATAGAATCAAACATAATGGATGGATCAAAACAGTAACAATGGGCTGGTAGTGCCCAGTCTCTCGATTGTTTTGCTTCGTTTACTAGTGTCTTGCAATTGGTAAAGGTACTGCAGAACAGGATGTACTGGGTCGTACGCGTACTTGAAGATACCTCACCTTCTCACTCACTCAAAGGGACTGCAAAATCGAAACAACATTCATTCCTATCGAGAAAATGCTACGTGCATGTGATCCAGTGGACCGTCTGAGGATGACGTCACATCTCCAAGGACGACGATTACGTCCATGATTGGCATCATCATGCAGTGTAATTCAGTGTAATCAGCGGGTAAGATGGGGTAAGACATCGTAGGTTTTAGATTTCCATTTGAAGTGCGCTGATGATGAACTCTGTAAGCTTCTTTTGCTATCCCGTGTTCGGCTTTGCAGGAATGTATCTATACGAGTAGCACGTAACCCTCCCTACCAATGTATAGCAGGTCGTCGGCAGGATTCAATTAGCACTATCTCAGCCATTCCATAATAGCACGATCTCAGCCATTATATTATGACACTGCCGTGTTGAGGTGTATCTATCCCGAATATGCGAGTGTCCTATCCGAATAGGTCACCCGTCTGGTACGTTGAAGTACTGTACAAGTTCATGTTTCTTTTGAACAAGCGACCAAGATGGTGGTGACGGCATCGTTGTGGTTGTAAAACTCGCGTGTATATGCAGCTTTTTAACTTCGCGAATGGTGAGAACTGACTGAGTGTCAAGTTTGTTGCTGAATAAAATTCCCTGTTGGGGGAATTAGGTGGTATAAGTGGTCGGCACCTCCTTAACTGACTGGGCTACGGCCGTAGCAAAGAAGTTTACAGTATACCAGTGCCCAACTACACATCGTGGTTCCTGTTGCTGCAAACAGTAATTCACGTAGTCTTTAGCCATACTGCGTCATGGCCAGTGCAAACTTTAACGAACGAACGGACGAGACCATATCGTGCACGCCATTAGGGCTCGTTTGACAAGGCGCTAGCGAAATCGCAACAACTGTGGCAGGTACTTTTGCAAACGATCTCAACATCTCCGACGAGCCACGAATCTATTCATGGCGATATCGCGCTTGAACTCATTCTCTGGAAAGCTCCAGCTCCGTCGACAAGTACTGCATATGCTCGTCATTTCTTTGCTAGACGGCTCTAAGATTGCCAGCGTGTGGTGTTTCACTAACACGAGTATGGATAAAAATGTTGTCGGGCATTTTCCTACATGAGGTATGTATGATTAAGATCACAGCTCGACATCGGAGAATATAACGCCTCTAGGTCGAGAGTATTTATTTTTTTGTCAAAAGAAAGTATCACTGGTACTAGTTGACGTTAAAATGGTCAAACGTCTACATGAAGAACTTGTTTCTGCACTGAAGTAGTTTTCATGATGGGAAGATGCAATAGACAGTATCAGTGTATGCTTTTGAATCGAGCGGCAAAACCTATCACATCGCATATCTAAGACTACAAAAGTAGGTTGTGTGAATGTCTTCCCAACGTCTCCCCATCTTTACTCCTTCGTTATTTTTGAGCCGCGTGGAGTTTTTCTATCGCTTCGGTGAGGTCAAGGCGACTCTCTCTGACCATGAACAATCCTCCATCATATCAACCGTACGGCGGTCCTCCTCCACAGCAGACGCAAATGTCACATGCCAATGCATTTCGTCCCTTGAACCCAGCACAGTCAAGCACGTCGCTCTCGGCAAACGGCGGTCCCACCTTTACACGTAGCGGCCAACCTTCGACAGGCAGTATTAATGCCCCACATCAGCAGCAAATGGGCACTGGACCACGTGGTCTCGCACCTCCGAACCGCAGCTTTTCGTCGGGTCCATCCAGTCAGCCCACTGGACCATCTACGCAACAGTTCACCAATCATCCAGTGCCCATGAGCGGCGGAGGCTACGGCCCTCCCATGGGAGGTTTGTCTATTCCACCGCTCCAGCCGATGCGTGGAGTACCGCCAGTGGGCGTCGTCCCTCCTTCCGGACCAGGACTACCTGCGCGTGGCTACCCACCACCTGCTGGATCGTTGAACCAGGGACCATCTAACGCCCAGAACAGACTCGCACAGCAGTTTAATAATATGGGAATTAATGGGCCTACAGGTCCAGGCTCTGCGCAATTGCCGAGAGGATCTCCGCCAATGGGAGGAGCAATGGCACCTCCACCTGTTATGAACATACAACAGCAGCAGATACCAGCCATGAACCAACAACAGCAGCCTGTGATGACTCAGCAACAACCGCCTGATGCGTACAACAAGAATCTAACGAGTGGAAATTTTCAGCAGCCTAATGACATGATGAACAGTGCGTCATCTCTGTGTGAGATGATTGTTATGTGTAGTATGAAAAACTGATCTGCTCATTTTGTTTTGATGTTTTGTAGGTGGCTATGGAGGACAGTCGGGTTTCCAGGGACAACAGATGCAGCAGGAGACACCTTTAAGCAAAGAAATGATGGCATCGCAATGCGATTCGCGTTACATGCGACTGACGGTGAATGCACTGCCACACTCTCTTGACCATGCAAAGAAGTCGAAGCTGACATACGGACTTATTATCCGACCGTTTGCACCGAACGATGAGGGAAATGACCTGGATGTAGTAAATTTCGGCCCTACTGGCGTTATCCGTTGCCGTCACTGCCGCACGTACATGAATCCGTTCGTACAGTGGGTGGACAATGGCCGTCGCTGGCGGTGCAACTTATGTGGAATATCCAACGACGTCGCCAGCTCGTATTTCTGCCACTTGGGTGCCAACCAGCTGCGTCAGGATCGCAACGAGCGCCCGGAGCTTCATTCAGGCAGTGTGGAGATTGTTGCTCCGTCCGAGTACATGATGCGTCCTCCCCAGCCACCCTGTTTCGTGTTTGTCATTGATGTTTCAGCAACCGCTGTGGCATCGGGATCACTTCACGTTGCAGTTAATACGATCAGGGAGCAGCTTGACAAGCTTCCTGGCGCACCACGGACGCGCGTAGGCTTTGTCACGTATGACAACACAATCCATTTCTACAACTTAAAGGTTTGTGCCGAGCTATTCTTCTTTGGCGATATGAGTGGGTTTTTGATTTTAACGGGTTTTGTGTTAAACCTATCGCAGTCGACACTGAAGGCCCCACAAATGATGGTGGTGGCTGATCTGGATGAGCTCTTTATTCCTATTCCGGATGAGCTGCTTGTGAATTTGAGCGACTCTCGTGAGGTCGTTGAGATGTTACTTGAAACCTTACCGTCTATCCACCATAACGCGCGCTCTGCCGAAACTGTACTGGGACCTGCTATCCGGGTCGCTTTTAAGCTCATGGTACGCAATATTACGCAACGGATGTCAATAGTCGTGTTAACGTAAACATTGTTGTGTCTATGTAGTCATCGATTGGTGGTAAAATGGTCGTCTTTCAGAACTCGTTGCCATCAGCTGGAAATGGAGCCCTCCGAAACCGCGACAATCCTCGTTTGTATGGAACAGACAAGGAACACACTTTGCTTCAGGCCGCGGATACGTACGTCGCATGAATTGTCTAAAATTCGTCATTTGGATGGATCTAACATGGCTTCTGATGCTACTATGTTTATTTCGAAATGTATGACTTGTGATTGTTTACATTGCAGATTTTATCGTACAAATGCCATTGACTTTTGCCGCCAGCAAGTCAGCGTAGACATGTTTTTATTTTCATCGATGTATACTGATATCGCCTCATTGGGTAACTTTTGCTGCTTGTACGAGTTATTCTGATACTTCATGAAGCTAACGTAAAAATTAAATGCGACGCAGGCTCACTGTCAAAATACTCGGCAGGTCAAGTGTACTACTATCCGGCTTTTAACGCTGAAAGAGACGGGGAAAAATTTAGCAAAGAGCTGGCACACTGCCTTGTTCGCGAGTCTGCATGGGAGGCTGTGATGCGCGTCCGCTGTACAAAGGGAATGCGCCTTGCCAATTTTTACGGCAACTTTTTTTTGCGAGGCCCGGACCTGCTCGCGCTTCCGACATGCAACGCTGACTCGACGTTCGCAGTAGAGATTACGCACAGTGACGCTCTTTTGACATCTTCGACAATCTCCGTGCAGGCTGGTGTGCTGTACACGAACTCGGGCGGTGAGCGACGTATTCGTGTGCACACTGTCTGCATTCCCGTCACCAAATGTACGTTGCCACGCTGACGATAAGTGCCTGGTACTGGATTGAGGATCTAACTTGATTACTGTACTGCCTATCATCTCAGTGTTTGCGGAGCTCTTCCGTCAGGTCGATCAAGACGCACTGTGCAACATCATGGCCAAAAATGCGCTAGAGATTGCGCTTAAGACAGGATTGGACAGTGGTCGATCGCGTTTGCAGACACAGTGTGCGGATATTGTACGTGCCTACCGCAACTCGGGTGCTTATGGCACCAAGCAATCCTCTGGTTACCAGTTGCACCTCCCTGAGTCAATACAGCTTCTGCCTCTGTATATCGTAAGTCATTTCGTGAGCAATGGTAAACTCTTTTCCAGCGCGTCTGACCTAGGTGCTACTTATCGATGTGTGCAGATGTCTCTTCTCAAAAACCCAACCTTGCGTGGTGGCACCGACCTGACAGCGGACGAGCGCACGTTTTTGCAATATGAGGTACTCTTGGCTGCACAAGCTAATCATAATGTGCGCTTCGACAATATGGCTACTAACGTTGGACATGTGCTCTTTACAGTTGAACAATATGCCTGTCGAGCTGTCGCGGGTGTTTATCTACCCACGAATGTTTGCTCTGCACAACATGCCACCTGAGGCGGGCCTGCCTGCTGCAGTAGAGGGCATCGATGGTGCCGGCGCTACATCCATTGTACTTCCACCGGTGATTAATCTTTCGATCGAGCGACTGCAGTGCGACGGAGTGTTCTTGCTCGATGACACTTTGAGCCTCTACCTTTGGGTTGGTCGCTCGGTTTCACTTGAACTTCTGGGGAGTCTTTTTGGTGTTTCTTCCATGGAAGGCGTGGATTGCAGCCAGGTAAGGTGCATTCATTGAAAAATGATGAGCCGATGATCGATTACTTATTCTGGTTTTTGATATGTTACTTAGTTAAAACTCCTCGCTCCACACGACGACATAAGCAACCGTGTTGACGCCATCTTGTCGGCTATCCGCTCGGAGCGATTGCCTCACCAAAATGTGGTAATCATGCGGGAGGGCGATCCTGTTGAGGGCCGATACTTTTGGAAGCTAGTAGAAGACCGGGCCAGCTTCCCCGGTGGCTCGTACTCGTACTCGGAGTACCTGGGTCAAATCAGCCGCATGAGTCTTTCTGGCGGTACCGGCGGAAGATAGATTCCAAACACATAAAACACAACTCGTCGCGAAGCAGAGGGGTAACGTGGTAATGAGGACGAATGCGAATGATTGAGTACTACAGGAGTTAAACATGAATCTGACCGGACCATGAAATTAACGTTGCAGCAGACTGTTTAACATTTGAGACAAGGAAACACTGACGAGATCATGCAGCGGCATCAGCTTCTTGAAAGTGGTATAAGGCTTGCCTATGAGCAATTTCCATTCTAGCAATGTCTTGACCGCACGTGAAATTAAACAAAGTGAGCATTACTTGCACTGAACTGCACTTCAGAGCAAAAAAGCTTCGGTACATGTGGCAACTGTCTTGCCATTCCACCAATGTAGCATAACTGCCTTTTAGTATTACAGATGTTGATGACCAATGCGTCGACATGCAGAGGATCTGATCATTGGTAAACTTTCACACGCAGCGAAACTTGCGATTCGACATTGTATTCAAGAGAATGACTACCAAGTACTCAATCTACTCGCATCAATTTTTCAACGTGGGGACCCGGGAAAGTTTGGGTCTGCGAAGGTCACGTGCGACTTTCGCGAATTCACCGTCAATACGTCGCGACTCCGAACACTTGCAAGTTCGAGCTGAGACTTTCTGCTGTGCCCCATCGACATCAACATTGCGCCAGTCACGCGACTCACTTCGGTCATTGAGTAGTACGGACTCCACTGTGTCGTCGCCACTGCCACAAGATATTCATATCCAGGGCTGGATGTACTGGGCTCGTCGAGACAACTTGTCCGAAGCAGAGCGATACACAAAAGTATACGCAGTGCTACGCAACGAGTTTTTGCTGCTTTATCGTAACGATAAACGTCAGTCCAAGGAGATGCGACCGCAGCCATTGGTGCAAATTGCAGTTGCGAGCTCGTGGCGCAGCGTAGAGGGCGTCCTGCATGTCGACGACCCGTACGGAGAAGAAATGGAGCTGCATTTGTATGAGCGACAAGACTTTGACATTTGTCGACGGTGGGTTGACGCTCTCGAAAAGGCTGCAGAATTGACGCACTCGCACTTTTCCAACTTTGGCGTCAAGGTGAACGACTTATCCCGTAACAGCGTGTATCGAGGCACCCTCCATGACTTCCGGTTGGATCGAGAAAGCTCGATACGGAAATCTGTCACGCAGATCAAACAATTAAAAAGCTGGAACACTTTTTGGAAGTTCATACCTGAGCACATATCAAAATATTCCCGATCGCAGTCGACGATCTGAGAGACCAACGCTTAGAGATTATCGGGCGATTATGTGGATTCAATGGCTAGTATATCATTTGCGTTACATGACAGCAACGCACTCTTCTTAAGTTTATATTTATTTCTCAGAACTGATTGCAAGCTCAGTTGTCGACAAGAGGAGTCATTGTCTTGAGAAGTCTTGACATGGCTGAATATATCGTTGTCTTGCTCATTGTAGTAGTCGCCACGACACTATCGACGTTACTTGTCAATATCATGGCAAAACTTGCCGTCGGCGAAGGGTTCTCGTATTCACAGCAAACGCATCGGCTAGTACATTTTATTCCGTTATAGGCTTTGTCGTTAAAAGAGCGTCTTGTGTTGCTCTGCAGACGTGCAATTAGCACCTTTATATTCCAACTTCCTTCATTACCCGAACCATTTCATATAAGACCTGTTCCTGCAGTTTTTGGACGCCCCGATGGCTATCGCTGGACCTGAGAATGACCAGAAAAGTCAACACTACTTAAGATAATCAAGGTTTGTATTATGCTCGTTCCTTAGCCTTAACCTTTTCTTAAATTTTATTAAAAGTAATAGGCTTATAGCCTATAAGTCTTCCTCTGACTTAACTAGCCACGTAGCTCTGCTTAGGGTACCCGACAATGCCCCCAGGCTGTAGCCAAGGGGCTATAGCCTAGGGTTCTGCTAGATTGGCATAGCTTCCCCAGCTATACCAGCCTGTCTTTTTATGCTTGGGAGACCCCTATTAATTTAACCCTTAACCCCTTGACATGTCAATTTCACCCCACTTTTATTAACAAATCGAGCATACATTCCCAGATCGTGACGCCACTCGTGATGCCGTTGTCTCCACCAAATGCCCGTACAATGGCAAAACATGTCTAGCTATATAAGTCCGGTCGGCCAAAAGGGGATTATTCCTCTAGGAATAGTATGGAACTTGTATTTACGCGCGTCCGTGAAAGCTATTATAACTAATCGATACGATGCACAGTGTAGATTCTGCGCAGAGATTTCGAAGGCGGCTCGTCACCACAGCTAGAGGGAGCCGATGTAATAAGTTACATCGAGCCTGAGGGAATAAGTTCACAGGAAGTAACCGAGACGTTAAACGTCTTGGTTAATGACGGATCAAACGTAGGCACTTGTACGCTTGATATAATCACGTCTTCGAAGTTAACTTCGGAGATAAATCAGTTGCCTACGCTCGAATTAAAAAGGCTTTTACGCGATCTGCGTGTGGTGAAGTCGATCAAAGGATTTTTGATTAACGGTGAAAAATGCTTGGAGTGTGGACCACATACATGGAATGGATCGATAATATATAATTACACTTGGTCATACTATGGGCGCGATCAGGTTTATTTGATCGATCAATTGATCGTCAGAATAACTTACTTATACTATGGGTCGATCTGATTTTATCAGGCCGATCAAGTGATCGTCGAGGATTTTTACAGCTCAAGTGAAGATTACGACTACATGTCAACCTTTTATGCTTGATCGTGATTGATCGGGATCACGATTGAGGCAATCGGCATGGATAATTTTTTGTCAATTCAACATGAATACATTGCGATTAGATCAACAAATGCGATCATGACCAAGAAATTCGATCATGATCAAGAAATTCGATCACGATCGGCAAGCACGATCACAATTGACAATTTTGATCACGATTGACAAGTCCGATCACGATCGACAAGTCCGATCACGATCGATAAGTCCGTCCGATCGAAAATTCCGATCAAGATCGATAAGTCCGATCACGATCGACAAGTCCGATCACGATCGACAAAGGCGATCACGATCAAGAAATGCGATCATGATCGACATCGTAACCAAGAGTGAGATCGCCGCTATTTTAGAGTGGGACACATATCGAAATCTATTTTGTTCGGAAAGGACGACGCGGCACAGAAGACCCTGGTATATAGAGAAGCAGTATCGTAGGTTTTAGTATTTGATTGGTTAACTTTAAACAGAGTTTCTTTTACTTCTAACTACACACGCAGACTTCTCTTTCGGGTGGGATATTTTGGCCCCCGACGATCAAGAGCTTCTGCCACCAGTATCTACAAATAATATCCCTGGATTTTTTGGCCAGGGATTACAAGATCTCTCACATATAAACTTCGCCTGCAATTGGACGCAGTATCGCGTAAAGGACAAGGCACAAGATCGCGAGACGGCTTAAGTGGTCAGAAGGTCAAGTGTATCAAGTAGACCAAGTATCTACGAATTGGACAAGGCGATCTCAAGAGAGATCAGGGCGGCTCATAGAGTGCCCCAATGTACCCCTCGATCGCGTGGAGATTTCCGCGCGATCGACCCCCCAACCAATCCCAACCACGGTCAAGTTCAGCATCAGCTCAAGTCCACCGAGAAGAGTGCTACCCGCCCTACCGACGGGTACACAAGATGAGGAAGGAATTGCTATACACGGAAACGGAGTACCCCCTCCGATAGTCGGCTTTCCGGTCGCCAGTGGAGAGTCTTAATCACATCAGAAATTTTGTGAACACCGATTCACCACAAAGGTACTCGACACGAGATGGTTCTAGTTTCAGGCACAAATTAGTGTGTGACCACTTCCTCGAGAACTGGTCGAGACGATCAACAAGTCTCCAAGACGATCATCTAGCTACGGGACATGTGAGGGAGTCAACTTCACCTCACAGCTCTCCGACCTTTTGTGTGCGCAAGACCACAGGAGGGTGGCGGATAGTGCACGCGTTTAATAAGTTGAATGCTGAAACGATACTGGCGCAAAAGTCAATACCGAGAAAGGACGTTATCATAGATGTTATGTCTACGAGTACCATCTTGTCGTCCATGGATCCAATAAACGATTTCTACCAGATACTTATGCGTGAACAAGACATCCCGTACACAGCAGTGAGCACTCCCAGTGGTATGCTCTGGGAATGGTTGGTGATGCCGCAAGGGCTTAGTAATGCAATAGCCACACTCAATAGATGTGTTTCACATCTATTGAGACCAGTGCGCGAATTCGCACTGAGTTACTTCGATGATGTGTTCGTCCATAGCCGGGCTATGGACGGGAAAACAGACGTGGAAGTCTATACACTCCACTTTTGTGAGGTTCTTACACTTATGCGCGAGCATAAGTTGTAAGCCAACCTCAAAAAGCGTATATTTACAGCTAGCGAAATACCGCTTCTTGGGTGCATCGTCGGAAAGAACGACGTACGCCCTGATCCAGAAAAGATCAAGGCGATCACCGACTGGCCAGTGCCAGTCCATGTCAAGGGACTAAGGAAGTTTCTTGGGATAGCGGCGTACTAGCACAAGTACTCGTGCAATTACGCCGAAATGACAGTACATCTTTCTTGTTTACTCAAGAAAAATGTAAAGCATAACTGGAACGCTGATTGTCAGCGTTCCTTTGAACGTATCAAGCAAAGCTTGATGCAATCGCCAGTATTGGCGATTGCAGATCAAGACAGACCATTTCATGTGGTCTGTGACGCCAGTGATTTTGCAATCGGCTGTGCACTGATGCAATATGATACAGACGGCGCAGAGCGTGTCGTCTGCTATCCATAGCGTCAATTGCAACCGGCTGAGCGCAACTACCCGGTGCATGAAAAGGAACGCTTTGCCATGAAATATGCACTGGCTAATTTTTGCGTCTATCTCTTGGGAGATAGACCTATACAGACCATGCGTCAATACGTACGGCTGAAATATTGCTGGACACTATCCAATTTTTATAAAACGGATGTGGAATGGTGTTGGCATACCGAACACGAGGACGCTTTTCAAGTGGTTAACGCAAGCCTTCTTCATGCTCCTATTCTGGCTTTGCCAGACACTGACCGACCATTTAGCGTCGTATCTGACGCGTCGGTTTGTGCCTCTTTTATGAACAGATGATGAGGTATGATCGACTTTAGGTCTTTTTAGCTGAAAGCTGCAAGGAATAAATATCCCCTTCATGACAAAAAGCTACTTGCAATGAAGTATGCTATAGTCAATTCAGAGTGCATCTGCTGGGCTCGAAGCCTTTAGTAATCTATATTGATGTGGTGAAGTGGATTCCAAACAACGTAGGAGAACCACAAACACACACAGCACCGGACTGCTGACTTACGGAGGGGGTTTCCCGATACTGTGTCGCGCCAACCTTGGGTCTCACCTTGTGTAACCGTCGGCTTGGTTGGTCTTGCTCCTCGTTAGACGCAGAAAACTTATAGACTTGGTCCTTGTATGGAGGGAATTGGGGACCCACGAGTGAATATACTTTACTCGGGTCCGGGGTTTCTTCGGCTCAATCGACTGTGTCGAGAGCAATGAACCTGGTACTATGTACCCTTTCGGTGTCCAACTGTTTCTTTTTCCTTGGACCCCGTTCTCTTGTTCCCCGTAGGGAAACTGCTTCCCGTAGCGGGTGTTGGGTGTTTTACACTTACTTGACACCTTAGTCCAACTACCCTGAGGTTAAACTTGCGTAGCTTTAGCCGCCTAACACCTGCTGACATCGAGGGGTCAAAGGGTATCCCACCCGGAAGAGGTGGAGCGACGTAGAAGCTTGGAGGGGGCGCTTAGAGCTGCCACGTGTAATGCAAATTCGAGTGTGTTTATATATCTTATACTTTGTATGCTTTTGCTTGCCTAACCCTAACCCTTCGCTCTGGGTAGTGTCACGTATCAACTCTTGGAGGAAGAAGTAGCTCTTTTGTACCTGAACTCTCTATAATCGTCGGGGTTCCGTGTACCATTTCTGCACTATCGGGTACTGGAACTATGAAGCCCTTGGACCCTGAGGCCCTATGTAATGGGGCAACCTATGACATAAGTAGTTATAGGAATAATACATTATTACATAAGTAGGCATAGGGCAGTATCCGATGAGCGGATACTACGCGTCATTTTATTATTGGTTTATTATTGGGGTGCCAGACCCAATAATAAGCCAATAATAGATTGACTTCCATATTGCGTGGTTCCCATGAGCTAGGGCACATGTTAGCACTTACTGCGAATTAA